TGTCGGATTCCCCCTTTCCGGGGCCACTTGGCACCTTTCCGGGGTCAGGAGAACAGTGGATTTCAGATTTTCGGTTTTTATTTCAGATAACACGTCAGGTTGGTGGTTTGGATTGGTGGAACCCCTGGGGCTAAATCAATGGGAACTGGGCCCCCCCTAAACCAGTGTTTCGGCTCCAAACCCCCCGATTCGGCAGCTGATATTGGGGGGGGCACCATAAGCAAGTGCAAGAGACTCCAAGCGCTTGAGAAGTGGCTGACTTTGTGTTTTGAGATTTGTCGTGCGGTGCTTGTTGGAAGCCATCGGGAAGCACGCCTACCTTGATTTTGACACAGGCCGATGTTGACAAGATGTGAGACGGGCGTATCTCCCAACGAACTTGAAAGAGCATCCGCCCCTGGAAACTTGAGCTTGGTTGTGAGTCCCTCACGCGGGGTTGAACAGAAGATACACGTTGGCCAGAACAGCATGGGAAGCCGATCTTCAGCATGTTGCTACCCTCTTTAAGCTCCACATTCTGGTTTCCACACAAGGTTCGTAGATGTCTTTATCTTGCTGGTGCGATAGGTAGGGAATGACCGAGCCGGGGGTTGTGGCAACGAACCCAGGCTTTCCCTTCCAGGAACCATAGGGGACTTTTTTTTTGGGTCATTCCATTTCTTCCCTTGAAAAACACCATGAAGGATTGTTTCTTTTGGGTCATTCCATGTCTTCCCTGAGAACCGGCAAGTTATCTTCAAGCTGGGCGATCGCTCGGTCGCCGATCGGCCGATCGGCCGAGGTGACATTTGAAGCGGGGATGGCCAAACCGTCGCCTCCCTGACCTGCAACAACGAAGGCACGACTCGCGACGGACTCGGGCGAGAGAGGAGGGAGCGGCGGGAGCTCTGAGCTCTGGGAGTGATTCTTTTTTGGCCAAGTGGGACCAGGGCAAGTGATGCATTTGTACAGGTGTTTTTGCCCTGCCATCCACAAAAAGGGTTTACCTAACAAAGAGGTTCAAAGCAAAGCAAACGACAGGCCGGATGTTCTGTGTTTGTGCAAACGTTTGTATTGCCAGGTCAGTTAGTTGCACACCCTCTCAGTCCCTTTTTGTGGTTTCTGCACCCAAGTGGTTCCCTGTTGGTTGGGCAAAAAGGGTACATGATGGGATCTCTCCTGGGAAGCAGGCAGACTAAATTCCGGTTTTGGGGGGAATCCCAAACGGGGTGTTTCTCAAAATACGCCCCTAGCATGGTTGTGTGACCGAGCCATTCGGCGGTAGCCTGCAGGGGCAGCTCCTCAAGAGCTCAGCCACCCTGCGGTGTGAATGGCCACATGTTTTGCTGCGCGAAACTCACAGCTTAAGGGTTGATTCCTTTTCCATTCTTTTCAACCATCGTTTTTTTTTTAAGAACCGGATCCATTTCCCGGGGTTGCTGGGGGTCTTCTAGAAAGATCCGGATCCCTGCGTTTAGAATGGGGAAGGTAGCACTAGAAGCTTGGCTCCCTCTGAGTCCCACTTTGGGCTCTTCTCAAAAACCTGGACAGAATGCCACGCTGAGAAGCTCCGAAATGGCGCACCTGAAGTTCGTTCGCCAGGTCTGGAGACGGAGCTTGCGACAAGCAGCGATTGCAAAGTGCAAAGGCTGAAGTGAGCCTTTGCCCGCCCGTGCAGGGCAAATGCAGATGCTGGCAGCTGCCTGGAACCGGTTGCGATTTCCCACCAGACATAATGAGCTATCCCCTTGCATCAATATGTGTGTGTGTGTGTGTGTGTGTGTGTGTGTGTGTGTTTGTGTGGTGAGGGGTACCCTTGTCACCTCGTTCGAAGGGGCAACCAAACAAACAACTACAATTTTTGGGCCCCTATTTTGGCAAACACTCATATTAGGAAGAGTAGGTTGACCTTGATTTGACCTCTGCAAATGGGGGGTTCCCGCCGCTTACCACTGGGTGAATGTTTTTTCTTTGTCCATTGAACTCATCGCACTTTCCATGTTGCGCAAGCCAATTGAACTCATTGTCTAGAAAACGGTTTGGATACGGCTTTTGTGGATCTACCCCTGCAGGTTGGACTCCAAGTTGGACTTTTCAAGGGGAAGAGCAGGTGAAGGCGCATCCAAGTTTGGTTTTCTAGGCCATTTTGCTGGATTTTCCGAGATGGATGGCCTTTCCATCCTCATTCCCAAGGTCCAGACCTAGCTTTTGCTCCAGACCTCGAATCCTAAGCAACCCGAAACGAGAGCTTCGGATTTGTTTTTGCCTGTGTCTGCATCACTTGCGGCTTGCCTCAGCAGCTTGGAGTTGGCAACTTGCGGAATTTGCTTCTTATGCCCGTCCACGTACTGAAGGCCCGTTTTGTGTGTTTGCGTTGTTACCGCCATCATTGACACGGAACCAAGCATCATTGGAGGGAGCTCTGTTTGGGGGACCCCTGGTTTATGGGTCCCATGCGAACATTTTCGCAGGAGAGCAACCCGGCACTTTGGGAATATGTTGGTGTAAATACGCTTAGGGCATGGCCCCCTACAAGGGAAGCCCTAAACCCTATAGGTTGTAAGCAAGGCACATTTTTTTTCTGGGGTATTAGTTGGTGATGGTTTTCTATCGCTTACGGAATTCTTGTGTTCATACTGAAGACTTACGGCGTTGAGTCACAAGGGTACCATTTAAGCGCCCTTTGATTTTTTTGCAGAGGGCAAAGTGGGAGGGTGTCGAACTTAGGGATCGTAAGGCTACAAAGGGCACCCGGGTCCTCTTAGAGGCGTCTTGAATATATATATATATATGTATATACACACATAAGAACAGCCCCCCGATGTTTGAGGGGTATCTTCTCATGGTGGCAAGACCAAGAAGCTTTCTTCCCGGGAGTTTTTTGTCGTGAGCCGCCCAGCCAACTCTGAACCTCACGGTGTGCTCCGAAGACTTGCGGCGAGTCGCCTAAGTGACCTTCCATGATTCCTAGGGTAGGGGTCAAAATGAAATTTACAGGAATCGGACCGCAGGTGTCAGTCCATGTTTCCATTTAGGGCAAGCCATTTTGGGCACCTATCGTTGACCCACACCCAATACACTCCTTTCGGAACAGACCAGCGCTCACATTGGTGAACTTTCCACCTTTGTGTGGACTGAACCTCACCGGCCAATCGGCCAATCGGCCACCGGGCGAAGCGGGAAGCGGTCAGCTGCAGCTTGGACATCTTTACCCCATTGTACAAGTTCCTTTTTATAACTAGAATGTGGTGGTGTGGTACTTTGCACCAAGTTGCCGCATCATTTTGCAAGAATCTGGTGTATCAGATGAGCCCCTCATACGGCATCATGGTACGGCAGTCCAGACAGGGTTTCCAGGCCTTTCGACTCAATCAGGAAAACATTGTTGGAACCAAATGGATTTTAGGAGGTCACAGTATGTTCCATCAAAGGCCAACAGGCAACACGCAACCCTCCCAATTCCAGCGGTTTGGCAACCGCTGCCGGGGTCAATTCCGCAGGTTTGCGGGTGGGGAAAGGCTTGCAAGTCCGGTGGTGTTGTTTGGAAGTCCGCAGTTTGCAGGAGTCTAATGGCGTGCACTTGAGCCTCAGCCTTCTATTGCTGTGCACTCCTCTCAGAGGCTAATTCTGGAACGGAGTCAAGATAGATGGAATGATCAGGGTAAGGGGGTTGTGCAGCTTAAGTTGCAACATGCCCTGTAGGCCCAGCAGCCTCTTGCAGTTCAACCACCAGGAAGAAGAACAAGGGTATGCGGGTATGTGTGTCAAGACCCCTGAATAATTCTGTGATGTGTTTTACACTCCCTCAGACTAACATGGAAGCTTTTTCTCTGTAAATGGAACCGAGTCTTCCAAAAAGGTCCGTTCGGGAGCTTCCATGTTAGTCTGGGGGTTGGGGTGCCTTTGCTTCCCTTTGGTTGCCTAAGCCAACGTCCCTTCGGTTTCCCTTGGCTCTGACTCGCGTTTCCAGCCCGCAAGTTTGGACCAACGTTTTTGGCAGGAGGCGTTACGGCTCCGCGTTTTTTTGTTCCACCGAAGGTGGGGGTGAGTTGTAAAGGGGAAAAGAAAACACACACAACATTTTAGGGCTTCGTTAGAACAAGACAGCCGCAAAGGGTTTCAGTTGAAAGTTGTTCGCTGAATCTGGATGAAGCGCGTCTTATTTGCATGAGTCGTGTTTTTTGGTTCACGACGTGTCACGGCTTTTTGTGTTTTGCTCCATGTTTGCTTTGTCCTGTCTCAGTTTGATATGTTCTTTGGGTGGGCTGTGTCCCACAGCCGCTTGCGCCCGGATGGCTGCGTTGTGGGTAACGAGACCAAACGCGGCTCGCTCGCGCGTTGCGTCACCCAAGCAAAAGAGCGCTCTGGGGGGCGGGGGGGTTGCCCGGACAAGCCAGGCACAAGCCCCTTAATATCGAGGGTTTCACAGGCACGGTTGAGGCCCCAAATATCTCAAGTAGACAGGGGAAACGGATTGGTTCACTTGGAATATTTCGGGCGTCCCAGTACCCATGAAACACTGAAGACGGCCTTGTCACTTGTCCTCGGCTTACTCAGGGATATAGCCCCCCCCCCCACCCGCTGCAGCCCCCTTGAGAGGTCCATGACTTGCCACGATCTCTGCCTGCCGCCGACATATGTCAGGCTTGCTGCGAGCCTCTGAAAGATTATCACAAAGCTTTGGTAGAACCATGGTATTGGATCATCTGTTGAATCCCGGTGCATTTTACTTGGCTGGGCATCACACGCCTTTTGAGGCTTCCGCAAGGATCTATGACGCCCCAAGTCTCATGGGAGGGTGCACCGACGCCGCGCCGTAGCTGTGGTTCAGAGTTGGACGGCACGAGAAAAGACGCACCTCGATTCCGTTTTTCCCTTCGATTCCGGTTGCGAGATCAAGCTTCAAGGAGCCAAAAGAGATTTACAGGTTCCAATCCTGTACCATGTGAGCAGCGAGTCCTCTTTGGGCAGCGATTTTGTTTTTTCGGAACGGATCCTTCAGGTTCTTTCAATCCCAGACCTCGGTCCCTTGGCACCTTTTGTTTCTTGAAGATGTCCCAAGCAGATGCCGCCGGCGGTGCTTCCATCATCACCAGGTGGGAATCGAATGTGGGAAACCTTCTGGGACTGGGGCGGGGGGTGGTCCATGTTTGCCCTTGAATCCCGCCGTAAAAAACGGGCCCTCAAAGAAGCACACGCCGGCTGCCGGCTGCAATCTGTTTACGGTGAGAATCGCCTGCCAAAGGGCTGATCCCTTTGTAAAAACGGTCCTCAGCTTTTTCAACCCAAATGAAGGGAAACCACCATTTACAAGGCAATGGTCAGGTGTATAATGTAAGGATCCCTGCTTGTTGAGTTCGTCCCCTTTACTGCAGTGGGAGGAAAAGAAAGGCAAGTCGCGCGGAAAGTCCAGCCCGCACCCCTTTGGGTATATTTCAATCTGGAGTGATGCAGTGACCACGAAAAATGTGAGTTTTTCCTTTCAACTTCCCTTTCAACCCCAAACAGGATACCCTCAAAAACAGACATCCCTATGTCTATCAGCGCATTGCTCTTAGACCGTGAGGCATTTGTTACATTGGGCCATGGGGGGTCTCCTCTGTTTACTTAGAGTTGTTTAACCCACACAGGGTGCCCTTTTTTGTACTAGGGTCAGTGGGTGCTGTTGCTAGAATGGGACGTGACAAGTTGCGGCAGCAGCCGCCGTCGCAGTTCCTCGGGTTCCGCGACTCATTTCAGGTCGGGAAAGTGGCCAACGCATTTGAGTGAAGCAGTTTGTGGCCCCCCTACGGGCCCACAGAAAGGTTCTTACAACCCTTCGAAGAACCTCTTCCAAGAAGGTTTTAAGAACACTTAAAAGCCCAACAACTCAGGAAGTCAGAAGGAACCTTCTTAGTTCTGAGAAGGGTCCTGGGAGCCACTCTGCTAGCCCCACACATAATCCCAAGTGTCCCTAGTTCCGACTGTCATGGTTCACTTTCAAGATCACGCCCGAGAGGGTTCCGAATCACGAGCTGACTGGTCTCAGAATGTGACCTACGTGGCCTGGTTGTCCCTTTGTATCTTCCAACATGGAAGTGCACGGAGTCCCTTTCCAACAGGTGCTGCAAACGAATCTCTGCGCACTTTGGCTTGTCAAACTAGGGGGACCGGGTCCCCAAAACGGTGGTTTAGGCGTTTCAGAGCCCCCTGTTAGCCACCCAACATGGCACTCAACAGAAAACCAGCCGCCCCATGGGAGGGTTAGGCCTTGTCTAACCAGCTTGTGTTTCGACAGGCAGGGGACACTTGCGCTGGAGGCCGGTCGGGCGGTGGGGTTTGTGCCTCTGGGGGCGGGCCGAGGCTGAAGGTAGCGGAGGTGGTGTAGAACACCAGTTGACCAAAAAAAACATTGGTTGTTGCTCCTTCTTCTTTTTTCCTGTGCGGGCGGCTTTTGCGATGGTTACTTTCCTGCAACAAGACTTGGCCGAAAAGATGGAGGTAACCCTCCCTTTCCTAGAGGCAGATCGTCTTCCAAAAGGGTTGTGTGCAACTTCCCATTGTTTACTTGGAATAGCATGGGACAACATACGGACGGTCCTCTTTTTTAAGGGTACCCCTGTTTTGTGGTTTTAAGGGACACCAAAAAGGAACCCCACCATTTTGTGGTGTCCCTTAAAAAGAAACGGACCCAACTGTGGATGTTCCAAAATTGGGCTTTGGACAATGTGGGGGTGGCTTCCTTTTGATTTCCCGTGAGCACTTTCCAGAAAGGCGTCCCTTGGTCGAAAAACGAATACGACCGAATCCGCTGGCAGTTGTTTTATTTTGGCCACTCCCTGGGATACCAGGGGAATCCTTGACCTGGAATACGGCCGCATCGGCTGTTTTGGCCACTGCCTGTGATACCAGGGGAATCCTCTACAAAGTCAGCGACTGGTCATGTTGATAGGAATCAGCCACGTGGGTTTCGAAAGCGACATCCGCGGTCATGCATGTCTTGACTGGGTGGGCATGTGTGTGTGTGTGTGTGCGCGTGTGCAAACTCTTGCTCGACACAGCAAAGTGACGGGTTGGTACAGGCATGTGCGCATTGCTTACGTAGGTGTTGTTTCACACACACAAATGCGGACCCCGCATACATGTTTGGTTTGTGTTTTCTTTGAAACCTTTTGGCAGGATTCGCGGCTGGCCTTCTTTTGGGTTTGCCGTCCATTGGGTTAGCATCTCTCGCCCCTGCCATTTGCCGGTGGCTCGCTTTCTGGTAGCACTGACTGCGAGGCCAAGAAGCCTTTCCTCCCCCTGCGAGCATTGACCAAGGAGCCGAGGGATGCAACGCTTTCAGCTTCTCACGGCTAGCCGTTGCCCCTTGTTTCCTCCAAAAAGTTATGCGGGCCTATGGGCCCCAGCCTAAAATGAGGATGCTGAACCACGTGTTCATTCTCCAGCGGGCTTTTGGCTCTTGCTTCCCGTGGCTTGCACGGGGCTTGCTCGGTTTGACGGGGGAGCTGGAACCAGAGGGCCCCGAAGTCATGCTCCGTGTTTGGTTCAGGAAGGTCGACCCTTGGCAAAACACATCAAGTGAAATGGTCGACTTCTCGGCGGGAAATCCCAACCAGTTCAAGAAAGTCAGAATCCCCCAAGCATCCTCGAAGCACTCGTCATCTGACATGTTTTTTCCTGCTCTGTGTTCTTTCTTGTGGGAAAGCGGTTCGACTCTATGAAGGACCCAAATGTAGAGAGTGGCAGGAGAGTCAGTGCAGGATCCCTCCAGGGGCTTGGATCATGCCGGATCTTCGGTTGGAATGACTCGTGGTGCCTCACTGATGGGTCGCGGGCACGCCAGCGCAAGATGCAGAAATCAGGTTTTTTTTTTTCCGGTGTGGGTCTGTGTGTATGTGATTGCGTGTTGTGTGGAGACAAGAGCGACCATTTTTTCGTATGTCTTTCTTATCTCTCATCCCAGCCTCTCACGTACAATTGCGGCTGGCCATCTCTCATCTGTGCCTCTTTCTCTTCCCAAGGTAGCCCACGGCGTACCAGGAAAGGGAAGAGAGGAACAGATCTTATGACGGAGAATGACCGACACAGCGGAAGGGAATTCGTTCGTCCTATCCACGCCTTTGCCTTGTGTGTTTGCCTCAAAGCCAAGAAGGTGCGGTGCCTGGAAGGCAAGGGTCATTCGCTCGGGGATAAGTGGGCACGGTTGAGGAAACTTGGACTGAACCTCTGACCCAGCTTGGCGAATTGAGTATGGCTCCCATCGCCATTGTCGAAACACGCATAGCATTTTTTGTTTGGCTTTGGACCCCTTGATAGGGAGTTTCGACCACTATTGTAAAGGTTCCTTCTAAGGGATCCGGCATCATCCTGGCCACATGCAGTTGGGTGAAAGGTGGCACAATTCCACCCCGTTTGGCTGGTCATCCTACAAGGGAAACGTGCAACCTCCACTTTCACCCCAGCGTACCAGTTTGGGAAACCGGTGCGGCACAAACTTGCCGCTGCTTCACTGGCCTGCACTCTCCGTGGCGATTTTTGGGGTTGGGGTTCCGGGTTGACCGGGAAACCAATTCAAGAAAGAATTTCACTGGCAGACTGCGAGCCAGGACCGCCCCGGCGGCCCCGAGGAGCCCATTTTTTGGGGTGCCCGGAATCGAAGAATTCCTGGGCTGAATCCCTGGTGTCCTTTCAATTAGGTTCCTTGGGGATCTGCTGGCCACCAAATTCCGGACCCGGCTTGGGCCTAGCAGTTGGTCGTCAAACCGTATGGCCGGCTTGGTTCAATGTGGCGGCTGCTTGTTCATTTGGTATTTATTACGTTGTCAATGATTTTCGGCAAGCGGTTTTCCGGTGGCTCAAGGGAATGTTTCTACGGCCCCGGTCAGGGCCGCAGTTCGGCAATGGGTGCAACTTCGTGCTCAATGCGCATGTGCTCCGATTCTATGGCCAGTGACTTCCATTTTCTTTAGGCAACCAGGAAGTAGTCTCTGTATGGGTCTGTCTTTTTGCTGAGGGTATCCATTTTTTGGCGGTTTTACAGAGACACCAAAAGGGCGGCTACTGTTTTTTGGGGATTCCCCAACAAAGATTCACACATATATGATACTGTGCGTTGGCTACTTACGCTGGTCCCCGCATCATCCTGCTCCATGTTTCCCGTCGTGGAAAGTACTAAGAACTTATAGAACACGCCGCGCCCCTGGTGCCACTGAACGGGAGCATTTTTTACGCATCAGTGTGTCTATATGAGTCTGTCTTTTTGCTGGGACCCCCCTTTTGGGTGGTTTTAAGAGGAAACCAACAGGAACACCACCATTTTGAGCGATTCCCCGAAGAAAAAAGAGAGAGAGAGAGAGAGAGACACACCCATATGTGTATATATATACATTATAGACATTTGCGGAGGATGGCGGAGGGCCTCCCAAGCGGGAAGCCGGCGACGTGAAGGGTGCCGTGCAAGCGGACCCCGAGGCGAGGTCGCGGAGTAGAGTTGGTGCGTTTCGGGTTGGTGGTCTGGGAGTAGAGGGGTGCCAATATGTTCCCTTTGTGTTGGCTTAAGCATGGCTGTGGGTCAAAAATATGTACCCAAAATGAAAACCTTGGCAAGTGGAAACATGGACCAAAACCTGCGGTCCGCTGGTGGTTTAGTTTTGACCCATGCCCACATCACTTTAGGCGATGTTTAAAGTGAGTGTGCAACTTTTCTTGGGTGATGTTCAAAGGGGACACACAGACTTAACCCTGAATTAGCTTGGTTCTGAGCAGAAAATGACTTGGAGTGACCCCCAAACTGAACCATCCAACTGGTGGTTTCCTTTCGGATCCCAAACAGGTCGTTCCCAAAAGCCCTCAAACGATTCCCGACTGTGAGCCAGCAATTGACGGACCCCGCGGACAGATAGGCTGTACACCCGCTGCCAGAATCTGTGCCGCCCTACCATGGACCAATCTAGTTGCTCAATGTCTCCCCCCAGTTTTCCCCCTTTTTGAGAAGGGTTCCAATGTCACCTTCCAGTTTTCCATTGTCTTTTTCCCCAAGGGAACAAGGGAACAAGGGAACCAGTTTTCCCTTGTTGAGAAGGGCTCCCTCAGCCAGAGCTAGGCGCCCCTTGCTTCTTCTCCCGTACAAATGGCAACGTTTTCTCTTTGAGTCCAAACCAAAGGGCCATCCGGATGTCGGGAAGCGATCAAACGTTACGCAGTTTCATGGCCAGGTGGGACATGTTGGGCTGGGAAATACAATACCCCTATCCAGCTGTCCAGACTTTTGCTTGTACACTCTCACGAAGTATTTGGACCTACATTCAAGTCTGTGAATCTTGTGGTGAGCAGCTTCAATAGGAAACCAGCAGAAAATCCGTTTTTTGCGGGCCCCTAAAGAATCTACCCGCCTGATCAAGTCCATCGGAAGGTCGAAACAACGGTGGGCACCTGACACTTTTTCGCCATGGGCAAAATATGGGTCGTCCTTTTTGGGAGTACCCTTTTGGAGTGGTGAAGAAAGGCAACCAACAGGAAAACAACCATTTTTTTGGGGGGGGGTCTGAATCGTAAACAAAGACACTCTCATATGGAGATACTGTCAGAGGGAAGCACCGCGTACGTCAATCCAAGTGAGTTTTTTGCGTGGATTGTTCAGGTGGAATGAGCACAGACACATCCGAGACAGGAAGCTTATTGACAGGAAGCAACGATTTCTGGATGGACTTTCTGCATATCTTTTGCCAAGTCCACATTCTGATCGGCAGCAAAGACCCAGTTGCAAGTTGGCTTACAAGGATCTCCCAAGAACGTTAGCTAAACAGAGGAGTTACCTGTTAATCATGGTTATTGCCTAGCCAGCTGATTTTCGTTAAGACTTTGAGTAGGGAGTAGAATTAGGAACTCTGCTTTGCACCCACTTCTGCAGGCACAAATTGAAGCTTCCTTTTTTGGGTTACCCCCAAACAACTTCAACCCAGGGGGGGAAGCCAACAACCTAGGGGCTGGCTCGTGTTTGCGCCTCCGCTTTTGTGCCAGGACTTTGCCGAATCGCTGCTGAGGACGCCCGGCACATGCGACATCTTGCAGAAGGTTCTGAACCCTAGAAAAGGGTTTGGCTGTGGCGAATTTGTGTATCCACCCCTGTAGGAGATGAAAAGAGATCTAAAACATGACCAAACAAGGACCAACAGCAAGAAACCTGGCTGAAATCCACGAAAAGCACATCCAATGTGTTTGCAAGATGAACGGACTTGGGCGTTGCTGTGCGACAGGTGGGAACTTGCGTCATTCCCTGCCGTCAGCAAGATGCTATTCACATTCGGAAGGCAAGGGAACCACTAGCTGGGCTGATCCAAAGGCAATCCTTGACCCTTACCTTGGGGTACAGAGGTGCATTTTGCTTGGATGTTGGGACTTTAACTCTTTGCTAACTAATGGGTCAATTAATGGGTTTTCCATTAAACCACTAAAAGTAAAACTTTTAGCAGGGGAGCAGAAAGCAACCGAGACTATATGGGGGTCCACGTTGCAGCAGCTTCCCACTGGAGATTAAACTAGGATTGGCCAACCCTCTGTTTTGAACAGCCAGAGAAGCTAGTTACGCCAAACGCAGACTGCTATTCCGTTGTGCTGCAGGATTTTTTCTTCATGCGTCCTGCAAATCTGGCCATGCCAGAAAACGGATTTGGACACCACACATGGTGGGGGTTCCCTTTGGTTTCCCCTTGTTGACCCACCTCAAAGGGTAAAATCATCCACTAGGTTGACTCCGGGGTCGCCCTCCAAGCCGCGAGGAAGCCAGGTACTTTGGACAAGAAACAAAAAAACCCGCGCCAACTTACGGGCAAGCCGCGTGGCCCGTCAAATCGGGGATTTGAGACCCCATGATGCGGATTCCTTGGAGGTCCCCCGTAAACCCTGAATCTCCCACCCGGAAACCGGTAGCCTCAAGGCGCCGCAGGACATGTGGTTGCTTGCGCCCGAAAACGGCCTGCCAGGAGCTTGGCGGAGGAACCCTACGAGACTGTCTTCGAGGCGAAGTCTGCCATCCGGTGCAAATGGGGGCTAAACATGCCCCCCCCCCCCTTTTGGATTTCTGGTGCCGCAAAACAACGAATTGTGTCGCCTTTAAATACCCAACACCAAGTGCCCGAATTTTAAGACGCCACTCATCTTGTGTGGCCTTTGGATGCAAAAAAAACGCGCCCCGAATTTTGACGACCCAAATCCCAAATCCCGACTGAGCGCTCGAGAGAAAAGCCGCCGGGGCCGGGAGGACCCTCCCGCGGGCTGCGCTTGCATCAAGAACCTGGACACCGGCGAGGCGGGAAAGGGCTGGAAGGATTGGATGTCACCTCCCGGCCGTTTTTTTTTCCTGGGACAACGGGGATTCACCTGGGTGATTTTTCAATGGCACCATGGGGGTTCACCTGGGTGACCATTTTTCGCGGATTTGTTTGGGGCTAGGGTGCCATGGGGGATCTTTCATAGGGCTGAAACCAGTTAGAATCAGCTTGTAAAGGACTTGAAGCTTGGTTTTGTTTCACGACCTCTCACGGTTAAGTAAAGATAAGAGAGTCCCTTTGCCACAACTCGGTCCAACCGCGCTTTAAATTATTTACTCTTCTTTTTTCTTCTTCTTTTTAATCTTGATGCAGGAGTGTGATTGTGACGCACTCAACTTTGAGCATGCCGGCTTTCTCGGTCCAAAAAATGGGTGAGTCTTTGTTGAGGGTCACCACAAGGTGTTATGGACAAACCACCTGCTTTGGGGGGTTCCCTCACCCAGCTCAGTGTTCGACTCCCGAACAGGGCGGTTGCAAGGCCTGGCAAGCATCAAGCCCACCTGGTCGATCGGTTTCGGCCTAGGTGGCCCTGACGTGAAAGCCCCGGGCATTCTTTTCATGTCCCCAGACCCCGTTAGCATTTGGAGGGGTCCCCAAAAAATCCGCTATTAAAAATAAAAATCCGCACCCTTAGTATTTTAGCACCCGGAGCTGAAGACACAGAACTCACTCCTTGAGAAAGTGGGATTTTGTTTTGAGTCAGAACAGTAGGGATCAAACGCAAGCGTATTTTATTATAGAGAACTTCCCAAAAAAAGAAAGCCCAAAAGGGGGGTGGACATGGTTGTTTTGCATAGATTTTCAGAACTGATTTTTCTCACCCGGTTGAACAAGTGAGCATGTTTACTGCAAGATGCGCACTTTCCTTTCGGGTCCACAAAGAAACAACACATATCTGCCTGCCATGGTCGCGTTTGCGCTCCATTTCTTTGAAAGAGGATACCCAAAAAGAAAGTATTACCCAAAGAGGATACTCCAAAGAGGTTACCCCAATTGGATACCCCCCAAAAAACCCAACCGCAACAGCAAAAACATCTCCCCACTTGCCCAGCGGCGGAAACCGCTTTTTCCTTCTTTAAAGGAATCGGGTTCCGATTCCTGAACAAACTCCACCAAACTTAAAAGTCGGGGAATCCGACTTGTTTTTGTTTTCCCATGGCAATTCCACTGGGGCTGCGCCTCTGCCTCGCAACGCGCCGCATCGTGCCGAGGCACGGCCGCTGGCGCCGGGGAGCTGCACGGCCAGCTTCGCCGGGGTCTCCCAAGCGAGTCCCGAACGAGCCGGGAGGGGATCGGAATATGATGGGGGGAATAGGTGTCGTTAAAACATAGAGGGCGATTCCTGGTTTACCTGGTGGGTCAATCAACTCCATCTATTTTCCCAAAAAAGGACACCTATGCTTGGAGGGTTTTGCCCCGACTTTTCTTTCAGTTAGTGTTCATGTTCATGGGAAGGGGGGGGAAAGGGGGGGGAAGGGGGGAAGTGTTCATGTTCTTTGAAGACCTAAGTCATGGTGGAGTGTTCTGAACCAAGTCAATCGATATCCAATCTTTATTCTTACTCGCAGCTCCATGTTCTTCATGTTCTTTTTTTCCCTGTTAGAACTGTTTGAACCAGCCCTCATGATGTTTTTGGAGCCAAGCGCTTCGGTCCCTTTGACACTTTACTTTCGAACTGGATACGTAGGCGACAGCTCCACCCCGGCCGATGAGGGAGCGCGCAATGCGCGTGCTGTGTTCACGGAGCTTTCGTACGACGACTCGTGACAAGTCCACAGGGTGGACGGAGTTTCAATTGCCAGGAAAGAAAGGCGCCTGGAAGGAAGACATCCTCCATCGTGAAGAGCTCTGGGAGGTTGCGACGGCCGAGTCATTTGGCGCGCTGCTTGTGCGCATTACATTCACGAGCTCGCGCCATGCGAGATGTAGGGCTTATCGATCCAAAGAATGTGTTCATCAAGGATGAAGGCAAGAAGAACTTGTTCCCGCAGAACGTCACGTTTGCCCACAGATCTCGAACCTTGGGTCCTGCGTGGTGCTGGGTTGTGGTGGGGGGGGGGAAATGTGTCTTGTCTTTGTTGACCAGCAACACAGTTTAGGGTTGGGGGGTTTCGGGTTTCTGGGTGGGAGGGTGATGTGTCTTGTCTTTGTCGACCAGCAATACAGTTTAGGGTTGGGGGGTTTCGGGTTTCTGGGTGGGGGGGTTATGTGTCTTGTCTTTGTTGACCAGCAACACAGTTTAGGGTTGGGAGGGTTGGGGGGTTTCGGGTTTCTGGGTGGGGGTGCAATGTGTCTTGTCTTTGTTGACCAGGGACGCAGTTTAGGGGTGAGGGGGTTTCGGGTTTCTGGGTGGGGGGGCAATGTGTCTTCTCTTTGTCGACCAGCAATACAGTTTTGGGTTGGGGGGTTTCGGGTTTCTGTGTGGGGGGGTTATGTGTCTTGTCTTTGCTGCACTATAGCTTTTTTTCGTCTCCGGCTCTCCGGCTCCGGCCCGGCTCCGGCCCGGCTCCGGCCCATCTCCGGCTCCGGCCCGGCTCCGGCCCGGCTCCGGCCCGGCTCCGGCCCATCTCCGGCTCCGGCCCGTCTCCGGCTCCTTCTCCGGCTCCGGCTCCGGCTCCGGCTCCGGCACGGCTCCGGCTCGGCTCCGGCCCGGCTCTGGCCCGGAGGGCTTGTGTAACCAAGATTGATACTGTTGCAAGCGAGACACTCCAGTCGCAAGCGCGAAAAATAGAATGTCACCAGCAGGCATAGATCTCCCGAGAAAAAGGCTGTGCATAGGCCTGTTGTAGGGTCCAGGCAAGGGGGTTGGTAGGCCTATGAGAGGGCGCAAGCAGAGAGGTGTGTAGGCTGTGTAGGCCTTGGGTAGGCCCTAGGCCAGGGCGTTGGCCTCTGCCAAGGCTGAAGGGATGGGGTTTTGTAGGCCTTCGGTAGACAGACAAAATTCTACGTTGGTCCTACAGCAGGCCAAGAGCAGGCCCACAGACAGGGCTCCAGCCCAGAAGAGGGCTACGTGATAGGGGTTCGACAGGCCTTGAAGAGAGCCCCTTGGGTAGGCCTAGGACAGGCCAACGCAAGCGGAGGCAGGTCTACAAGAAAATCGCAAAAAGCGATCCAGAATGCGGCCGGGGGACGAGCGTGCAGGTAACACGCCGCTAGCAAACGGAACGCTCAAAGGAACCAGAGAAAACTATATCCGGGGGCAAGAGAGAGTCGCGCACGGCAACGGCGCGCATCTTGAGATGCAACGGCTGCGTCGCAGTATTTGTTGCGCTGGAAGTCGCATGTAAGAGCAAGATGCGGGCGATGTGAGGCCTCGTTTGGAGAGGCAATTCAAAGCTTAGCGCAATCTGTCTTGGCGGCTTGCATACGTGCGTGCGTACGTACATACGTACATACAAACATACACACATACATGCAAACACACATACACACATACATGCATACATGCATACATGCATGTATGCATACATACATAATTGCATGCATGCATGCATGCACACCCACATGCATACATTACATTCCATTCCGTTCCATTCCACTCCATTCCACTACACTGCATTACATTCCAGACATACTTTATATATTAGGTTACATTACATTACTTTACACAATACGCACATACATATGTACATATGTACGTACATCTATACATTGCATAAGTACATACATACATGCATTGCACCAGTACATAAAAACATACATTTCAGAATTAGATACACACACACATTACATTACAATACAATGCAGTACATTAAAATTCATTACATTCAGTTATGTTACATTACACACATACAGACATACATTGCATAACTACATACATACATACATACACACATTACATAATTACATGCATACATCACATACAGACATTACATACATACATACATACATACATACATACATACATACATACATACATACATACATACATGAGAGTCGTCCGTCCTTGTATTGAGCTATGAAGGGGAAGACCTTTTGGTCTTGGCGTTGACCTCCGCAAAAGTTCCGCGAAGGGGGTCGCGAAAGTTAATTTTTTATTCGCGAAAGTTTTTTGTGAGGGTGGCTTGCTAACAGGAAGCTGGAGTGATGAACCATGTGTATTTACCGGCAGTGCGGGCAGAATGCCCGCAGACCAAAATTGGCCGGGGAATGCGCAGCCTGAGGGTCGCCGCAAGAATACGCCGCTGCAAAAGCAACCCCCAGCCAGCAGAAACCGGCTGGTGGGAGTTTTGAAGCTTTGGAGCCAAGTTGAGCGCAACTTCCAGCCGGATTTTCGCGAATGTTTGGCGTAAGATCCGCGAAAGTTTCGCGAAAGTCGACGGACCTCCCGCCAGTTTTCCGGGACATGAGGCCAACGGGTCCTCTCGTGCGCAGGTAACGGTTGTGAGCTGGAGCTGCGGAAACGCGCTTCGCGTGCTACTTTGGAACTAAAAGATTTCGACTTTCGAGCTGGGGCTGCGGAAGCTTACTTTGTGTATTACTTTTGTGTTAGAAAGCTTTGACTTTCGAGGCTGCGGAAGTTTAGTTTATGTATTACTTTCGTATTGAAAAGTTGCGACATTCAAGCCGGGCTGCGGAAGTTTTCTTTGCTACTTTCGTATTGAAAAGCTGCGACTTTGAAGCTGGGGCTGCGAAAGTGTACTTTGTGCATTACTTTTGTGATGAATGGAAGATGGCGGTTTCCGGAACAAGGAATTTCAGACAACTGTCACATACATACATACATACGTATACACATGCACAGGAAGAACAACACATACAGACATATACTACACTACACGACACTACATTACATTACATTGCATTACACTACGCTACATTACATATATACAGTACATACATACATTACATACATACACACATACATACATACAAATACAATACAAGACAATACAAAACAATGCAATACAATACAATACAGTACATACATACATACATGAATACTTTGCATACATACGAACACACACACATACAAACATGCATACATAACAGACATACATACATACATGCATGCCGGCAGTACATTACATTACATTACATGACTTACATTGCATACATACATACATACAAACGTACATAGAAACACACATGCATACATACATGCATACATACATTACAGTACGCCAAATTGCAATACAATGCAATACAATGCAATACAATGCAACACTTTACATCGCATTGCATTGCACTGCATCACATTTCAGAACATTTCATCACATTACATTACATCACATCACATTACATTACATACATTTATACATACATACCTTGCATCGCATTACAATACACTACACTACATTACATTACATTACATTACATTACACACCTTACACACATACATACATACGTACATACATACTTTCACGCTACATACATACATACATTACGTTACGTTACGTTACGTTACGTTTCACTTACATACATACATACATACATACATACATACATACATTACATACATGCGTACATACATACATACAAACACACATTACATACATACATACATGCATGCTTACATACATACATTACATACATACATAGAGACATTCATTAGATTACATAACATTGCATTACGTTACATTACACACATTACATTACATTGCATTACATGCATACATTACATACATACATACATGCATTCATACCATTCATACATACATACATACATTACATACATACATACATGCACTACATTACATACATACATACATACATACGTACACACATACATACATTACATACATGCATACATACATACCATTCATACATACATACATACATTACATACATACATACACTACATTACATTACGTTACATTACATTACATTACATTTCGTTACATTACATTACATTACATTACTTTGCATACACACATACGTACATACATACATACATACATACGCACATACATACATTACATTGCATACATACATACCTACATACATTACATACTATACATACATACATGCATGCATGCATGCATGCATACATGACATACATTACATACATACATTACATTACATGACATGACACTACGTTACGTTACGTTACATTACATGCTTACATACTTACATCCATGACATACATACATACATGCATACATCCATACATACATACATCCATGCATACATACATACAGTACATACATGCATTACATACATGCGTACATACATACATACATACATGCATAGGAAGAATAACACATACATACATATATTACACTACACGACACTACATTACATTACATAGCATTACGCTACGTTACATTACATATCTACATTACACACACATACATACATACAAATACAGTACAAGACAATACAAAATAATGCAATACAATACAATACAGTACATACATACATACATGAATACGTTGCATACATACGAACACACACATACAAACATGCATACATAACAAACATACATACATACATGCATGCCGACAGTACATTACATTACATTACATTACATGACTTACATGGCATACATGCATACATACAAACGTACATAGAAACACAATTGCATTACGTCAAATTGCAATACATTACTTTACATCGCAGTGCATTGCACTGCACCACATTTCAGTACATTTCATCACATTACATTACATCACATCACATTACATTACATACATTCATACATACATACATTGCATCGCATTACAATACACTACACTACATTACGTTACATTACATTACATGACGTTACATTCCTTACATACATACATACTTACATACGCACATACATACTTTCATTTCCGTAATTCATCCATACATACATTACATTACGTTACGTGACGTTACATTACGTTACATTACACACTTACATACTTACATACATACATACAGTACATACATGCGTACATACATACATACATACATACACACATTACATACTTACATACATACATTACATACATACATAGATACATACATTACATGACATTGCATTACATTACATTACATACATTACATCACATTACATTACATTACATTACATTACATTACACACATTACATACATGCGCACATACACACATACATACATACATACATACATACATACATACATACATACACACACATACATACATACATACATACATACATACACTACATGCATGCATACATACCATTCATACATACATACATACACTACATCACATACATACATACATACATACATACATACATACATACATACATACATACATACATACATACATACATACATACATACATACATACATACATACATACATACATTACATACATACATACATACATACATACATACATACATACATACATACATACATACATACATACATACATACATACATACATACATACATACATACATACATACATACATACATACCATACATACATACATACATACATACATACATACATACATACATACATACATACATACATACATACATACATACATACATACATACATACACATACATACATACATACATACATACATACATACATACATACATACATACATACATACATACATACATACATACATACATACATACATACATACATACATACATACATACATTACAGACAAATATACATACATACATACATACATACATACATACATACATACATACATACATACATACATACATACATACATACATACATACATACAGACATACACTTACATACATACATACATACATACATACATAAAAACAACATTATGTGTTCGTGTGTGTGTGTGTGCTTCTTAAAGCTTAGGGCTTGGAACACACACAGTATGGACAACAATTGAAGTTTCGCCAGCTCCGGGGCTCTGGCTGGCTGGCTCCACGTCTCCGGCTCTCGCTCCGCACAGTCCAGGCTGCAGCTCCAACCGGCTCCGACCCGTCCCACTCTGAACCACTCTGGCCAGGCTGCCCGGCTCCGGCTCCAACTCCCGCTCCGGCCGGCTCTGAACTTCGGAGCGTAGGTGGCCACGCAGCGGGGCAGGTTGCGCCGGCCGTCCGCCATCTCACACTGGCCCGGCTCCGGCCCGGCTGGCGCTCGCTCCGCTCCGCTCTGGCCCGGCTCCGGCCCGGCCTCGCTTCCGCCCCGCTCTGACTCTGGCCCGGCTCCGGCCCGGCTCCGGCCCGGCTCCGGCCCAACTCTGACACTCCGGCTCCCGCTTCCGCCCCGCTCTGACTCTGGCCGGCTCCGGCCCGGCTCCGGCCCGGCTCCGGCCCGGCTCCGGCCCGGCTCCGGCCCGGCTCCGCTCTGGCCCGGCTCCGGCCCGGCCCCGGCTCCCGCTTCCGCCCCGTTCTGACTCTAGCCCGGCTCCGGCCCGGCCCCAGCCCGGCTCTGGCGCTCACTCCGTTTCGCTCGCCCGGCTCCGGCCCGGCCCCGGCTCCGGCCCGGCCTCAGCTCCCGCTTCCGGCCGGCTGTGACTCCGGCCCTCCGGCCCGGCTCCGGCTCCGGCCCGGCTCCGGCCCGGCTCCGGCCCGGCTCCGGCCCGGCTCCGGCCCAGGACAAAAAAAAGCATTCCCCCTTTGCTGACCAGCAACACAGTTTAGGGTTGGGGGGTTTCGGGTTTCTGGGTGGGGGGGTTATGTGTCTTGTCTTTGTTGACCAGCAACACAGTTTAGGGTTGGGGAGTTTCGGGTTTCTGGGTGGGGGGGTGATGTGTCTTGTCTTTGTTGACCAGCAACACAGTTTAGGGTTGGGGGGTTTCGGGTTTCTGGGTGGGGGGGTGATGTGTCTTGTCTTTGCTGACCAGCAACACAGTTTAGGGTTGGGGGGTTTCGGGTTTCTGGGTGGGGGGGGTGATGTGTCTTGTCTTTGTTGACCAGCAACACAGTTTAGGGTTGGGGGGTTTCGGGTTTCTGGGTGGGGGGGTGATGTGTCTTGTCTTTGTTGACCAGCAACACAGTTTAGGGTTGGGGGGTTTCGGGTTTCTGTGTGGGGGGGTTATGTGTCTTGTCTTTGTTGACCAGGAACGCAGCTTAGGGTTGGGGAGTTTCGGGTTTCTGTGTGGGGGGGTTATGTGTCTTGTCTTTGTTGACCAGCTTGGGTTGGGGGGTTTCGGGTTTCTGTGTGGGGGGGTTGTGTGTCTTGTCTTTGTTGACCAGGAACGCAGTTTAGGGTTGGGGGGTTTCGGGTTTCTGGGTGGGGGGGTTATGTGTCTTGTCTTTGTTGACCAGCAACACAGTTTAGGGTTGGGGGGTTTCGGGTTTCTGGGTGGGGGGGTTATGTGTCTTGTCTTTGTTGACCAGGAACGCAGTTTAGGGTTGGGGAGTTTCGGGTTTCCGGGTGGGGGGACTGTGTGTCTTGTCTTTGTTGACCAGCAACACAGTTCAGGGTTGGGGGGTTTCGGGTTTCTGTGTGGGGGGGTGATGTGTCTTGTCTTTGTTGACCAGGAACGCAGTTTAGGGTTGGGGGGTTTCGGGTTTCTGTGTGGGGGGGTTATGTGTCTTGTCTTTGTTGACCAGGAACGCAGTTTAGGGTTGGGGGGTTTCGGGCTTCTGTGTGGGGGGGTTATGTGTCTTGTCTTTGTTGACCAGGAACGCAGCTTAGGGTTGGGGAGTTTCGGGTTTCTGGGTGGGGGGGTTATGTGTCTTCTGAACATATAGGGGGTCCCACTTGAGATCCCGAAGTATGGTTGTGGAACATGTGGCCAGGCCACTTTCGGTGATACCAACAAAATTCCTCTACGGGAACCACCAGGTTGGTTCACAGAACGGGCAATGGCGCCCAAGGTGGGCAAGCAGATGGAGCCCAGCCGCCTCCAGAAACGACCCTGGCGCTTGTGGTGGCTCCTCGGACGAGAATGGATCTCATGAGTCGAAACCCGGGTAAGTCCAGGTGTTCAGGGACAGGCCCAACCAGAAACAGGTGGGGCCGGCCGCCCTTGCCAATTCTCATGATTTTGGGTAGGAATTGGTGGTCTGGATGGGTGGTTTGGGGACTTCATCCGTTGGTTCTTGTATCCAATACATGGGAAACCCTCCCCTAAGCTCCAAACCACGTTTCCAAACCACCCTATAGAGGGAAACTGATATAGGGAGACTCACCCTAAAGTGGACACCAACAGTTGGGTGTGTGTTTTCCGAGGGTACCCTCTTAGGTTTGGATAACCAAAAAGGAAAGCCACGATATTGTTGGGTCCCGTATTTTGACGCAGACCCAAGTGAACCCCGCAGAACACACACAAAGAAAAACATGGACAAGCGGAACCACACTCATGGTGTTGTATTTCGGTACCCTTTGCACTAGCTGCCGCCACACAAAGGCTATGGTTTCCCTTTGGTCGCCCAGCGCTTATTGTAGCCTCACAAAGGCTTTGCGACCGGTCAGCATGAACGTTCACTTCTTGTTGGTTAACTAGTACAGTTCAGCCAGGTATGTCCCATGGTCCAAAGACCTGTTTGCTTGGGGGGACTAGAGGTGGTCATCAACCCTTTAATGCGGACCTTGGACAAAACGTGCTACGATTTCTGTTGAGGTTGCCACGACTAGAACCCTGGGGAAGCCTGGGATGGGAATGTTTTTAGAGCGGTCAATCTTGAAGGCCTGGGGGATGACTTACCCGCTTCTTTGTGTGCCCAACTGGCAGAGAGCCTCAGTTCTGGGCCCAGGTCATCAATTTTCAGTCAAGGTCAGCCACCTATTGCCCCTTTCCCTTGACCCATCTTGAACCCAGGGGATCCCAGGCAAGCCACAGCTAGCCAGACATTTCGTCCGTTTGCTTTTGGACGGGTAAGTCCCGTTGTTGGCCGTTGAGGGTGTGGGGGTTTGCATGGGGGGCCTGCGATCACTGATAACACATGACATGTTTCGCTCGGGTTCTCCTGGAAGCCCAACACCTCATTCTGTGAGGTCTTTGGAGGTCAACAGCCATGAATTTCAGGGTCTTGGGCTCTGGGGAGCAGACGATAATTTGTCTCATGCTCGTTCCGAATCATTTCATCAACGTTGAGTACTCACGGTTCTACAGAAGATGTTGGCGCAATGTGATTTCGGCTCTGAATGTGCAAGTGATGAGATTCAATCAAGCGCGGGAAAAGGAAGGGAGCAACTATGACTCTCTTCAGGCAGCCAAATGCCTCGTCATCTAGTTAGTGACGCGCATCAATGGATCAACGAGATTCCCACCGTTCCTGCCTACTGTCTAGCGAAGCCACAGTCAAGCGAATGGGCTTGGGATAATCAGCGGGGAAAGAAGAACCTGTTAAGCTTGACTCTGGTCCGCCTTTGTGAAATCACTTGGAAAGCGTAGCATAAGTGCCCTAGGCAGAAAGGAATTTGCAATTCTTGCAACTGGCCATACTCATCTGATGTTTATTTGTTGTGGCTGCTGCTAGGGTCCTCCCAAACCATGAGCTACTCAGGAATTCTGCTTCCGAACCGACACACATCGAGACTGCCAACTGAAGGCATTCAAACGTCTTTCCGCCTCTTATATAGCAATACACGGGTCTGCAAGTGGTTTCGGTGTTTCTGTGGAGAGGTCGAGATACCACCGAAGTGGGGCATTACTCCACTTGGAACCCTGGAGCAAAACGGTCTGCCGGGAACCGCTGGTCAGGCTCAATGTTTGTCGGTGGGGTATTTCGGTAATACGGTTCCATTCTTTGAGGCGAACCCCGGAAATACGAAGCATGTTTTTTTTCACTCCTGCTATTCAATTTGTTCAACCTTCCAACACCTTCCCCCCCCTCCCGGTCGGCTATTTTGCAATGAACTTGAACAAAGGAACCTTCGCTGAATTCCGGGGGTTGCTGCTGGGGATGCCGCCTCGGCTTCGGGAGATTCCTCCGAGGTCCGAGAAGCGGCGCAAGGCGCGGGCGACGGTTCATTTCCTGCTATTCAGGGGCATAGAATTGCGCGAGATTTGTATAGGATTGTGAGAGCCAGCACCTCACCAAGACCTTGGTGATGAACCTTGCCCAAGTGTAATGAAGGTTCCTGATGTCAGGATGCGTTGGCGAAGATATTATTTGCGTCTGCAAGAGGCAATTGTGTTTCCTCCGTGCTGCTGTTGAACAACTTGCTCCACTCTGTATCTTGGTGGGTTCGGTTGGACTGCTTTGTTTGGGTTTATGTGTAGACCACCAGGGCATGGATCCCCAACCGCGTTTTCTTTAATCACCCTTCATCAAGCGTTTGTCGTGGTGTTCCTTTGAGACAAGGAGAGGGCCCGCCAGGGGTGTGTCACATTAGGTTGCTTGCCCCATGCCGGTGCTTGCGCAGGGAATGAGAGAATGACCCTATCAAACCAAAGGTTTTCCCGTGGTTGGCTAGGGTCATTCACTCATTGGAAAATGTTGGCCGTTCAAAAGGCAGCCCTGATGGCTTACGAACGGGTCTGCTTTGTAGTGTTTCTCACAAAGGATCATGGAAATAGGATTGACCAGCCCCCGTGTTCCTTTCTCAGTTGGAGGAGTTCCTGTTAAATGTGGCAAGAAAGCTGACGTCTCCTCCAAAACCAGTTCATGTTTCCGGCTCTGCGTAGGCTAGTTTCTACGTACCTCAGACGTGTGCGAATACAAGGGCGCCCAATTTAAAAGCCAACCCCCGCGCCGCGCGTTCGAAGTCTGGACTGTTTGCGGTCCCTCAACTAGTTTTGTGACCTTTGACAGTGGTTGCATGGAACACATTCATCCTTTCTCTTGGGGGAATTTTCATGAGCCTTGGAAAACTTATCGGGTTCAACCGCAAAACCTTGTGAAAGGTCGGTTCAGATTCTAGGTTCTTCCGCAAAAACTCCCTCGAAATGTCCTGTTCAGAAGGCTCGGAGCCCTCCGCGCAGCTGAAGCACATGGATTTGGCAAAGGTTTGGCCATGGCGAATTTGACTCTGTCCAAATCGAACTGGACCAGTCGTAGCATTATGCTGAGTGACAGATTTGTCAGCGTGTCACTCGTTAACGCAAGTCAAGCAGTTCAGAGAACTTGTGTGTGTGAGTACGTGTTTCGTTTTTTGGGCTCCAATGACAGCAGCCACTTCCATCACCCCACCGAGTTTTTTCCAGGTAGGCAAGGTAGGCTGTATTGGCGATGAGTGGAATGGTGCTCAGTACTACCCTCCTGTCCATTATCATGGAACCCGCCAGAGAGCTTCCCGTTTAACGACACACCGACACGGCGGGTTCCATGTGAATGGGCAGGAGGGCAAGTGTTTCTTATTTCCTGCCAGACCAACTGTTTAGAGGCTTCAGCGATCGCCAGGATGATCGCTTGCTGCAAGCAGCAGCAGAAGGGGACGTCGACACTATGCAGGAGCTGCATGATCGCTTGCTCATAGCCATTCCTTGTTTTGACCCAGGGACCAGATTTTCAGTGGATACCACCTTGTTCCCGGCTTTTATTGGATTGTTTTCCCTTTAGAACCAACCAACCAGCAACATGTTTTCCACTGGGTCAGCCAGGCAGTGCTCGTAGTCCCTTGCACAGAACCTCGCCCTAAGCAAGTACGGCAAGCGGAGCCCTTCTGGCAAGGTATGAGTCTCCGGGAAAATCACAGACACATCATATCTGCACAAAATTGTCACGAGCTCAGTGGTAAAATGAGCTCACCCATGATGAAGGTCCTTGGTAAAAGGGTCCCTTATTTCTAGGTTGTGCGTGTCACTTTGCCCGGATCGTATACACATCACTCCGGCTCGCCAGGACCTGCTCACCCAGAGCAAGGCGGGCTCGGCTTGCGGGGTGCCCGGCAAGTTCACATGAGGCGTTGAGAAAGGAAACGAAACCACAAGCTCCCAGGCATGTTTCTTGTCCCTTTTCCCCATTCTCTTGGGAGAGGTTGAGGTTCCCTCTGCCACAGGGCCTTCTTCCCATGCAGTTCCCCCGGGCTTCCGAGACTCTGGGTACTTTGCCCATTTCCCAGGCATCTCTTCGATGTTCCTTAGCCTGGGTGGGTTCGGTGAACAATTGCATTGGTCCATGGTTCTTTGGGGACACGGGGGAGCTCAACTAAAGTTCCCACCAAAACCAGGGGCCAGGCCCTAAATTTCATGTCCTAGGGGAACAACCAATTTTTAAGGATACCAAGAGGAAAGCGTCCCCAAGCAGATCCTTTGCTCCTTCTGGAATAGTTTGACATACCCAAAATGGTGATTTGTCCCACAAAAAGCGGTGGCAATGCGGCAACCACCTCCCCAAAGCCTGTTTTGCAAAAACAATGCGTGAAGCCCCGCAAATCATCGGCTTTCCTTTTAAGTTCTTGGCCCCAGCTCCTTGCACGGTCCATTTCTGGGCCAACCCCTTCCGGCCCCTTCCGAAAGCCGCCCCTTGCGTCGCTTCCCGCGCCCCGCGCGGCGCGGAGGCCCAGCCCTTCGCCTCCTGCGGGGCCTTCGACAAGGCGAGCGGCCGCCACGCGCTGCACTTCGCGGTGGGCGCGGAGTCCATGGAGGCGCTGGAGCTGCTGCTGGACCACGGCGCCCAGGCGCTTTGGCGCGGGAGGGGCGGAGGGTGGGGGGTTGGGTGGGTGGAATGGGTGGTGATGGTGGGTTTGGCGGGCCGGGAAAGCGTTGTGTTTGAGGGGTGGGGTAGGGTGGGGGCAGGGTTGGGGGGCAGTTTGCTCACTTCCCTGAGTCTGTTGGGGTGGTTGAGCCCAGGGTGGTCAAATTTTAAAGGGATACCCTCTCACCGACATTGCTTGGTGCAGAGGCACCTGTTGGACAAGTTTCCTTCTGGACCTTTTGGAAGTTCTGTGCACCTAGCCGTGGCGAACTTGCCAAATGGCACATGGCTTCCCGAGAGACGAGTCCCGAGCCTTGGGAAGCACGTGGAAAACAAGCAGTCTGTACATATATATACTTTAGAGCCTCCGGCTCAGTCCGCCGACATTGTCCTCTCCCTTTTCTCCTTCTTCCTCTCTTCCTTGTCTCCCTTGTGTGTTCTGTCGTCCTCTCTCCCTCCCTCTGCTCCCATCCTCCCCATCCCCCCAAGCCTCTCTCTCCCCACTCTCCCTCTCTCTCATGCATGCATGTATGCATATGTATGTATGTATGTATGTATGTATGTATGTATGTATGTATGTATGTATGTATGTATGTATGTATGTATGTATGTATGTATGTATGTATGTATGTATGTATGTATGTATGTATGTATGTATGTATGTATGTATGTATGTATGTATGTATGTATGTATGTATGTATGTATGTATGTAATGTATGTATGTAATGTATGTATGTAATGTATGTATGTATGTAATGTAATGTAATGTATGTATGTATGTATGTATGTATGTATGTATGTATGTATGTATGTATGTATGTATGTATGTATGTATGTATGTATGTATGTATGTATGTATGTATGTATGTATGTATGTATGTATGTATGTATGTATGTATGTATGTATGTATGTATGTATGTATGTATGTATGTATGTATGTATGTATGTATGTATGTATGTATGTATGTATGTATGTATGTATGTATGTATGTATGTATGTATGTATGTATGTATGTATGTATGTATGTATGTATATGTATGTATGTATGTATGTATGTATGTATGTATGTATGTATGTATGTATGTATGTATGTATGTATGTATGTATGTATGTATGTATGTATGTATGTATGTATGTATGTATGTAATGTATGTATGTATGTATGTATGTATGTATGTATGTATGTATGTATGTATGTATGTATGTATGTATGTATGTATGTATGTATGTATGTATGTATGTATGTATGTATGTATGTATGTATGTATGTATGTATGTATGTATGTATGTATGTATGTATGTATGTATGTATGTATGTATGTATGTATGTATGTATGTATGTATGTATGTATGTATGTATGTATGTATGTATGTATGTATGTATGTATGTATGTATGTATGTATGTATGTATGTATGTATGTATGTATGTATGTATGTATGTATGTATGTATGTATGTATGTATGTATGTATGTATGTATGTATGTATGTATGTATGTATGTATGTATGTATGTATGTATGTATGTATGTATGTATGTATGTATGTATGTATGTATGTATGTATGTATGTATGTATGTATGTATGTATGTATGTATGTATGTATGTATGTATGTATGTATGTATGTATGTATGTATGTATGTATGTATGTATGTATGTATGTATGTATGTATGTATGTATGTATGTATGTATGTATGTATGTATGTATGTATGTATGTATGTATGTATGTATGTATGTATGTATGTATGTATGTATGTATGTATGTATGTATGTATGTATGTATGTATGTATGTATGTATGTATGTATGTATGTATGTATGTATGTATGTATGTATGTATGTATGTATGTATGTATGTATGTATGTATGTATGTATGTATGTATGTATGTATGTATGTATGTATGTATGTATGTATGTATGTATGTATGTATGTATGTATGTATGTATGTATGTATGTATGTATGTATGTATGTATGTATGTATGTAATGTATGTATGTATGTATGTATGTATGTATGTATGTATGTATGTATGTATGTATGTATGTATGTATGTATGTATGTATGTATGTATGTATGTATGTAATGTAAGCAAGTAAGTAAGCAAGTAAGTAAGTAAGTATGTATGTATGTATGTATGCATGTATGTATGTATGTATGTATGTATGTATGTATGTATGTATGTATGTATGTATGTATGTATGTATGTCTGTATGTATGTATGTATGTATGTATGTAATGTATGTATGTATGTATGTATGTATGAATGTATGTATGTATGTATGTATGTAATGTATGTATGTATGTATGTATGTATGTATGTATGCATGTATGTATGTATGTAATGTAATGTAATGTAATGTAATGTAATGTAATGTAATGTAATGTAAATGTAATGTAATGTAATGTAATGTAATGTAATGTAATGTAATGTAATGTAATGTATGTATGTAATGTATGTATGTATGTATGTATGTATGTATGTATGTATGTATGTATGTATGTATGTATGTATGTATGTATGTATGTATGTATGTATGTATGTATGTATGTATGTATGTATGTATGTATGTATGTATATGCAATGTATGTATGTATGTATGTATGTATGTATGTATGTATGTATGTATGTATGTATGTATGTATGTATGTATGTATGTATGTATGTATGTATGTATGTATGTATGTATGTAATGTATGTATGTATGTATGTATGTATGTATGTATGTATGTATGTATGTATGTATGTATGTATGTATGTATGTATGTATGTATGTATGTATGTATGTAATGTATGTATGTATGTATGTATGTATGTATGTATGTATGTATGTATGTATGTATGTATGTATGTATGTATGTATGTATGTATGTATGTAATGTATGTATGTATGTATGTATGTATGTATGTATGTATGTATGTATGTATGTATGTATGTATGTATGTATGTATGTATGTATGTATGTAATGTATGTATGTATGTATGTATGTATGTATGTATGTATGTATGTATGTATGTATGTATGTAATGTATGTATGTATGTATGTATGTATGTATGTATGTATGTATGTATGTATGTATGTATGTATGTATGTATGTATGTATGTATGTATGTATGTATGTATGTATGTATGTATGTATGTATGTATGTATGTATGTATGTATGTATGTATGTATGTATGTATGTATGTATGTATGCTATGTATGTATGTATGTATGTATGTATGTATGTATGTATGTATGTATGTATGTATGTATGTATGTATGTATGTATGTATGTAAGTAAGTAAGTAAGTAAGTAAGTAAGTAAGTAAGTAAGTAAGTAAGTAAGTAAGTAATGTAATGCATGTAATGTATGTACGTATGTATGTATGTGCATGTGCATGCATGCATGCATGCATGCTTACATACATGTATGCATGTATGTACGTATGTAATGTATGTATGTATGTAATGTCAGGTAATGTCATGTAATGTAATATATTGTAATGTACTGTACTGTAATGTATGTATGTATGTATGTATCCTTGCACTTCCGCTTTGCTCCGGAGTATGTCCCGCAAAAAAACACGGTTTTTCCAGCGTTTTCGCAAAGAGGACGTCCAAAAACATTGAGTTTTTCCAGATTTTCGGCAAAAAGATGCAGGAAGCCCAAGCCAGCAAAAAAGCCGGCAGGGGGAATCGAGCCTGGGACCCCTGTTCTCCCCGAAGACTACGTTTAGTGGAACGTCATCAAATTGCCGCGCGGTACGTGGGCCCCCCCCGTGCCTTGGACGCTTGGCGTCCATACGGCGAATGACGTGTTTTGCTTAGTGGCACGTTGCGTGTCCGGCCCAATCGGACTTCTCGGACGGATCGGACGACACGGACGTGCCGAACGGACGAGCGCGCACGCACATGCCGGATGGCTTGGACGGCTCTCCGAGGGCTGGGGCAGATCAAAAGCTCGGACTGCTGTAGGGCTTGGACTCCTCGCACGGGTCGGACAGATCGGACGGCGCGGGCGGCTCGGGCGCATCAAGCCGATCGGACTGATGGCTCGGTTGGATCGGATGACGCTGACGGCAGCTCGGACGGCTAGGGCGGATCGGACAGCTCGCACGGAGGATCTGATGGTTCGGACAGCTCACAAGCTTGGATGGCGGGACGGGCTGCGCCGCGCGGACAGCTCGGACGGATCGGACGGCCCCGATGGCTCGCGCGGGTCGGACGGATCGGACATATCGGATTGATTGGGTCGATGGGGCGGACTCATCGGACGGTTCGGACGGCTCGGATGTCGCGGTCAGATCAGATGCACGGATCGGGCGGATCGGACTGCTCGGACGGATCGGACAGATCGGACAGCTCGGACGGCTCGGACTGATCAGACGGATTGACGCCTCGGAGGCTCGGACGCCTCGGACCGCGGACGGCGCGGACGGATCAGACTGGTCGGACCCTGTTCAGTTTGGATGGTTTGGACGGACCTTGGAAAACCTTGAGTGTCTATTCGGCGAGCAAGGCCCCACCTTGCAAAACCTTGAGCGTCTATTTGGCGAGCTTCCCTTTCTAAGGATTGACTTTTGAAAGGAGCCTCCTTTTCCAAATAGACCTCAAGTGTCCATCTTACCCCCCCCCCCCCCCAAAAACCTATGTAATAGACGTCGGGCGGGGGGGGGTTAGGGGGGGGGTTATCCTCTATCCTCTAGTAAGTATCCGACACGCCGAGCAATGTCGGCGGATATATATCATACATGTATATATATATATAGTGGTGTGGGATGTGGGGCTTGCATAGATGTTCCATATGAAACTTTCAGCATCATTTGGGCGTTTCTGGATTTTGTTTTGGTTTCCCTTGAAAAACCATCCCAAAAGGGGACCCCTGTTTTGAGAAGCACGTTGCGGTTGGCAAGGTCAACATCAAGAGCCGCAGTCGCGCCACCGCGTTGCACGTGGCGGCCGCCCGGGGCCACGTGGGCATGGTGCTGCGGCTGCTTGCGGCCGGGGCAGCGCCCAGTCCGAAAGAGAAGCACGCGAGTGACGCCCCAAGATCCCCATGGTGTTTGCAGGGCTTTTCCCGAAATTTGCGGGGCTTTCTCGGGGTTTGCAGAGCTTGTCCAAGGCTTTTGCTAAGAGCTTTTTCCGTGGGTTGCACTTTCAGGGGTTTGCAGGGCTTTTCCGGGGCTTTCCCGGGTATGAGGGCTTTTGCGGGAGGGCGTTCCTGGTTTGCAGGGCTTTTCCCGGAGTTTGAGGACTTTTTTCCGGAGTTTGTAGGGCTTTCTTAAGGCTATTCCCGAGGGTTTCCCCGGGGCTTGCAGGGCTTTTCTCGGGTTTGCAGGGCTTTTCCAAGGCTTTTTCTAAGAGCTTCTTGCAGGACATTTTCCAGGTAGTCAGGGTTTTCAAGTTGTTTTTGTTCCCCGTGGTTTTTGCGGGGTTTAAGGTCCCAAGGTTTGAACTTTTGTGCTTCCCTCTTAGTCGGTCGGCCTGCTTGGTTTTTTTCCCCCTGTTGCACCATGCTTGGACCATCAAGGGCAACCAATTCACACCATTCACACCTTTATGAATATGGACATGGGGCACCTTTTTGAGTCCGCGATCAAATCGCAGCCTGTAGATTGATTCCCCGACAAGTATTGTTAAGTGTTGCCACGTGTTGGTTTCTTGGTGGCTCCCAGCCATTTCCATTTCACCCACTAAAAGTTTAAACTTCGCGCGGGGGAGCGGAAAACGGACAGCCCAGGTTTGCTTTGCCTTTTCGGGAGGGTCAGTTGAGCCACAATCAAAACCCGGGTAAGTGAAGCTTTGTAAGGGACGATCCCAGCCATAAATAGCCAGACAGGCCGCCTTCTTAGTTCTTGAAGCATGGTTCTGGGTAGACAATTTTTGTACCGGGTTTTCATTATGACTCAGGAGTCTTCAACAAGGAATCATTGGGGGCGCCTTGGGGGACCCTGGACGCCCCCGCCCCCAGTTACTCAGTTGGCGCCTAGGATGCCATGTGTCAGACGGAGGAGGGGCAAACTGCCTTGCACCTGGCGGCGGCCAATGGCCGCTCAGAGGCCATCAAGGCCGGCGGCGAGCGAGCGCTCAAGCGAGCTGTGCCATGTGTGTGTGTGTGTGTGTGGCTACGCTTCCTTTTTGTTTGTTTCCCTTGTGGGTCTCAAAAGGAATGTATCACTCTTGGAGATATTTTATTTTTTCCAGGGAACTTAACCAAATGGAAGTACGTGTTTGTTTGTTTGTTTGTGCCCGCTTTGGGTTCGTTTAAGGGAAACCAAAATGAAGGCCACCCTTTTCCGGGGTCCCCGATGTTTCCAAATAGGACATTACCCTGTTTGGGGGTATCCCTTTTTGGCTTGGTTGAAGGGCAAACCGAAGGACGGCCAGCATTTCTTTGGCCCCCCCATTTTGACCCATACACATGTGTGGCGCTTTGGACAGTTGCTGGCTCTCAGTCGCCCAGTGGCACTGGTTTCCCTTTTTGGTCGGGCCACTAAAAGTGGTCAATTCCAACATGGGAACCAGGCTTTGGAACTGTGCACACTCTTGTACTGCAGATTAACATGGACCCCCCCCACCCAAAAAAATAAAAGACAGAGAGTACGAAAAAAGAAGAAGAGGAAGAACCACCGTCCATGTTTACGGGCATCTTTTTGAGGGGACCCCCAAGCTGGGGCTCCATCAATAGACACTTGCAGCCGAAAAGAAGAGGTGAATGCCTGAGGCTCTTGTGGACGCGCAGCCATTGGTTGGAGGGCTTCAGACTGGTTCCTGGACGTGGAGGTGAACCCGGTTGCTTGAATGGGCCACCTGAAGGGCTGTGAAAATCCAGGGCCCTTTCGTATCCTCTTAGGCAGGCAGGGGGTCCCAGTCTGTCGCGAGGCGCTGCTTCAGCAAGAGCCGGAGAAGCAGCTGGTGGTGAGGAACAAGCTGGGGCAGCTGCCACCCCAAAGCTCGGCGGATGCCTTGACTGCCTTCATGTGCCTTGCCAGAGGGACGAGGAAAGGTTCTACTGTTGGACTACCCCAGGGTAGACTTAAACCCATGGTTCATTCCCACCAAAAGGAGGATTTCTGGGTTTAAGTCTATCTTGAGGGAGTGAAGAAGTGGAGCCCTGATTTCGCTTGGTGTTTTGGTGTTCAGCTGCAAATCCTATGAGTTGCGAGGGTCTTTCAGCTTGTCATGCGTCTTTGAAACGGACCTGTTGTTGATGATGCGTTTTTGTTTGTGTAAAGCTGCGCGGTTGGTTGGCTGGCTGGTTGTTGCTTGTTTGGTTGGTTGGCGGGCTACCTGCCTCTTTGGGTTGATTGGTTGGCTTGTGCGACACTCTTTGTTTAGTGTGGCAACCCTCGTTCATCTATAGGAAACCTACCCACACCTCTTTGTTACATGTTGTTGTTGTTTTTCTTTTCAAGCATCCCGCAACCCCATGCTAATGATTGAGGCCCTTCTAGTGCTGTTTCAGTACATCGGTTCCACCCCAAAGTGCAGTGCCCCCCATTGTAATCAACCCGAGGTCGATAATGAATGAACTGGGCTCTCCCACTGCTCCTCTGAAAGTAGCAAACAAAAACCCAAAATATCGGTATCACCTTCAAGGGGACAAGCAACCTGGTGTTTAATCAACTGTGCTCTGGCCCCATGATGTCACCATGATCAAAGTCCCCCCCCCCCAAGTGGTAGGTTGGGAAGTAATTCCATTTTCTGACTTTGATACCCCCCATCAGTCAAACTCATGACTCCAGAGGTTGCGACTGCCCCATATTGATCTTGCTGGGGTTTATTCAACTGCTCAGTTGCCCACAGCCGACCTTTTGACCTTTCGGTTTTAACATTTTCCATTTAAGGTGCCGAACAGGTACCTGCTATTTCTGGGTCCCTAAGGGGCAAGTGAGACTTGGACAACCCCCAGAAACAGAATCAAAGGAATGACTCCAGAGCTTTTCACCAACCCATATTGATCAACCTGGGGTTTATAGGTTCCCGTCGCTTGCTTCGTTTCAGGTTCCGCGGCTTCGCCTTCGCCAGCTGCGGCGTCGGCTCCCGCCGGAACTCAGCTTGCAGCGAGGTGTCCACCGCTGCCTCCTCGACGGACCTGGGGGATTTGTCGGACCTGGGGTACGGGATCGGCGCAGCTGTGGACACCTACCTGGAGCGCGCCTTGAAAACACATCCAGGAATGCCAAAGGAGGAAGGCACAGTGCCATGAGCCACAGGCCATGATCATTTTTTTTTTGGACTTTAGACTAACGATTTAGGACGTCCCTAAACGTGTAAGGGATCGTGTCGAACGATGAGAAAAGTCATCCCGGGTTGTGGGCATGAGGGGCTTCCCACTTTTGTGGTACAAGAAAACACACCTTTCAGTGTCGTGGTCTTTGGGACCCGGGCCTTTTGGTGGGTTGAAACATTGTCTGGCCCATCTCAGATGAGTTTCTTCTGGGTGGTTCCCTCTTTTGTGCCCCTGTTGGTTGTAAACATCACCTTTTGGGCGAACCACAAACATGAGTTTCTCTTGGGGTCGTCTGAAAATACTTTGCTTGCAAAGCCCCACAACTCCTGTTTTGGGGCTGTTTTCATGGAAAGCCAAAAGAAGCAAGGACCTACCTATTTTGTGGGTACCACCTCCCAAACGAAAACCACCATCAGCAGGGGGTGATGTTTGTAGCTTGGAATTCCAGGGAGCCCCGCGAGAAGCTCTCGAGGCACAGCCCACGCCACTGGGGCTTTGCGGCGGGACTCGAGGGCCGACGCGGTGCAGCGTTTATTGCGCACCACGCGCAGGCTGAAGGAGGCCGGGCGGTTCGACCATGGCTTTGGTACATGTTGCCAAGGGATGTCAGGACTTGAACTTTTTGCCAACCAGTGGGTTTTCCGTATTAAGCCACTAAAAGTTGAACTTTTAGCAGGGGAGCCGAAAGCAACCAAGATGGGTCTGTCGACTCCTTTTTTTTGGGGGGTGACCCACAAAATGGCTGGAATGTCCTTTTGGCTTCCCTCCAAAACAGCTAGCCTCAAGTACTGGTGTGTCCTCAAGGAGGGAAACCCTTGAAGTCCCAGACCCAGAACCGTGCCCTCCAAAAAAACCTGGACTGGGGGACTCGCCACAATGCCGGGACAGCCCGCTTTTGGTTGGTACTTAAAGCGAAACCAAGAGGAAACCAGCCATTTTCGGGGACGGTTCGTTATTTTGAGAAGCGTTGCCAGAGTTAGCTTGCCTGAACTTGCTGCCTTTTTGCTTTTTTTTGCAATTTCCTCGCACCAGCCGACAAACAAGACGGTTTGCAGCGGGTCTAGCACGTGTGACAAAGGGAATGGGTGGTTTTCTATTGGGTTTCACACAACGGGCACCGCACGGCTGTGTTCATCCACCGGATTGACTCCCCCGGGCACCGAGCCCCGGAAGTTGGATGTGCGACCGCTTCGGAACACGTCGAGCCGTCAGCCTTTTACATGGCCGGCCACGGGCGAACTGGTTGACGCTGCTTCCTGCCAAGAATCTGCAAGAGCTTCTGATGGGAAGACATTCCCACAGACGCGTGGCTCAAAAGAACATCAGGGCTCGAGTCTTAGTCTTTGGTTCCATTTCGCCAGTCGCCATTTCACATTGAGCTGCCAAAAAGCCAACCAGATCCTTCTGCCGGTGATGGCACCTGCCACCAGCGCGAACAAGCGCGCCAGCAAAAAGCATTTTCCACCGCTTGGGTTCAGTCATGGGTTGGTGCGTAGCGGCCATCGATGCATGAATCGAGCTTCATGGACTCAGCGGGAAACCAAAATCCAAAGGAGCTTCCCCCAGTACTTCCAATTATCATTAACTTCGGACCTTTTCCCTAAATCAACGTCCTCTCCTTTTGTTTCTCCCCAGAGATTCCCCAATGCAACAGGACAGACGTGGCAAGCCACCTGGCCAAATCGACTCCGCGACTCGACTGGCTCGCGAGACTCGCTCGCGAGGTGGAACTGCCGGAGAGGCATTTGACGGAGAAGACCCTCACCGCGATGTCCTTCAAGGCGAGCTCACCGGATCCGACCCGACTTACCATGGATGGCGAGCTCACCGAGCCCAACTCGAGTAGAACGAGATTGCCATGAAAAAAAGGTCTCCGCGCCGGGGGTAGAACGAGCCCAGCCCATGAAAAAAAGGTCTCCAAAAGGAGTTGTTCCTCTCAATTCATGGCTGTTTGGGTTCTAAGGTCTGCATCATGAGGGTACCAAGCTCGATTTGATTTAGTTGAAGACTTTCCTGGAACCCAGCAACAGGACTGAACATGCTTGAACATAGGACAAGGTTTTGCCTCAGTGCTGCGGCTTTAACACAGTCTTGGGTGTTCAGTCGGTGTTTCCCCCTGCTCCGGATTTGACTACCCCGCTTTGCTCCATCGGACACCCTACCCCGAAACCTTCTGTGGATGGATGACATCCTGCACAATGAAGCCCTAGGAAACCATTGGTTTTTGGTACTTACGTCGGGGACTCGAATCAGAAACCAGTTCTGACTCTTTTGTGCGGCAGAAACAAAAAAACGCATCGAATCATTCCAGGGTTTCTGAGTTCGGCGCAAAAGAGATGGACTTCGCGTCCATCCACCGGGGGTTCGCCCTACGTGGAGCGCTTCGATGGATCGGAAAGCGCGCAGGCGGCCTCGCCCAAGGGCTCGCCCTCCAAGTCCCCGTCCGCCTCCAGCGGCACCTCCACGCCCAAGCGGCCCAACTTGGTGAAGATGAAGTCGGGGTCCTCCCGGGTGGAGAAGGCGCGAGAAGAGCCGAGAGGAGCCGAGAGAAAAGGGCCCCCGCCGAAAAACTGGAGAGATGTTGTTTGTTTTGGTTGGGGAGCGGATGAGAAGGACCTTGTTTCTAAGGTAGTTTGAAACACCACCCTCTTCAGTTTCTGTTGTTCCCAATGGATAGACAAATCGATAGTCCATGCATGCATCCATCCAACAAACGAGCGAACGAAGAAGTCAATCAGACACAAGCAAGTGAGGCCCTGGCTTTGGCAGGGAGGAAGTTGAGAACGAATCTGAATAAGTGTATACACAGGGAGTCTCGGAGTTTTCGAGACTCCTATGGTCAATGTCCCCCTCCCAATATGGGCTGATGGCGAGGGCCTACTTGAGGGCTGTCGGGCCCCGTTGGATGCCTTTTGCAATGTGTTTTTTCTTATTTTCTTGTTGCCGGGGGGAACGCTTTGCCAGCGGTGAGCCTGGATTCAAGAAAAGGAGGATTGGGGCGTTGCTTTGGGCTTGGTTGAACATGCAGGTTGCACCCGGCTCCGTGTTTACCCTCCCCCAAGCCAACATGGAAGCTCCCAGACCCCTTTGGAAGACTTGGTTCCATTTACAAAGGCCTTCTGGGAGGTTCCATGTTAGTCTGAGGGAGTGTATGATGGGAAGTCTGTTGTCCCAGTGAGAAGCATGGTTGCCGCCTGTCTGTGGAGTTTCCGAGACCCTTAGCTGGGAAATCATCAACTCATCTAATGTAGGAGCCGCCCTTCCCCACGTACCGCACCACCCCGCATGCCTCCAAACCGATACAAATTCAATATAAGCCATACAATTGCAAAAAGCCAAGGGCGGTCAACAAACGCCCAAAAGTTCCCAGGAAACTTGGTGGCTCCCAGCCATCCCGTTAGCTTTTCGTCTTTTTAATGTTGCGTGGGGATTTTTAGCTTAACCCTCACTAAAAGTCGGTCGCTTTTAGCGGGGGATCGGACAACGGACAGCCCTGGAAACTCAGATCCGTAGCCCATGTTAGCACTTTGAGCACACAGGACCACTGCTTCTCGCGAATCCACGGAAACTGTTTTTTCTTCTTTCGGTAAACCGTGGGTTCGGGCCGCGTTTCTTGGTTTGCAAGTGATAGGTAGGACATCCATCTACTTCCCACTTTTTTGAAACCCCAAAACCCACCATTTCTATCGGACTCGTTTGGGACTTGGACTTTTCTTCGGCGGATGAACCCAGGTTCATCTAACACCCAAAAAAAAACACCATCTCTTGCAGACTCTTTTTGGGACTCGGAGGTTTCTTTTGGCGGATTAACCCCGGTGAATCGGTGTTCGTCTGAATCAGGTGAGCCACGTCCTCAAAACCCGGGTAGAGGGTTAGTATGGGGCAGTCGCCAGAAATAGTTGCGGATATCCGCCTTTCTAATTCTTGAAGCATGGTTCCGGGAAAACGACCATTTTACCGGGTTTTGATTGTGGCTCATTTGGGTGTGGCTCAGAATGAAACGATCGGAGGGGCCGCAAACCGCAGGTTTTGGTCTCCATGTGTCCACTTCCCGATGGGGCAACCCGGTGAGTCGGTGTTCGTTTGAGTCAGGTGGGCCCCAACAGCTTCGAGCTCGTAAAGCTCCTGGGCCGGGGCTCCTTCGGCGAAGTCTTCCAGGCGCTTGGCGCTTCGGTCGGGCGCCGGTTGGTCGGTCGGTCTGGTCGCCGTTTTTTTTTTGGGGGGGGGGTTTCCGGGTGGGGGCGAGCTAGGGGAAGTGTTTTTTTCCCGTAGGGGGTCTGTTGTTGGTTGCTGGTTGTTGGTTGCTGGCTGCTGGTTGCTGGTGGATGCTCTGAGTACTGCAAGCAAGGGAACAAGGACATTCTCATGGTGTGTTTTTTTTGTTCTGCGGCCAACACAAGACCATGGCTTTGTGGTTGAGCATGCTTGGTGTACTTGCAATATTCGGGGCATCCAACGAAGCAAGGGACGCGAGGGAAAACACGGTATGATGTTCCTCCGAAAGCAGGTTTGCTCGTGTGTATGCATTTGTTTTCTTGGGGGAACACCTGATGCATGCTGTTCCTTTATTCCTCTGGAAGCATGTATATATATATATACATATATACACACTATATATAGAACTGTGATGGTATTTATGTTTCCTGAAACGACTACCTAAAAGTTTGTATGCGATGGTGATGGATAGAGATATTTTCTATGTAAAACATATATACATATATATATACACATGCGTATATGCATACATGCACGTAAGTGGTGTACATATACATACATACATATACATATATATATATATATATACATATCACATCCCGGCGAGAGTTGCAGGGTCACTCCGCCAATCGCGGGTTTTGAGGGAGGGCCCAAAGGGGCGGGTTCCGGTTCGGTCACCCGGACTCTTGAAAGCATTCTTTGGCGGATGCTGGGGATTCTTGGTTATGGACTGGAATGTGTACACTGGCCAAACAAACTGCGGCTTGAAGTTGAAATTGACTACAGCCCTGCTTGCCTAGAATCCTACACGATGAGACCTTTGCATGTGTGTGCGTGAGCGTGCGATCCATTTTGAAGACGGGAAGCTTTTGCTCATAATCTCAAAGGGCGTGACAATTGAACGTCCCGCACCTGCCACACGAATTGCACAACTCACTTCTTAATTTGGGGGCATTCCATACCCTTATGTCAGTAGTGCAGCGTTTCCCTACCTCCACGCAACCCTTTGCCCTCGACCCATGGTGCCTCATGCCTGCAGAAGTGGCCCCGGAGCCCCGCTGGATACTCCACACCCGACTGCTTGGGCTTATGAGGTATAGCAGATGGCAGCATCTCAGATGGTTAGTGGGTTCAGCTCCCTCGTCCTCTTGTTTGGGTGGCTTCCGCACTGACCACGGGAAGGTTTACCAACCAGCTTTTTCCTGTTGTTGCTGGTTTCCCGCACAAAAAGCGGCACAAACGTGCTTTTTGGTTTGGTGACTTGGGAATTTCTACAAGTGGAATCGACGAACCAAAAAGGAACGACCCAATATTTGTTTACCTTTCGGGTCAATCGGCAACTGGGGCACGTTTCCACTGCGATGGCAGTGATTCTGTTCGGCTTGTACCCTGGTTCAAGGAAACCAGCCTGACCATGGAGCACCCAGTCTTGGTCATGACATGCCGACACCCAGGGTGGACTTGGGAGAAGGGAGTAAGGAATCAGGGATTCTTCTTGGCAGTTCCAGGACATGAAAACGACGCAGCTTTATGACATTAGGAACCTTGAGCCCTCGAGAGGCGTTTCATGCAAGCCGTTTCGTTTCGTGTCCGATGCTCCGGTCTCATTTTGGCAGGTGCGGCACAAGCGCAATAGCAAGGCCTGTTGGGAAGCCGAGGATTCCAAATTCGCGGCAACTTCGCTCTCGGGAGGCGTCCGTTTTGGGCTAAGTCACTTGACAAATATGGAGCTTGTCAACGCGTGTCTTGAATAGGACATGGGTCGCCACCGAGTACGCCATGCTCGAAGGTGCAATTCAGCCATTGGAAGAGTTGATTCGAAGGGGAAGCTATGAGATCAGACCCCGGAAGAGGCTCGTTTCATCCCCATTGCTCGCTTGCCCAGTCCAGTCAGTGGACCGGCCGAACATCGAGCGAATGGGAGGTATGATCAAAGCTTGATATCAACACGGTGGCTCACGGGGCCTAAACAGGTTTGTGAAGTGAACATGTACATAGTGAGCTCAAAACCAGGTTGCCAAAGATCGGTAGAACTAATCTGCAGAGATTCTCTTTTGATTACATTATTTTACATTTGATTCTCGAAATGACCGGACTCATGTTTTTTGGTCAGGGGTGGCGGGGGGATTGTCGGCCGACTCCAACGGGAAAGTGAGCGCTCAGCTTGGGGCCGGATTTAGGAACCCTACTGCTTCTCGCGCAAGCCGAGTAGGTACTTATAGCCTTAAGATTTGTTTTCACGTGTCATTTTTTGCGTCATTCTTCCACGGTCAAAATTAGACTTTGGCAGAACCGGTGAATCCCTACAGTGGCAACTGGGGGAAGTTGGCACATCCTGGCTCTCAGGTAGAGCCTCAAGGGGCCTTTTTCCCGTGCGCTCTTAAGGAGAACCGTTGGGGCCCTCCTTCCCAGAAAGGGGCTGCAGAACCCTTCGATTGGATCCCCTAAGGTTTTTTCCCAAGCTTTCGGGTATTCTCCCTAGCTGCTCCTAACAACATAAAATGCTCAGTTGTTCAAGGCCGACGTTTTAACCTGTGGGTTTTCCCTTGGTCCAATTTTTGGAGAAAAAAACAACAACTCCGCAAAAGGTTAAGAATCAACATACATGTATATGTGCTACATTGAACAAAGGATATAGCAATGAAACAAACACTGATAACCTGCATATATATATATATACACATACATATGTGTATGTGTAGACCCGTTTATTTCCTGGCTCCCTTGTTCATGACTTCCGATGGGCAGGTCTACGCCATGAAGGTGCTGCAAAAGAGCCGGATCATGAGCAGCAACTTGTTGCGCTACGCGGTCACCGAGCGGAATATCTTGGCCTACATCCGGCACCCCTACATCGTGTCACTGCGCCGGGCTTGGGATGTGGGACCGACCAATACAGAATCCATCTTAGTGGAATTCGTTTCACCAGGGTGAAGGTGGGTGGCAGAATTTCCTACATACACCAGTAAACTTGAATGGGACAATTGTGCCATCTACTTTCATCCAACTGTAGGGAAGGGGGGTTGCTCCCAGGAAGTCTTTATTTTCCAGTTCCCTTTTCTTTTTGAGACTCGAGACACATGGAATTGGGGTACACCCCCCGAAACGGAAGGTGTCCGGACACAATGTTTGTTTGTTTGTTTGTTTGTTGGTGCGTTTGTGTTGTTTCTTGTTTGCACCCCGGGCTATGCAAGGCACTACGCTTTCCAGACTCCGAGCCACCTGGTGCTGGTGCTGCAGTACTGTCCCCGAGGGAACCTGCAGCCGGAGCCTCAGAGATCCGGGGGATCCGTTGGCCCAAAGTGACTTGAAGAATCAGGGAGTATGAGGGGATGGATAAGCAAAACGAGGGATAACCAAAAGGAGGTTGACAGGGGAGTGTTAGAGATAACCCGTATTTTTATCCGTTGTATTTTATCTGTTAAGGAGGGGGGGGTGTAAGGGAGGGGGGAGAATGGGTGTGGACTAGGGAGCCTTAGGGAGGCATGCTTCTTGGGAGGGGAGCCGTTTCGCCGCTGGGGCAATCCAAATTTGCCAGCCTTTCGGAGCCGATTGGAGTTCAGGAAGCTGGAGCTTCCAAATTCGCCAGTAAAAGAGGGAGCCTACCAAGAGTTCTGTGACGCGGTAGTTTTGGTTGGTAGTTGAAGAGCAACTCAGGGGACCACTGTTTTGAGAAACACTCATTTGTATGCCGTGTGGGTGTGTCCTTTTTGAGGGTGCCCCGTTTGTTTTTCTGCTGTTTTTTGAGGGAAACAACAAGGAACAAACAACATCTTTCGCGGTGGGGAGGTCCCTACAAAAAAAGACAATCCTGTGTTTGAAGGGACACCACAAGGAGAACCACCATGTTTTCGTTCCCCTTCCTTCTTTTTTTTTGGGGGGGGAGGGCTCCCCTAAAAAGAAAAAGACCCCATGTCACGGTTTCAGCATGTCCAGGTCATGTCTTGGACCTTTGCTTTGACCTTTTGCAGCATGGAACCCGAGAGGCTCCGGAACGGCCTGCCAGCCATGGGTCTGCCTCTCTTTTGAGGGACCCCTTTATGGCTTTCAGAAGCCTGACGGAGAGCCACCATTGGCCCCAAGTTTTGAGACACCCATAGTGTGTCTTTTTTTTAATGCCCAAGAAATAAATAACTGGTAGTGTTCGTTTGGTTCCCACACCCATTGGTTTGCCCCGAGATTTGGGGGACTTGAGGCAGCTCATCACGCGCGAGAAGCGCCTGGGCGACGAGCTTTCCCGCCTCTACACGGCCTGGGGGGCTTGGGGGGAGGGGGTGCTCAGTAGGGAATGTGGAATGAACCCAGGGATTCCCTGAAGGACACCACAAGGAATGTTTATAAAAGTCATTCCCTCATTCCCTGCTGAGCACCAGTAAGAGTCATTTTGACCGCGACGTCACTAGGCGGGTGAAGTCCCCGACTTCATTCACAAGATCCAGACCTTCTTTTCGGTCTGTGACTTATAATTCGCCCAAATGAACTTTATCGGTTTCCCAGCGCTGACGTTTTGAGCCAGGTGCCGTGATTCGAATCTAGGCAACCACATGCTCTAGCCAATGAACTCGTGTCAGTAAACCTGGCGGGCAAGTGATCCAGGTCGCTGTCAATCAGGCAGGGGGTACTGATCCTGGGTCAAACTTGCCTTGATGGAAAGAATGCTGCCCCCCCCCCCCCCCCCCGCCCCGCGAAAGTAGCACTTGATTCCTCTTGTGATTTGTATGCCAAATCTGCTACACCCTGCAAGGTATTCGACTATTCATCAGGCGGGTTCCCTTGTAAGACACTTATTCCTCAGATGCGGACCTTTGTGGCGATGGGTGGCTGTGAATCAACATTCATAAACCAGTGCAACATTCGGGTTTTTGTTGGCTTCGTCAGCAATGGATGCTTCTCAACTATTCTTCCGAAGTTCCCTTCCGAAACAATCTTGGGGAACCATGACCATCCAACATTCGCAGTAATCTTGACAATGGCACACGATTGGCTTGGGAAGGACATTGGGGGGACAACCCGAAGTCCAATTTCCCACAAGAATCAGAGAGGCCCTCCAATCTTCCCATGCCCCTCCGTAGCTCATGTCCGCTTGCAGGCCGAAATTCTCCTGGCCTTGATTCACCTGCACGAGAGGCCAGATCGCGACATGCCTTGAGGCGGCCAGTCTTTCCCCTTAGACCTTTGGGAAACATGGCTTTTCCAGTAAACCTACAAATGTTTACACACTTGGCTCAGGGGTGAAAAGCAACCCAGACAGAAGGATGTGTCGTTGAGGGTAGTTCCCCTTTTCAAGGTTGTTTGAAAGGCAACCCAGGAGGACATCACACATTCTGTAAGGCTCCATTCTGAGATCAAGCCAATTGGTTGCCACGCTTTTGCAAGAACGCGTCCTTTCAGAGCGTTAGTCAATAATCTTGGGGCTAGTGCCCCCAATACCTCACGTCCAGAGCACACCAGAACCCTTGGAGGCCTCGGGGGAAGCGCAAAGGTGACTATAGCAGAGGCCAAGCCCCCCGGACAGATGCGTTCCTTTTGGCCCGCCCTCGAATTTTTGAGGACCACATCCCGGAAGCCTTTGTTTGTAAGAAGATATGCACTGGCCGGAGTCCCTTCAGCCTCGATAGAAACACGCATCCTTTCTTGCTATATTGCAATGCACTTCCCTGCAACTGAGTTGCCTACATGTGTGCCTTCCGCCCTTGTTTTGCAGCCACTGAATCCCGGATGCAGTCGGTGCGCATGGCGACTGTTGACTGCGCTCATTCATGTCTGGCCATTTGCCTTTGCATTGGCGCTTTGCCACTTGCGCTAGGCACACAGTTTTCCGAGACCTGAAACCAGCAACTCGGCAGCCCCGCAGTGCTGGACGAGTAGGGCTGCCGTGCCATCCGTCATGCCCTTTTGTCATAGGGTGAAAGTAGATGGTATGATGTTAAGAGTTTATCAGTTTCTTTGATTGCCGAGAAGAGGGAATTGCGACATGAGCAATGGTACATGAGCTGCAAAGAGAAAGGACATTGCGGGCTGGGCATAGTGGACCCATCTCAAATCTCGTGCCTATGACAGCTGGTAGACTTCACGTGACAGGGCAAGTTGTTGTCATTATGGATGAGTGCCGCATACTCTAACACCAGCAAACCCAGTCCAGCGTTTAGTACTCGTGCCCTTTCCCCTCAGGGCTGCTTTATCGCCCTATGGTGGGAAAACAGCAAATGCTATAATCACAAGCACAAATGATTCATAAGTTGTTTGTATGCGTGTCGGTGCGTGTGTTTGTGTCGTGGCTGCGAATGCGTGTGTGTGTGTGTGTGCCTGTAGCAAGTCCTTTCACCAGACCAAGCACTGGAAGTCTGGTCAGCGGTTCCTTCAGGGGTCATTCCATTTGAGCCAGACAGGCATGGGTTTTCGCATGCAGGGAATCTAGTCAATTGAGCTTTCTGTTGTCAATATTTGTCAATAGTCCGCATGGGGGGTGATCGATTTTGCCAAAAAATCTGCTAATTCCGCTAATTCCGGCAATTAATTGCTGGAATTAGCCGAGTTTTTGGCTAATTTTACCTTTGTCCCAGGTCCCCTCCCAGTTTTTGCCACTCTATAAGCATACTAGCTTTTGTGGGCTCAAGGCCACATGTTTTATGCATAGTTGCCACTGGTGGAAACATGGGGTCGGGGTTGCCCAAAAGGGAGCTTCCCTTTTCCCTTGAAAACAAGCCCAGAAATGGTACCCTCAAAACCATATTGGCCCATTTGCATTCAGAGTTAAGGCCGCTGAGAGCCATACACGTCGGGTGGTTCCCTCTGGTACCTACATGAGTGTGGGTCAATATTAAATCACCAGAGGACCGCAGATTTGAGTCCACGTTTGCACAGAACCAGGGCAAGCCATCGTGGGGTTACCCTATTGTTGACCCACAGCCACATGGGTGTGGCTCAAAATTAAACAGAGGGGGGTACGCAGGTTTGGTCCATGTTTCCACTTACCAGCGCAACCCATTTTGGTGCGGATTTTTACAGCCACATGGGGTTTGTGGAATCTGCGGGGTTTTTCACTTTGGCTCAAGGACAACGTGGTCATCGATGAAGAGCACCACGCCTTGCTCACCGACTTTGGACTGTCCAAGGCGGATCCGCACGAAGGTTTTGGTCGGGTCCGCTTCGGAGCTTCCAACGTCACGAGCTCAGCGAAGTAAACCGAGCGCAAGCCGAGGTTCTTAGCTTAAGGATGATGTGTATTGCAGCTTTTGGTTTTAGGTGTTGGTTTCAGGTTGCAGATGTTCTGGCGAACCGGGCTTGAAGAAGAATGGCGTCTCGGCATTTCCTGTTGTTTGGCAGCCCTGTCGATGGATGCCTTATATCGTCGATGGAATCCCATGGCGAAGACGGATGGCGGGCTGCCGTTGATTCGCGTGCTGCAAGCCATAGGGTGGGCTTGGCTTTCTTGCAGTATTTGTTGGAGTTCACCGTATCTCCTACTTCGTCTGGTTTCAGGTGAGGTGAGTTGAACAGAGCGACACATACCCGTGTCAAAGGTACGCTACCAGCAGACTTGGTGGTCCTTAGGTTTTGAGTAGCTTCAATGGATTTAGTGGTTGGGTGTCCAACACTTAGCAGAAGATCAGAGGCCACGCACGGCCCATCTTCCCATGGAACGCGCGATCCGCGGATCGATCCCGCGCGACGATCCCGCGATCGATCGACCGGTCTGAATGCGTCGAGGAGGGCGTGGGCCAGCGGGGCACCAAGTCCTTCTGCGGGTCCGTGGCCTTCTTAGCCCCAGAGATCTTGCTGCGGAAAGGCGGGGTCGGTTGGGGGAGGTTGAGGGCTTGGGGGCTTGGGAGGTCGATTTGTTTTGCCTTCCTATGTTCTTCTTTTGCCAAAAGGAAACCACAATAGTTTTTGGCTATTTTATTTGCTCATTCTTGAAAACACGCCGCATGACATGGGTGCTGTGCCTGGGAACCTCGGTCAGGGTTGTTTGGACCTCAAATGGGTAACAGACCCAACCTGAAGCCAAATGACAAGATGGTAGCTGGAAGTAAGCCAGAATGAGTATTCGTGGGTGTATGCGGACAAAATCCAGAACCACACGTACATGCCAGAGCTATGCGCATCTTGGAGTAGGGATTTGCTTTCGGACAGTGGGTGTCGTCTCACTAATCAAACAACACCCCTTTTCCAATGCGCTTGTTTGGTTCTTTGGGGCTGTCAAAGCTTCCCCAACTGATCCCAAAACCGGAAGAAGAGTATTTTCAAGGGGCACCCGAGCTCACCCTGCAAACCTTCTCCCATCGATTCTTTATGGGGTCAACACATCCTGGGTATCAATTGGATTCTTTTTCTCCCACCCGTTGTTGCGGTGGTCCTTGACCAAACCAAAAGACCCCGTGCAAAGAACAAGCTATAGTATAGGTTCCCTGGCGTCTACGTCAGATATCACAATGTGGGGGTTTGTCGTTCTTTGAGGCCGCCCTTTTTGGGTTGCTGCAAATTTTGGAAACCACGAGGACGCCAGTCAATGGCTGTGGGGCCAATGGCTATTTTGAGACAAAGCCATGGGTCTTGAGGGCACAACCACACGGTGGACATCTACAACCTCGGGGTGCTGCTCTACGACATGCTCACGGGGCTTCCGCCGTGCCGTGGCGATCGTGGCGCGCGCTCTCATCCCTTTGGTTCCAATAAAAAAAAACGTTTCGTGCCTGGAGGTTTAAGCACATTTCGGCGTGTCTTGCTTGATGGTACCCATTTTGGGTGGTTTCAAAGGTAAACCAAAGCAACCCATCCATTTTTGGGGCTACCCCTATTTTGAGACAAACGCATTTTTTGCAAGCACTCACAAACCTCCAGGCAATGTATTGCTCCCTCCCCGAGTTTCTGGACTTTACATTTTTTTAAAGAAGACCCCCGGCGGCGGAAGTGAGATCGCTGTTCAGCTTTCAGGTTTGGGTCAACATCCTTGCACCAGGTCTTTGAGAAACATGTAGTGTTGGCGATGGTCCAAAAAACGGGGACTCGACTTCTTCATTGGCGTGCCAGGTTCCAATCTTGTGCGCTCGGTGTCTTGTTCCGCCAGATAGCAGGTGGGTGGGTCACAAAACAGGGGACTTCGCAAAAGCGTTAGCTTCTTTGTGGTTGTCGTGCTCAAAAAAACGGACCACATCCAGGTAGCAACGGCGACGGCAAGCAGAGCTGAGGTTCTATCATCACGATCGGGAGACCCTGTTTGCCAACATCAAGCATGCGCGGCTGGAGGCTGGATTCTCACATCATGAGTCACAGGTGTTTGGATTGGGGCTGATAGGGACGGAGTATCCCATTCTTACAAAGCATGTATGTAAGGGGCTACCGACATGAAAGACGCTTCCCATCTTTCCGGTTTCGGGGGGATGAGGCCCTTAGAAGCCCGCAGAAGCCTTGTTTGGAGTGGAGCCGCAGGTGCCGCTGTATGTCTCCCGCCCCGCGCGTGCCTTCATTGAGGCGCGCGAAGCAGCCGCGGCTGGAGGGGCGCTTGGGAAAAAGCTGAGAGTAAGGTGGCGCAGTTCTGAACAAGCTTGCGACATAAGTGCATGCCCCTGACGTGCTCCATCCAGATGTTTCCTTCACACGGGTGCCGGTATATGAGGCTTTGCACATTCGTAAATGTGGCTCAGTCAACATCCGGGCCATTCCGCCGAGAGCGGGAATCATCTCAGAGTCCCTATAAGTTTCCCCCTTTCGGTTTGAAACGTCATCTGGCTGGGTTTAAGGTCAGTTTCCTCCCGGTCGGGTGTAAGGTTGGATATCCAAGCACCCCGACAGTTTCTAAGACTCCGAGAGTCCTGCAGTTGAAGTTCTATCAGGGCGAGCAATTTACCTTTTTTTAGCTGTAGCCCATGCCATTGAAGGATTCTTGGGCCCCAGGGACTCTGCCCAAACAGTTTGGTTTCAAAGCAGCCCGCAACCCTTCTGACATTTGTTTGGGCCCTTACCTGGCTAGGTCCCCCAGTACCCATTTTGGGTTTTTTGGGCAGGGTTCGGGACCCTACTAAAATTGACAAAAATAAAAAAGTTGGTACCAACTTCTTCTATCCTCTCTACTGGAGGACCTGGCTGGAGTCCGAAGCCGGAGCCGAACTCGGATGCTCCGCTTCGCCGAGTTCGGGATTTCGAGGCCACCATGGAGCGGGAGCCGGGGAAGCGGCTGGGGGCGCACCACACCTCCGAGGTCAAGGACGGTCCCTTCGGTCCCTTCGGTCTCGGGGTCCACGCGTCGATTTTTTGTTTCGCGTCTTCTCCGCTTGGGTCTTTGCCATTTGTGGGGCCCCCTGAAAAGGGAAGGGGGGCGAAGTCTGGAGATCTTCCATCTTCGCTTTTTGGACGGAAGACTTGAAAGATGGGATTGAGGGACCCCCCACCCCCTGAGGGCCCTGGCCCCTGAAGGAGGGGGGGTTCCTTTGGCCCAAGACCTGGGACTTGGTGTTGAACGTTTCATCGCAAGAGCTGCAAATCTCCAACCTGGGAATCTTGTTTCAAATACCGGGATCTCTAAACTGTGGAAGCCCCTGAGTCTTAGGGATCTCTAGGATTGTGTCTTGTGTCTTGCAAGATGAGTCGAGTGTCGGGGTTGAAGAAGGAACCAAAGGGACACGAGAACACGGTGAGGCTGGTCCACAGGTGTCAAGGGCCCAATTTACCTTAAGGTTTGGCGGCTTGTACCAGTGGCCGAGCAGAAGTACTTCGACTTTCAATTGGACGTGTGTGTGTGTGTGTGCGCGTGGTATTTAGATCCAGGATCCAAGATCCACGACACAAGATTGTGGAGGAGCTTTGGGGGAAATCTTAGATCCATAAATGTCCCCGCGTGAAATCGGAATACCGGTAGCTAGACAGGTATTTAAATTTCTTTTGACGGGTATTTAGATCCCTGATCCACGATCCAAGATACAAGATTCGTCGGGGACTCTTGGGAGCATTCTAGGATCCAGGAGTGGTTGTCCTGAAATACTAAGTACCGGTATTTGGAGTTCGAAATACCGTATTGAGATGGCGGATCCAAGATCAGAGATCCAAGATTGCTGGGGACTTTTTGTGGACATATTGGATCCATAAATGTTCACCCCCTGTGAAATCCAGACACCGGTATTTAGATGTCTAAATCCCGGTATTTGTTTTTCTAAATACGGGTATGAGGAAATCCGGGACCAGGATCTAAATACTGTATTTTGAAATCCAAGTGCCAGTATTTAGATTTTATCCGGGGTCTCAATACCGGTGTTTGGGAGACCAAACCACGGTATTCAGAATGCCTGAGTGCCGCCCTTTTTGCCATTTGCGTGTCAAAATTCCGGAAGCAAGTGGCTAAAATGCAGCAAATACCACATGTGTGGGGGTCGGAAGTTGATGTGACTGAAAGCTTGCCATTCTTGATTGCATATAGTCACCCGCAATTCCACTCTGGAGGGGTTTGAATCCCCTAGATCAAACGCATCCTTGCGGATCCTTTCGAAGCAGCTCACGGCGTTTGTGTTACCTATGTCGGTGTTTGATCAGTCTCAGCCGGTTTCCAATCCATGCCATGCAACAACTTCACCCGCATGGGGAAGTTCTTGCGGCATGCGGCACTGCCGCAGCGGCCAGGGTTGATCTGTTGGAGAGCCATGGGAAGGGCTCGGAGGAAGTTGACTCCTGGTAGACTCCCCCAGGCGATTCCATAGCTCCCGAACGGACCCCGAAATGGAAGACATGGCTTGACCCATTTGCAGAGGCCTTCTGGGAGATTCCGGCTGTTCGTCTGAGGGAGCGTAGCCCAGTGGGGTAAAAACCACAGAGCTCCCGATTTTTGGAGAAACAAGTGCGCAACCAAAAGGCACAGTGCGTCTGAATCCCTTTCGCAGAACCACGCCTTTTTTGCGGAGACGGACTTCGAGCAGATCATGCGGCGAGAGGCGGGATCGATGGCATGCCCCATCTCGTGTTCGAGAATGTGTGGATGCCCCTGCCCTGCGTGGTCTGTGGCAAATGCTCGCTCTCACCTGCTCAACTGATTCATTTTTTGGGGCTCGACTTTGGGTTGTCCCATCCAGTGTTTGTAGCCCGACGAGCCGATGCACTCGTTTTTCTGGGCCGGGCCGAACTTGAGTCGTGATCTTTGTAAAACATCTAATGAAGAGCCTATTCTTGTTGGTTCCGTTGATTTCTTCCTTAGGCCCGCGTTTTTAGTGGTCTAAAGGTCCCATCATTTACGGGTTGCTGTGTGGACCAGCAACTCAAGGGAGGTCGAAAAAAAAAGAAGAAGAGCAATCTTGGGTGAGTATGTTGGGGGTTATCAAAGTCAGCTGGGGAGGTGTCTCTTGAACCTACCACTTGGGGTGACTTTCATAGTGGTGAAATAATGGGGTCAGACCAGGTAGGCGTTTCTCAAAGGGGGTCCCTTCAAACAGTTGATGTTTTGGTTCAGGGTCCACCAGAATGAGAAGGTCGTTGGAACAGCCCAGTCCTTATGGGGCTTGCCAGCACTAAACCCTCAGAAGCTCATATCTGCAGCAATGCAGGTATATTCTGCTTCTCAGACATGTTCTTCTTACTTGATTTGCCACAGCTCCTCTTTGGGGTTCAATTAGACCATATTTTGTAAGTTCCCCGAGAGGGGACGTGCAATTGGTGGGTTTTTTCCAGATCTCCTGTTACCTTAATTCCACCAGCACAGAAGTGGACAAGAGACCTTTTCAAGATGATAGTCGTTCAACCGTCTCCTGTCCACTTCCCTCCCCTTGTCAGATGCCATGGCAACATGAGAGGAAGGGCACACCTGGATGAAAGTAGGCGGCGCAACACGCTTGATGTGGGTAAGCAAGCAACCGGGATGGCTGTTGCCCAACTTCTCTCCATCAATTTGAGACCGCCCTCCCGCCTAAAGACTCTCCAGCACGAAGTGCTGGTTGTGTTCCGCCAAACAGAGCTGGTGTGAAGGCAGTTGTCACAGCTGCGCAATTTAGTTTTTGTGTATTGGACAATGCTGGTGGTCCTTGATTTAACTTTCCATCATCCTTTTTGTTTCTTCCCTCAAGGATGTCCACCAAAAGCTCTGGGACCCACTAAAATTGATGTCCACCAAAAACTATTGGACCCACTAAACATGATGTCCACCAAAACATGATGTCCACCTAAAAATCTGCGACCCACTAAACATGATGTCCACCAAAAACTCTGGGACCCACTAAACATGGTATCCACCAAAAGCTCTGGGACCCACTAAACAGGATGTCCACCAAACAATCTGGGACGCACTAATGATGTCCACCAAAAGCTCTGGGACCCACTAAAAAATGATGTCCACCAAAAAATATGGGACCCAATAAACATGATGTCCACCAAAAAATCTGGGACCCACTAAACATGATGTCCACCCAAAATTCTAGGACCCACTAAACATGATGTCCACCAAAAAATATGGGACGCACTAATGATGTCCACCAAAATTTCTGGGGCCCACTAAACATGATGTCCACCAAAAAGTATGGGACCCAATAAACATGATGTCCACCAAAAATCTGGGACCCACTAAACATGATGTCCACCCGAATTTCTGGGACCCACTAAACATGATGTCCACCAAAAACTCTGGGACCCACTAAACATGATGTCCACCAACAATTCTGGGACCCACTAAACATGATGTCCACCAAAAAATCTGGGACCCACTAAACATGATGTCCACCCAACATTCTGGGACCCACTAAACATGATGTCCACCAACAATTCTGGGACCCACTAAACATGATGTCCACCAACAATTCTGGGACCCACTAAACATGATGTCCACCAAAATTTCTGGGACCCACTAAACATGATGTCCACCAACAAATCTGGGACCCACTAAACATGATGTCCACCCAAAATTCTGGGACCCACTAAATATGATGTCCACCAAAAAATCTGGGACCCACTAAACATGATGTCCACCCAAGATTCTGGGACCCACTACACATGATGTCCACCAAAATTTCTGGGACCCACTAAACGTGATGTCCACCAACAATTCTGGGACCCACTAAACATGATGTCCACCAACAATTCTGGGACCCACTAAACATGATGTCCACCAACAATTCTGGGACCCACTAAACATGATGTCCACCCAAAATTCTGGGACCCACTAAACATGATGTCCACCAACAAATCTGGGACCCACTAAACATGATGTCCACCCAAAAATCTGGGACCCACTAAACATGATCTCCACCAATTTTTTTGGGACCCACTAAACATGATGTCCACCAACAATTCTGGGACCCACATGTCCACCAACAATTCTGGGACCCACTAAACATGATGTCCACCAACAATTCTGGGACCCACTAAACATGATGTCCACCCGAATTTCTGGGACCCACTAAACATGATGTCCACGAACAATTCTGGGACCCACTAAACATGATGTCCACCCAAAATTCTGGGACCCACTAAACATGATGTCCACCAAAATTTATGGGACCCACTAAACATGATGTCCACCAACAATTCTGGGTCCACCAAAAGCTCTGGGACCCACTAAAAAATGATGTCCACCAAAAAATATGGGACCCAATAAACATGATGTCCACCAAAAAATCTGGGACCCACTAAACATGATGTCCACCAACAATTCTGGGACCCACTAAACATGATGTCCACCAACAATTCTGGGACCCACTAGACTTCACACCCAACTGCGGCACAAAGCACAAAGCGGGGGCTTTTTGTAGGCGCGCTTTTCCAGCAGGTGCCGGTGCCGGAGGCGCATCCGGCGGATGAGAGCTCCATCCCTTGGCTGCCTCTTGGCGCCACAGAGCCTGCGCCGGTTTTTGTTTTTTTGGATCTCTGTGGCATTTTTGGGGACAGATGTGGTTCACTGAATGGACTAGAGTCGTTTTCCGTGGTTGTTGCTTGTTGCACTGAATGGACCAGAATCGTTTTCGTTTTTTTTTTTATTTTTGGGGGGTGGTTGTTTGGGTTGGGGGGGCAAGCGAGTAGTTTTGGATGGTTTTCACTTTGCCGTTTGTAGACGCCAATCTTTAAGTTTCTTTTTGGTTCGGGTTGATTTTTTGGTTGGGGGTGAACGGGGAGCTGCGAGGACCCCGGTTCGCTTTGGTTCGAGAGGACACACACACGCTGGCAAACAAATCTTGGTACAGTGAGTTGCAGGGCTTTTGGTTTCGCTACGTCTGTCGAGGCATCATGTAGTCTTCAACGGTCCTCACTGCTCCGCTGCAAATTCACATGGATTTCTTTACTGCCCCCCGCAAAAGAAGCTGCCTCTAAGCGTGGATGCTTTCTTGCGGGTTCCATGACAATCTGCAAGAGGGTCACCAGTGGGCTGCGGCTCCTCGCTCCTGGCCCATGTTGCAAGCAGAGAGCGGTTGATTTCCCACAACATGCGACCTCGAACCTTGATTGGCGAGGTTTGACCTATTTGACTGATGAAGCCATCATTTCATCTTTTCCATGGCGGAGTTTTTTGTTTTGGCACCTATGGAATCATATGGGTATGGGTCAAAATTAAACCACCAGGGGACCACAGGTTGTAGTCCTTGTTTCCACTGGGGTTCCATTTGGGGTACCCATTTTTGTCAACCACACCCATATCGTTTTCCTATTGGACTGGTTGCTTTGAGTGAAGGAGCGAGTCGGATTTCAGTCATTTCGCGGTCAGCTCCATCTGTTTGGCAACCAGCCAGTCTCGGCTTCATGGGTGTTGTTGGGAAACATTTTACATTTTTGCTTACTGTGGTTTAGTGGGAAATCCCCACTTAGCTGCTAGCATTTAAATTTTTGCTCCCCTTCCAACGTCAACCAAGGCTTGTTTGGGATCGCACGTCTTGAGAGCTGTTTCAGACTGTCGGGATATGTGGGGATTCCAGCGGCACAACGCCCTGGAGCCCAGGTTTTCTGAAAGGAGCCCTGATTTCACTTGGTCAATTTACACTCACCCAATATATAAATATATATATATATATATATACATATATATATTATGTATATATGCATCCATAGGTGTATATATATATAAGTATGTGGGCGTTCTTTGCTTTGCCATGGCTGTGCATTGCTCGTTCGGTCGGGCCAAGGACGGGCCCGCTGGGCATGGCGAAGGCTCCGGAGAGCCCCTTCGCCCCGACGGGTTGGCGCAAGAAGTGCCCCCTATTGGTACTCGGTGCGATAGGCTGGGCATGGCGATAGGGAGACCCGCGTTTGGGGAAGGAACCCGAAGCAAATCGGATTCCCTTTAAATGGAAACCATAGGGAAGGGCGTGTTTAGGGGTCATTCCATTTCTCATTCCCAGCAAGTTTCTTCTCTTTGAAGGGACGTCACGAGGAAGTTGCTTAAACTGAAGTTAAATGCTTAAACAACGGGTTGGCCCGAACTCTGTTGGAGGTTCACATTTCCTACGCACACTTTCGGAGTGCTTGGAAGGGACCATCCTGTGGATTTAAAACGCCTGCATAAAAGTTCTTGTAAGCAGGAGTTCCCGTGCTTGCCCATCATCATTTTGCCCTTGCGACATAGCGCTGCAATTGGAACATAATGGAACTATACGTTGTATGCATGCATGCATACCTGTGCCATGCTCGTGAGCTACCTGGGAAAAGAGCAGAAAAAAAAGCACGCTTCGCAAGACGCCTTGGCATTGACTCCTGGACCACTTCATCTCCAGATGCACCAACTTCCTTCATGTATTGGGTATCTCACTACTGGTTATGGACTTGGATTTGGGATTCCTTCACTTTGACAACCCCAGATACTATTTGCTGTATTGCCTTGCGTGTCTGCATCTCCAGGTACGCCAAGATCCCGGTGCCTACGGGGGATCGCGGCGCCCATGCCTCAGTGAGCGTTTGGTGTCTGCTTTGCGCCAAGCAAAGGGTTGTCAAGTTGACAAGGTGTTTGTTTTTTGGGGTGTGTGGTTTGTTGTTTGCTTTGTGTGTGTGGCTGGTTGTAGGGTTTGTTGTTTGGTTTGTGGTTTGATTTGTTGTCTTGTGTGTTGTTTGGTAGGAATTCTTGGCTGAGAAGACCTTGTAAACCGATAAAGGCAAGCGGCACCTTATGCAAAGGGCCATACTGTGGACGGAAGGCATCTTGCACCAGAATGAGTAACCCTATCAACAATTGGGAGTACATGGCACTGGTCTCGGTTTGGCTTTCACACTTACCAGTCCATCTGCTTGTTGTCTTAGGACGCACGGGAATTTCCAGGGTCTGGTGCCCCATATCATCCAAGTGGCAACGCGCCTGCAGCCTGCCTGAGCTGGTTATCACTGCCATCTATTAGATGTGGCTATGCGCTTTTTAGATTGGTGAAAAGGGCAATACGCCGGGCCAAATAGTTACTACTACTTTGCTCCTACAATCATGGCTCATTTTGGCCATCACGTACCATTCTCATTATGCGCCTGTTGTTGAGCTTCAAACCTCCACACCTAGCTTTGTCTCCCAAAAAAACAACAAGCGGCCAAAGAGGTTGCTGTGGATTTCTTGCACCCACCTCAGAAACTGTGTCGTTTTTGCCCTCAATGGTAGAAAAGGCATGGCCCCAACAGCTTAACCTTTAAGACTTTTCATTTTCTGGCTCCTTTGGACTAGTGAGATACTACAGAACCCTGGTAGCTCCGAAGGGCTCCCTTCCTTTGGCAAATTTGGATACCAGCGCCGAAACGGTTCCCTTCCAACCAGCTGGCCAGGGACGCATCGAAAGCCGAACCCACGCCTCACGCCCCCCGAGGTCTCTGGCTGGGACTTCGCCTCGGTGAACACCCGCTCCGTATCCCAGGCTCCCGCGTTTATTCCGGCGACGGAGTCGCCGGAGTTGTTGGACAAGCCGCGGAGAGTATGGGTGGCGTGTGTATGTTTTTGAGGGGATCCGCCCCCCCCCCCCCGCACAAAAACACAGTGGTTTCCGGTGTGTATGTTTTTGAGGGGATCCCCCGCCCCGCAAAAAAAGAAGAAGGCGGTCCCCCTTTTGGTTTTCCTTCAAACCCATCCAAAACATTGGCACAAAGAAAAGACACGCCCATATTGGATGTGTAATTTTCTATTTTTGAGGCTTCCCGTTTGGGGTATGGTGAAAAGGGAAAGCAACATGAAAGTGAAAGGAACACGAAGCCCATTTTGGGGGTCCCAATTTTCACACACACACACACACACCATATGGTCAAAATAGAGGATCCCCCGTTTCACCCGATTTGCAAGGGAAACCAAAAGGAAACCAAGAAATCTTTAGGGGTCTCCTATTCAGTGAAATATCCATTGCCATATGTTTGGTAGTCTAATATGAGCGAACTTTTGATTTCCTTTTTCACTAGGGTCACTAGAAGACTCCGAAGGCTTTACAGTTGACGGCTACACGTGAGATCTTTTGATCAGGGAAGCCGCTTTTAGGTGGTATTATTGGTAATCTGCTGTTGGTTTGACGAGGACGAGCAAGGGGGACCACCCAAATTCCGTCACGAAAACCCAGCGGGACAACACCCAATTTTCCCAGGGTGTTTTTGGCGTCCAGGCGCGTATGGGGTTTGTCTCCAAAGGGTGAAAGTTCCAAACTGAGAAAGGCACCTAATGTTGACCCCGGATTAATAAACCGATGTTTATTATTATGGAGTGTTCACCCTCACAAAGTGATGAATCCCCCCTAAAACTAGGGACACCCCCATACTCATGAACAGGGGTTTGTTGATTTGGGGTCAGCATGGCTTGGTTTCAAGTTTCCCCTTTAAGCCACTTTAAGCAAGAAGGCTACCCTCAAGGAGATCTGAAAAGCAACCTTTCTGTGGTTTTAAACATCTCCTTTTGGTTGCCAGTGGCATCATGTGTCAGAAGAGACTGCTCAGAGCCCTTCTCCGGATTTGGGCTGGTTTAGGCTTGGATTTTGTGTAACCGACGCGGCACGGCGTGAACTTCCTCGCAGTTTGCAAATCTGATACGGTGGATGGACGAAGCCCACTTCGCACCACTTGAAACCCTGGTTGAGACCATTGTTTGTTGGTATTTACATGGAAGCATCATTTTAGGGTTTCTGACCTGCGTTGCGACGGATTTCACAACCCATCCGCAGTATCATGAAGGCTTGCAGGGAAGCCCTCCGCTTCAGACATCTCATTTAACATGATTTTTTGGGGAAACGGGTGTGAGCGTTGCGGCGATCCAAGAGAGCAGGCGTTTATCCTGGTGCACGGAACTCCAAACGCCGGCCACGTGGTTTCCCTTGAAGCAACAGGCCTTCTGAACAGGGCCTACATGAACCACTATGACCACCTGAGTAGATGAAGGGTAGCAAGGGCAAGTCCCCTTGCCCTAAATCGGCGCGGATATCCGCCAAATCCAGTTCAATTCCATTCTTCCCCCTTTTGCCAGGGATGTACACCATTTCTTTATTCATCCCACGTATTTCAAAGAAATGGGTATGGGTCAGAATTAAAGCACCAGCCGCAGGTTTTAGTCCACGCTTCGTACCTATTTGTGACCCACAGCCAAATTTCACCCATGGCGGTGGCTAAAAAAAAATCACGGAATTCCACAATGGCTTGCCCTGGTAAGTGGACACATGGACCAAGCAACAACCCCTGCGCTTTGCCCCTCCGATCGTTGAAGTTTGAGCCACACATGGCCGGGTTCGCGGAGACCGAATTCCCAACGTAAGGCGCTGAACCCGGCGCCCAGGCGCCCAGCAGCAACATGGACTCTGAGAGTTCCACCAGCACCAGGCGAGAGTTCGACGCGACGGGTTTGGGGGGGTTTGGGGGGGGTTTTGGGTAGTTTTCCCCCGGATTTGGCAGGGATTTGGATCTCACTGGAGCGCCTGGACTTTTGATGTCTTTTTTTGGTGGTAGACAGAAAGTTCGGACTTTTTGTTGGCGTGAAGGATTGGGCAATCCAGCAGTGAGAACTGGGAAGGTTCGGAAAGATCGGGCTGGAATAGCCGCAAAGGCAGTCCTTTTGTCGCTGCACATCGAGTAAGCGCTATATAAAAAAGCTTGTGTGTGTGTGTGTGTGTGTTTGCTGTTTGGCATTCAAGGTGGCCACTTAACTTGGACCGAGTTTCTTTCAGGTGTCATTGACGTATTGGGGAGGGGCTCAAAGTATGTTGTCTCAGACTCAACAATTCCGTGGTTGATGCGACAATCCAGAGCCGAGTTCGATAGGCTCAGGCGGCGTTTCGGATTTCGGCCTGGCCGGCCGGCAGATGTTCTCGGGAGAGTACTGGGGGCAGCGCTCGGGAGATGGGGCCAGCCCATGGGCCACTGCGCAAAGCAGTTTTCCCTCCCTTTTTCGCTTGGCTTTTCACTAGCTGGAGAGGGCATCCGAGTGCGGGAGCGGTCGGTCGGTCGGTCGACTTGGTGGAGCAAAAAAGGTTCCATATAGGATCGTGTGCGTGTGAGGACTTTGAGTGTGGAGCGTGACACTGATCCGTTGATATCTGGGTGGGCCCATCGCTGAGTGCTAGTTTGCCAGAATGCTCCACACATATACAGGAAACGACATGGTGGATTGATCTGTCATTATGTGTTCGCTAGACATCCTGGGTGAAACCTGGGCAGATGAAGGTTAGCAGGGAATTGCAGCACCTGAACCTTTCGACTCTTCATTGCGGGTTCAGGATAAAATCCTTTGTCAGGTTTTGATTTGATTCGGCTTTATTATCTATCAGGTCTTGATTTGTTTGTTCATTTGGGTAAATGATAACCTCACAGGGGGTGGAGGGGGTGGGTTGGGGGGGGGGGGGGTAAACGCTGATGCCTTCTTCTCTGGGATGTCTTGTCCTAGGTTGGTGAATGGTTGCATCCTTCCATCCACCTTTTGAGTCGGACCATGTTCCTTCAAAAGTTCTGGTGTGTTCCATACTCCCACATCTCCAGCCGTTTCCTTTTGGCGGGGGGTTCCCTTTCAAATCAACCACCAGCAAAAGGTTCCTTAGCGGGAAGGCCTAATTTTGGCTTCGGCCGGGATGTGGGGTGCACCCGGACCAATTGGGGGGGGGGGGGGCGGGTGGGGTCTTGAGCAATGTGGTGGAACCTTGACTGCTGTTGGGTTGTATCTTTAGACTTTAGCTTTTTCGGCAATCAAGTTGGGTTTTCCACTAAACCCCCAACAAGTTTGCAACTTTTTGCAGGGGGGTCAACAGCAACCCAGGAACTACCAACCAAAGGGCGTCCTTTGCCTCGAACTCCACTGCAGATCGTTACTCGATTCAGGCGGCCAATGGGCCGAAGAGCATCTTCCGCTTCCTCCAGAGAGGATCTGTGGCGGGGGTCAACGGAAGGTCTTTTAAACGACCCACTTGCCAACCATTGTTTCCTTTTGGGGCTTCCCCACGAGGAAGGTAGTGATCCAAGAAACCCCTCTGAGCTTCCATGATTGTTGGAAAGAGGGTAGGTTGTTTGGTTCGTCAGGGCTGTGTAATTTTGTCACTGGCGCTCATGACACCAAAGGGTAAGCCATGTCTACCATGATGTGAGGACCGTGTCCAACGGTTGCACCTTTAAAGGGCACGCTTGACGCTTAACCAATGAGGGCTTCGTTTCAGCTGCCTGGCAGGTTGTGCATGCAGCCAATCAATCGTCAGCGCTTCACGGCTGCCACACAGGTTTGTTTGTGCCGGTAAACGGGCCCCCGCTTAACCCGCGACTGTAGGAATCGATTTTGGAAGCTCCAAGCCGAAGAGCTTTTGGCACTCCAAACTTGGTCGTGGAAAGCGATTTTTTGGGCAAACATTTGTAACTCTCAGGGGATATTCCCCTGCAAGCTAGCATCGAACCCGGGTGCGATTCCCAAAAGGAGACTCTTCTGCCAATGATAGTCTTTTGGATTCCACGGTCAATTGTATGTGAGTAAAGTAATCATGGTTGGATGATCTACTCTAGTATCCCGGCGACTCTCCAGCATGCTCATCAATGGAGGCCCATGTTTTGACTCTTTGCCCTCCCTTCCTTGAAGGAGTGCTTCTTTGTGTCCTTTCATTTGAAGCGCTTTGAAAACCAACCGGGGCTTGGCCGTTTGAGATCTTCAAGTTTTTCCCTGCCGAGGACGTGAAACCGTGACACGGCTCTACTCCAAGGGGTCGATACCAGACCAAGGGACGAAATCTGGGAAACTGTCGACCAGTGGTTGCAGCTGTGGTTGAACAGCTTCTGTTGGTTTTAACAGGAATCGATCACTACTAGAGATATTATTTTCTTTTCTTTTTTTCCAGGGGGCTTAACCAAACGGACGACAGGCTCTACCAGTGAATGAGGTTGGACTTTCCGAGGGATTTCGTCCATGTGCTACGCGAATTCAGACGGGTGTACAGAAGTGTAATTCGGAGCCTCGAGGAACAAGGGAGCCAGCGCGACTTGGCCACGGAACACTTGTTCAGATCCTGTCAAGATGCACCGCGTGTGGCTTCCGTGACACACAAGCATCTGACGAAAAGGTGTTTGGTTTGGGGAGGGCATGGGCGATTCAAAAAGCGAAGGGCCCACCCAAGTCTTTCAGGTTTGATTCATTGCGGAACAAGTCACATATCACATATCTGCCATTTTATGGGAAGCTCACCTGGGGGTAAAACGAGCTCACCATGACGAAGGCCCTCAACTTGGCGATCCCCTATTTCAAGGTTGACACTGTTGACACGAATGGGCTATGGGTCAAAAACCCGCACCCCCAGTGAACATCCCAATCCCCACTAAATAGACTAAAATGGGTGGTGCACCTACCCCAAAATGGTACCATTGGTGCCGCGGCCAAATTGCAAACATATTGATGTCCGTGGCTGACACCCTGACATTCTGGTTCCGCGCTGGAAAAACACAGCTCTCTTTGCCCTCGCGGTGCAAGTTGAATCGGAGGCAAGCCGCAGCTGTTGCCCTTTCGCGTTGCGGCAGCTGGTTTACATAGCCTTTTTTGCCAGGAATGGGCTGTTGACAACTCACCCACATTTCATGACCCTGTTGTTCATTGGCACCAAAGCGTCTCTGTTCTTGTTTGTGGGGTTCCCATCAAAATTTGTGAACCTTATGTTTTTCGCTCCGAATTTCGATCCTAGACAATCTCCATGTCTCAGGTTTGCCTTGTTTGGCGAAGACGTGATAAATGAAAGTGTGGGAAGCAGCTGTGAGGTAGCTGGGATACTGAAAATGGAGCCCCCTCAATAGCTATCATCTCAACTTAGGATCCCAGATGAACTTTCTCAGAGGGATCCTCTCCAAAGGTCATCTCAAACTATTGAGACTGTGAATGAACCGAAGTGTGGACACTATCTCCCTTTGCGAGGACATCAACAAGTTTCTCCCGCTTGGCGAATCAGGCATAGCTTGCTCAGAGGTCAATGGGGTCAGCTTGCGGTTCCTCCGATTCAAGCGAGATAACGACGCACTTTGGAGACGTGGCCCAACAACATAGTCCCAGTTTTTCCGTACATCATCTATGTATACTTACAGTTCCTTATATATATATATATATATACATACATACATACATACATACATACATACATACATACATATACATACATATATATATATATATGTATGTATGGACGTGTACGTACATACTGTTATGGGGCACCTACGTGTTACACGAGGCAGACAAATTTGGTTGACACGGATTGGGGCGCCGAGTTATTTTTCACCACTGCAGTCCTCTTTGCGACCTGCAAAGCGGAGCCAACCTTGCCTGGCACCTGTCCACGCAGAGGTGTCGAACCTGGAAAATGCCAGCAAAGGGTCTAGAAGCTTCTTCCATTGCAAGACTTTACTGACCTCTTTAAGCTCCTTAAGGCCTTTTTTTTTGTTTTTCCTACAAGTTGCACTCGTGGAGCAGTCCCTGGGGTGAATTCTAGCAAATGTGATGCTGTGAACTCCAGCCAAGGGAATAGACAACCAGCGTTTTCGCGAGCGGGGAGCCGGGCGGTTTGCGTTGGAAACGGTGGTTAAATGGCAAGGGGATTCAAGCCCCAGGATCAAGCGGGTTGGGCCAGGTACAGTTGATATATGGGTAGAACAGCCTTTTCTTTGAAGTGGTCTCCTTTGGGCCACTTAAAGTCCATGCAACAAGGGTCGCAATGAGATAGGGCAGTGAGATATGTTTGGGGACAGCTTCAACCACGGTCGGTGGATATAGACCGCATGTGAAGACGTCCGCAAATTCATATCCAGCCAGGATACAGCTGGTCAAATAATGTCGACCTCACAGCGGGAGTTGGTTTTCGACCTCACCCACGGTGAGGCGTCCTTTCCGGCAATCCCTGATTTGCCCGGAGCTGGCATCTCTCAGGGTTGTTTGTAGTGCGTGCTGGGTACAATCACCCTTGGCACCACCCAATGGATGTGGAATCCCTATCGCAGAATACGCGGGATTTGTGTGTTGCGCAAGAAACAGGCTGGACAAAGTAGGTCCGGAACCAGCTGAAACCGTGGTTATATATATATACCATCCTGTTCGTTAACGTGGAACCCACCAGAGGGTCCCTGCTAAAGGAACATCAGTTTTCAGGACCTCTCAGTCAGGTTCCATGTCAATGGACAGGAGGGTATTTGCACTAAAGACTCTGCGTAAAGCGTAAGACGTGGTTGCCAGGGCAGAGGATTCTCCAAGCGACTTTGACTGGAATATGATGGTCTTGATCGCCATGGGAACTTGATCTTGGCCATTTCGACGAGCCTGAAACGTGGGCGGACATGAATCCCCAATGGCCACGGAGAGTCTCCTTGAGAGCTTGAGAGTCACACCTATGCTGTGGGTGGTTGCGAAGTCCATTTCGCCACCTCTTAAGAAACCCGGGAATGACTCGATTCCCCCGTAAATACCAACAAACGGTTTCAACCAGGGTTTCGTTTCGTGGTTTTCGAGAAGCGGATTGTGCCACACTCCGCAGAGGTGTTGGCGAATCAGAAACCATTTTGGTTTCACTTATCGCAGCCTCTAATTGACATGTTGAAGAACCAGTTCTAACCGTCAATGTTGACCCAGGATTAATAAACCCGTCCCACTATTAGGGGGTGTTCCCTCCAAAAGTGGTCTGAATCCCCACTAAAAGGGGAGACCTTAATAAACCAGGAGTTGATTAATCCCGGGGTTAACATTATAGGGCTCGTTAAAAAAATCCCGTCTTCTTTTAGACATGTGGGCCAACTCGAAGAGAGTTTCCTTTGGTGATTCAAACGGGACCTCGTACCAAGATCAAAAGAGCCTCTATTGGGTCTGGTGCTGGTCGCCGACCCCCCCCCCCAACAGGGTTTTGGACCATGGCATTGGATGTGAAGGGAACCATGATCATGGCCCACGTAAGGTGTTTTTGAGCACGTGGCAGATATTGATAGATCTGCACTTCAGCGCTCAGCTAGGGGTAAAACGAGCTCACATGAGGAAGGTGCCTCACTGGTTTCCTGAATTCCAGTTGAGATTACAGCAACTTGCCCAGCTAGATTCCATGGCTTCCATTGGATGGAGATCGGTTGTCCTTGGGCAAGCAGGACGCCCAAGCGCGAGAAGCGCCGAAAATCGAAAATGACGCTGGCTGTGCCCCTGGTGCTCTTCATTTTTTAGCTGCGATTTGACCTGCCAACGGCGAGAGTGTGTTGTTTTCTCGGCGGTTCGGAACCAGCCACGCGGTTTCTCTCTGCTTTTTGCGTGTTGTTTAGTTGGTTTAGTGGGGATTTCCGTGTAGGGATCTGAGGAGAGACCGGTTCTTTGCGCACTCATTCTAGTTCACCCGGGGGCCAGGGCTCTTTCAACTCGAGTCAGCAAAGTGGTCCAGACAGCGCTGTGCTTGGCAGTGCTCTGTGGCCCACTTCATGCGCATCTAGAAGATGCCACCGCCTTCTGCATGCGCCCCAAGAGAGGCTGTTGCGAGGGTTGACGAACCTAGGTTGCTCTACCGGAGGTGTCAGATTGCATTCCTTGTCCGGATAACTGGTTCCATGTAAAGCGGAACTACAAGAAGCCATGGCAATCCACATGGCACATGAAGGGCGTTTTTCCGGCGAAGCCATCCACTCGTCAACCCCAGAGTTGAACAGCTGGCTTGTTTGCGTCAAAGGCGCAGAGGAGCCAGGAATCTCTTAATTTACGGTGGGAGCATGTGTGACCGGCAGGGGAGCGGAGTGCTGAGAACGTGCGGGCGACAGTTGAAGGGAAGATCCTGTCCACTGCACTTCGGGCGAGTAGCTAATCATTGCTTTGTGGCAGGGTTCATGAGATTGATCTCTGCATATATATATATATATATGGCGAGCTCACTGATTCAGGGGTCAAACCAGCTCACCATGTAGGTCCTTCATTTGGGGGTTCTTTCTTTCAGGTGTTGGAAGCATTGTAAAATCTGAAGCCATATCTAATCCATTGGCTCAACTTTTTCGGAAGGGATATGGAGGGAGTCACTCATTCCGACGCAAGATGAAGCCGCACCAATTTCCCGCGAACGCAGCTGCGCTGACTTGGGTTCCCCAACGCCCTTTGCTTTCCGTACATCGGTGTTTTTTGGATGTAAGGGAGGCCTTCTGGGAGCTCCAAGCGCGGTTGCGGGCTCCCCATAAGCCGTGCGCCGCTTGTGTCGCCTTCTGTCCATGGCCCTGTCCTTTGCCTCCGGAGCCCCTTTCGGCGCATGCTCGCAAGCAGAGAAAAAGATCGCCGACAAAGCGGCAAGAGCCGGCGCAGAGCAAGGACCAAAGGTGCCGAAGAAAAGGGGGGCTGCCCGCCAGTGCGGGCGAGGTGTCGAGACACGCAGAGACACGCAGAGACACACACACAGACAGACACACACACACAGAGACGCACAGTGGCACACACACACACAGAGGCAGACATAGAGAGGCACCCACACAGAGGCAGACATAGAGACGCGTCGGATGCGCACAGACACAGAGAGACAGAGACGTACACCGGAGCGTGCAATGCTCTCAGTCGTTTACCCTTTTGCCATGGCAATACTGTTGGCGTTAGCTATTTCGAACCTTGGAAGTATGAATTCCTGGTTAGGTCTGGGATCTTGATGTCAGCTGTGTGGATTTGTTTTGGCGAGCCCCGCTTTTTCATGATGGCCGCGTGTCGCAGAGGTTCTCGCTCGCGTGTTCAGCCTCGATCTCTTGCCCTAAGCCGCTGCACTGGAGACTTCCAATGATTTTGGCAGATTGGCCGAGCTTTGTTGACTTTTGGGGGGCTGGCACTGAGAAGCGCTTGGTCTTGGCTTGAGAGGGCGTCCGGGTCCAGGTCAGAAAGCATGCAGCCCGCAAACCGACTGAGATCCACGAGAGTGGGTAAAAGCCGCCTGGCAGATTTGCCTTGGGACCCTTCACCAAACAAGTTGCACCTCAACTCACCTGGCCAATAAGGGACAGATGAGAATCCGGTGACCCTAGCCCAAGCAAGGTGCCATGCACCCATTTGAGAACTATCAGATTCCTCAGTGGCTTGTGATCGACGTAATCTCACTCCCTGAGTTCCTGGACTTCAAACTTTTTGGGTCTGGATAAAAGTTTAGACTCTTTTGGGCCAGTCCACGTAGGAAGCAATCCTTCAGACCCGACTCGACACCCCGAATGCGATGGCTGAGCCCGGTACGACTCCCAGACGAAGCTTGCCTGACGGTCCAAAGATGAATGAACTGATGGCCTAGTTGCTGCGTGGGCCTAGACAAGCATGATGCCCAGTTTTCCCTGTGGCTGCGCCTCATAGAACCGCTTTGCTGAATCTCGTAGGGATGATGTCGCATTTACCGAATTGGGGGGTACATAAACAAGGATAAACAAGCAAAGATCAATGATGAATGTCCTTACTGGGGATTCCTTGTTTCGGGTGTTGGACCTGTTGTAAAAATAGTTCAGCTTGATCTTGAGACCAAAGGATGCTTTTGGACCCGGTAGATATGGCCAAAAAAAGCCACTGCCCCCGACCGAGATGCAGCCGCGTAGTTCTTTTTCATGATCTAGCGAGCTCACCGATGTGGTAGCTCCATGATTTGGTGAAACATTGTAATCTACCTGGCTGAGATTGAAAGGTTTGAATTGCACATAGATCTATTGTAGAATGTTGCATAGATGTACTGTTCCAATGGTATTGCATGCACCCTTATTACATATACATTACTATATATTATACAGAGAGAGAGAGAGAGAGCACTGAATGCTCGATGTGCATATTATATGCATGCACATGAAACACACATAAGTATATAGACGACTTTTTACAGATCATTGATAGGTATTTGTATGAGTGTGCTTAAAGAACACACACGTTATATATGATGCACACAAATATGTACACATATTAAATATACACATACACTTATCCATGTATACCGAAAAAAAATAATATTCGCATATATACGTAGATAGATAGATATAGTTGAATCAAACAGGGCCTCACATCCGAGGCCAGGAAGAGCTCAGCGGGCGCGAGGCCCACGAGATCTGGAGGCGCCAGTTTTGACCCCTACCTTCCCCCCCCCAACCCCCCGGCCCGTTTCTCACTCCCTGAGTTCATGGACTTTAAACTTTTTGGGTTTGGACCATTTAGTGGTGAACAAGCTGTTTGGATTGTTTTTTTTGGTCCAATCCACTCTGGAAGTGAGGTTTTGGGGGTGAGAGGCAAGAAAAGAACCTCGATCTTTGGGCTGGCATGGCTGGCGTGGTTTTCAGATGTTTTGGCAGTTTTTCAACTTTCAGTAAGAGATGAGCGAACGAAGATTTGTCTCAAAACTACGGGGACCCCAGAAATGGTTGGAATATCTGTGGAATTTCCCGAACTTCACCCGCCTCAAAGCTGGGATCTATTTGCAGAGCACACCTCAGGATCCTCACGATCCTAGTCCTAGGGGTGGCTTTGAGCGCCGAGACATCGATGGGATGGTTCCAAATGCTAACCCCATGGTTCCAAAGAGACGCATTTTGTCCACTGAAAAAAAATCTGTGTGTGGAGTCCCACTTTCTACATGCTAGCTAGCTGGGTGATTCTTTGAGGAGACTGCTGGGGTTCCGAAGCAAGTGGTGCGAGGCTCACCCAGTGATGCCTGCCCATCTCATATGTTGCGGGTGGGGGGTTTGAATGGATCCGGTTGGTTTCATTTTAGAACGGACATGGACTTTCTTGTCCATCACCCCATCTCCATTTACTTCCATTGTCTCTGCAATACATTTCCCCCCCCCTCCCCCGATCCCGGTCCCTTATGATGAATGTCACGGATAGCAAAAGGGGATACGGATCACGTTTTTTAAAGATGGGTGTCGCTTTGTTGGCCCCTTTAAGGGGAAGCCAAGAGAAGACCCACCATCTTGAAGGGGTCCCCCCAAGAAAGACACACCCCTGTTGATTTTAGCAACTGGAATTGCTGAGACAAGGATTCGTGTTTTTGGAAAACCGAGAGAGAGGAGTCCTCGAAAAAAGACACACGCCAAGAGAAGAACCACTGTTTTTGTTGGGGGCCCTTTTTGGGAAGCACCACTTCTTTTGGAGGGGTCCCCTGAAATTGATGATGTCCTTTTTTGATGTTTTTTTGGGGGGTTTTCCCTTTTCCGGGGAAACTAATGTGAACCACCTTTGTTTTTGGGGGGGGGCCCTGAAAAGACCTGCGCCACCGCAGTCGTCGTGTTTCTCCCTGGCCGTAGGACCCTGCGCTCCGCTGATGGGAAGCCCAGCTTTGCGGAGGCTGTGCAGCGGCAGAGGCGCCGAAGCGGTTCGAAGTCGAAAGCAGCTGGCTGGGTTTGTCCTAATGGATTTGGGAAATGGGAAGATGGGCGTTCTTTTTTTCTCCGCCGAACCTGCTATAGATTTGTCCTCCATGAGTTGAATTCACCGGGATGCATCGCCATTTGTAGACAACTCCCCAAGCTCAATGGATCATGTTGTTTCTTTCTTTTCCTTTGTTGCTGAAGACCCTAGAAGCAAGCCTTCAGGCTTCCAATCGGAGAAGCGTCGAACACCCCATCAACAAAGATGCCCCGCTCCGTGCACGCCTCCCCAGCTCCCTTTTTCCCTTTTCACTCTCTTCGTGCTTATTTGAGCCATCAAGGGGGGGGGGCATATGGCAGTGGTTCGTAGCCTTTTGGGGTTTTGCAGGGACCCCTGAGGAAGGTGGTTACTTTTCTTGCAAGGGAAGTAGACCTTGCTCCGTTTGAAGGGGAAAATTACCAGTTGAAGGGAAAACCTTCTTCGGGGTTTTGAAGGGCATCTCTTCGGGGAAAACCAAAACGGATCCGGTTTTTGGAAAGAACGAGGGTTGAAAAGAATGGAAAAGGCATCCACCCCTAGAATCTCCCCGTTTTCCAGTGGCCCGAAATGTGCCAGGCTCTTGGCAGAGCTGCTCACCCGAAGCAGCCTGAGCCCCGGGAGGTCGACTTGGAGGCTCTCGTTTTTGAGGGCTAATCTCTTGACCAGGAATGGACCCCCATGTTCTTGACGGTTTCCGACCATCCAGCTCCTTAGCTTCTTAGTTGGTTCAGTGGTTGGGTTTCCATTCAACCCACAAGAAGCTAGACTTTTGGCAGGGCATCTGAGGACAGCCCAGTTTTGATGAGATGGTTTTTGTCCACTTGCTTGATCAAACAAGTGTTGTCATCTGTGTTTGGCACCAGTTCTTTTTCAGGGGGAATCAAGGGACTGCCCATGAAGCGGGCCTCCAACCACTCATAGAGGCTGGTCGGGATTTGTTGCCTCAGAAGGTCGAGAGGCAAACCCAGGTAGACGCCCCCCCCCCACACAGCCAGACACATCCAGACACCAAGCATCTAGTCACCGGTTGCGTTGGATTGCAAGCTTTGTTATCCATACAGGTTCCTGCATGGCAAGATATGCTCTCACCACGGGATTCGGAAAGGCACACTGGTGACAGGGAGTTTGTCTCGCAGGGAAGTTCTTACGTGGCGCTGGCGCTCGTGCCCTTCGTCCGGGCTTTTTTATGCGCGGCAGTGGGATGAGGCAAACGTTTGCCATCTGCCAAAGGGCTTGGCCCGGGCGAGCTTTTGGCCGCTTTTCTTGACGACGGGTGCTTTTCAGTGTCCTGATGTGCTGTGCTCTTCAAAAGCAGACTAAACTCATATCCGAACATTCGAGCGCAAGAGAGGTGTGTGCGGTTCCATTCTGGTAGAACTTTGAAAGAAACACATGTTCACCCATAAGAATAGTAGGTGAACAACTCAGGGAACCTATGTGCGTTTTGGGGATTTGTTTCTCCGGCATCGCCTTTTGAACAAAAGGAACGCAGCTTTGATGTTGATTGTTTTTCTAGGGGTTGATTCCAACCATTCTTTTCAGACATCGTTCTTTCAATAACCGATCGCCATTTCCCCAGGGTTTCAAAGGTGGTTTTCTAGAAAGATCCGGATCCCTGGAAAGAATGGAAATGGAAGTCCCCCCTAGAGTTTTGGAATACTTCATCCTGGGCTTAAATCACTTCTTGGGTTTGGACCATCTTAGTGGCTAAACAAGCCTAGACTTGTGGGATCCCTCGGGGTTTATCCAACCACTTCTGTGATACCTTTGGGAATGTCCCCCTTTGTACCGGGGGGTTAGTCTTTGAGAAGACCTTTTTGTTGTATCACAGAAGTGGAATCCGCTTCCCACAGCCCCGTGAATCCGCTGGTTCGGAGATTCAGGCGCCGGAGTGCAGAGTTTTTTTGCAGAAGATCGCCTGGTTGCTGTGGTTGGGAAATGTCTTGCTGCTTGTGGTTTAGTGGAAATCCAACCACTTAAATACTAAATATAAATGTTTGCTCCCCTTCCAACGTCAACCAAGATCGGCGGGATCGCCAGATCGCCAGATCGCCTCGTCTCTGAGGCCTGGAAGCCATCGCGGAAAGCCGCAGGGATGAGCGCGCCAGCTCAAATTGGCTGCCCAACACGGTGCGGGCCGAACTCAGGAGCTGGGGCCCGAAGTCCGGTCGTTTTCTTTCTCAGCTGTTCTTTTTTGTGTTGGTCGCGGTGGTTCGTCGTTTTTTTCCTTCTTCTTCTTTTTGGTCAGGCTGTTTTCTTGGTTTTGGTTGCGGTGTTGGTGTTTGTTTTGCGGGGAGCATGGGGAGCCTAGCAAACGAGGTCACCAAAGTTTGGTGTTCCACCTATGGCTTCCGCTGCCGAAAAGGCGTGCGGACTTAGCGACGCCAAAGGGTCACGGAGGCGTCCCACCCAGCCCATCAAGGGGACCCTTTCTTGCTTTGACTATGAAACAAAGAAAAACAGTTCGAACACCCGGAGGTCAATGGAACCTTCCAAGCAAATCAACCTGCATTGACACACATCAAGTCTTACAAGATTCGAAACTGAGCTGAGGCCCGGGTATTGAGCCCCCCTGTTCATACGCAACCTCCTTTTGGTTGATTGAAAGGTGGCTGGAAGGGGCCTGGTGAAGCCACAGATGTTTCCCCTATGCCAGGGTCGCCCACAAGACTCTTTGGTCATGGCCCCAAAAGGTGATCACCTTTTAGTTCCAGGTCCTTTGGGCACCTGAGATGAGGGTCATTGACCCAGCCTGGCTTGCAACTTGGACCCGTGTGGTTGATTTGACAAGCGGTCTGCCGGTCTGGGGAGTTGTGTGCCAAGCCCTTCCGAATGTGACCAAGCACGGAATCATGGCCAGGTCAGCTTGGTTGAGCGTGTATGGATTTCACTGGTTTCTGAGTGGTTCGAACCACCTACCAGTGCCATCTATTTGCCGAAATGATAACAAGCTTGCCTGGACCAGCTCACCTATGATGAACGCCCCCGAAGTTAGGGATTCCTAATTTCCGGTTGCTAAATGTTAATTACAGTTTGGCGAACGAAGGCGCAATTCCTACCATGGCTTCAGTCGTCGCCTCCCGCATACAACTTTCGCCCTGTGCACTATCCTCCAGGATCGCCCTCTCGGAGCTGAAAGCCAGCGATTGCTTGCAGATGGCGGGCTTGCTGGGGATTGTGCGGGGTGGTTTTGTTCGTGAGGTCGGTCAGGTCGTGCTGCGTCGGCCAAGCTTTGTAGTCTGACTTGTTAATTGATATGCGGACGTGCTTTTGTTTGAAGGAAATTACCCTCTTTAGGTTGCTTTCAAGGGAAACGAGGAAAGCTGGCCCAGAGTTGCTGTAGACTACCCTATTCTGGGCCAAGGTGTAGTCCTTTGTAGACTGAGGAGATGTCAGCAAGATGTATGGTGCCTCTCATTGACCGTGGGATCGGTATAACATTGGGGGCAAACCACCCTGAGCCAGGCCATTGATGTGTCAGCACCGTTTGCCGAGTGAGTAGCACCCAAAACCTAGCAGGTGGTTATGAGATCTGGGGGTCTTAGTAAGGCTATAGAAATCAGAAATGCCGTCTTGGTAGAACCAACCGTCATTGGGTGCAGTGCCTTTGTGCTTTTTGGGGATCTGTTTGAACCCCTCTACCGGTGTGGCTTTCCTGAGAGCTTGTGTGGTTTTTGGCCATAGTAAGGGGGGGGTGCAACAGACCTGATATGATTTCATGTGCCGCTCGGTCGAATCTTTTTAGTCTGGCCCAATCGAAGCACCAGGGGGGGCGCTCTGATTTTACCCGAATTGCCATGGCCCCTGACGGAGCGAGCTCCCTGCAGCTGGACGTTCACCTTCCGAGCGGGCGCGGTTGCGTGATCTCCCTGGCCCCAGAGTCCTTGGTCAGCGTCCTAAAGGCCGCGGCCCAGCGGCATTTCCAGCGCCGATGTCTGAGGCTCACCGCGAAAGGCGGGGGTGGGTGGCAGTCGGGTTCTTTTGTCTTGGGGGGGGGGGGGGTGGGGGGGCAGGAGCTGAGGTGGAAATGGGGATAAATGACCCTGTCAGATCATCGACCGTCTCCCTTGCTCCTGTCCTCTCGCACATGGAAGCCACCAGAGAAATGGGCATGAAACCAGTCGTCCACCCCGAAACCATGTGGGTGAGGCGAATCTTTGGAGCAGCCTTGTTTTGGCCTCCTAAATGTTGTTTTTCCTCAAGGCGTTCCGTCAAGAATCGGCTCAGAGCCTCTCCCCGGTAGCTCGAGGTGCACTTGAACGTCTCAATTTTGGAGGGTGCCTGAATTCCCTAAAAACTCCCTAAAAAGTGGGTTACTTCTCCAAATTTGTGGCAAAATTATGGCTAGTTTGAGGGTCCAGGTACTCTTTCTTAGCCTGCTCCAAGAGCCAAAGGTACACCACTGTCGCGAAGACTAACGTTGACAAAACAGCCTTCGACCCTTCGAAGGCTTCGGAGACTTCGTTCTTGAAGCCTTCGAAGCCTTTGTTCCTGATTGCTCTTTGGAGCCTTCAAAATCTGCGCACTGGACCTTCAAAGCCTGCGAAGCCTTCGTACCTTTGCGTCAAAGGCTCCACTGCTTCCAAGCCTTTCCGAGACACGGTTCCATTTGGTTTCCTCAGCCTCAACACAAATTTGACTCGCTTCTTCTTTCTCTTTTGGGTGTTGCGGACAAACCCACGCAGAGACCGCCGCTTTTGTTTTTTTGCTCCCAGGGACCAAGCCTTGTCCCACTTCGAAGGCCGGGAATTGGACCTGGCAGCCACCTTGACTGCTGCGGGCCTGCGAGACGGGGACGTCATCACCGGGGTGTTCCAACCTGCCAAGCTGGCTGCCGCCGGCTTGGCCTTTGCCCTGCACGCCCCATGGCCAGAGTGGGACGGCCTTCTGGTGCATGCCCCCACCAGATTGAAAGTAAATCAACCAGAATTAGCAAAACCATGGAAACTTAGGGTGAGTTAGAGGGCTACCTGTGTTGTCCTGCGTTGGTTTTTCGCCTTGCCTCAACCGCCTCGGTAAATCCCATTACAGAGCTGAAGCGTCATTCTGATTGTGGTCTTGGGTGATGTTCACCGGCCTAGCCTTTTTGCCTTTCCTTGTTCAGGGCTTCCCCTTCTAGTGCTAAACATCATCAGATTGGTCACTCCAAGGTGTATTTTTCCTGGGTTGCCCGATGGAACACCCGTTTTCCTCTACAAATGCTTTGTCAGGGCCCATGCTGTGCCCTCAAAAGATGGAACTGGTGTGCACATGAGCACACAAAAAATGGTCACTGGCATTTTGGGGGGAATGGTTTAATGCTCTGGTAGATAGTGCAAGAACCCTTCTTGCCCAAAAGGACTTGACAAAACTCGCCCTTTCCACAATCATGGGAATGAACAAAGGATGACGCCCCTCCTTCCCACTCTTGTTGGAAGGGAAACGTTTTTGCCCCTGTCCGCCTTTTTCCCCACCCCACCCCAACCCACCTCAACCACCCAGCTCACCCCAATTCACGCTTTTCAAGCAACCAAACACGTTAACATCTTTTGGTGCCCAGATCTCGGATCGGTCGGATCTTGTTGCGTTTGGCCAAGGCTCAAGGAGGCGGCGTGGTGACGTGGGGGCATTTCATTGGTGGCCCAGTTGCAACCATCACCTGAGAGCCGAAATCTTTTAAGAGGGCCGCCGGTGGTTCTGCTTCCTGCTTGGAGTGGGAGTGTAGGAGGGGCTATATACACCTTTGACACCATCTGGAACCAACATTCAATGGGTTCTGGGCCCTGCCCACTGCTAGTCAAAGCCTGGGTTGAAGGGTGGTAGGTTGCAGATGCGATACTTGTGGGAGGCGGGGTAATTCACTCATACATTTCAGTTTGTTTTTCGTTTGGGTTTCCTTAAGAGATACACTAAACGTTGATCAGGGTCCTTTTTGTTCATTGTTCCTATGTCAAACAAGGTGGCGGAGACAGTGGTCAGGTCAAGGGACAGCTGAGAAATGTTCAGCAGATCAAAACGACTCCACATGGTGCTTTTGCCGCCATTCTGGAATCTGGAGCTGTTGTGACCTGGGGGGATCCAGACAGCGGAGGTGACAGCAGCCAGGTGCAAGAACAACTGAGGAATGTCCAGCAGATTCAAGCGACCTATGGTGATTTTGCTGCCACTCTTGAATCAGGGGCTGTTATGACCTGGGCTGATCCAGGAGGCGGCGAACGCAGCAGGCAAGTACAAGGGCAACTGAGGAATGTCCAGCAGATTCAAGCAACTTGCATTGCTTTTGCTGCGATTATGGGATCTGGAGCTGTGGTGTCATGGGGTGATCCAAACGCTGGCGGTGACAGCAGTGAGGTCCAATCGCAACTGAAGAAAGTTCAGCAAATTCAAGCAACTGGCAGTGCCTTTGCTGCTATTCTTGAATCCGGAGCTGTTGTGACCTGGGGTTGCCCACATAGGGGCGGTGACAGCAGTGAGGTCCAATCGCAACTGAAGAAAGTTCAGCAAATTCAAGCGACTGGCACTGCCTTTGCTGCTATTCTGGAATCGGGAACTGTTGTAACCTGGGGTGATGCAGACTGTGGCGGTGATAGCAGCCAGGTTCAAGATCAGCTGAGGAATGTTCAGCAAATCCAAGCAACTGACACTGCTTTCGCAGCCATTCTAAAATCTGGAGCAGTTGTCACCTGGGGTTACGCAGAAGGTGGCGCTGACAGCAGCCGGGTGCAAGAGCACCTGAGAAATGTCCAGCAGATTCAAGCGACGTGCAGTGCTTTTGCTGCGATTTTGGATTCGGGAGCTGTTGTGACCTGGGGGGATCCAGACTCTGGCGGTGATAGCAGCCAGGTTCGCGATCAGCTGAGGAATGTTCAGCAAATCCAAGCATCTCGCAGTGCTTTTGCTGCCATTGTTGAACAGGCCGCTGTGGTGACCTGGGGTGATCCAGACAGCGGTGGCGACAGCAGTCGGGTGCAAGATCAATTGCGGAATGTTCGGCAGATTCAAGCCAGCGGCGACGCTTTTGCTGCCATTCTAGAATCTGGGCACGTTGTAACTTGGGGCTATGCACAGTTTGGCGGAGACAGCAGCCAAGTGCAAGAGCAACTGCAGGATGTTCAGCAGATCCAAGCCACTAACAGTGCCTTTGCCGCCCTTCTGGGGTGTGGAGCTGTTGTGACGTGGGGCGAGCTGCCCGGGACACTGCCTAACCAGGAAGAGCTAGACTTAGTGTGAGACTGCACAGATTCTCTACTGCTATTGGGTTGGATCTTTAGAGTTTAACTTTTTGGATTCCGCTCATATTGCCTTTTAGCAAAAAGTTAAACTTTTTGCTGGGGGATCTACAGCACCCAAGAGATCCTCAGTTCAGTACGATGGGGTTTCTTCTTTGCATTTCTGCAGATGGGAGCAGCGAGTTGTACTCAAGACTTCCCTGGGTCAGTTAGTACTCCTCACGCGAGCACAGCAAACCGGGCTTTGGGGTTGATTTCGTTCCAAGGGATTTTCCCTTGAAGTGAGAAAGTAGTCATGATTGGATGACCATCACAACCGCGATTTTCTACCCATGTGAGGAAGGGACAATATGATTTGCTAATATACTGTTGGTTGGGGAGGATACGAGGGCCATGCCGACAGCAGGTCATATGGTGTGCACATATTCTTCCAAAAAAGCGCAGCTCAACTAGGTCCAAAACTGCAGAAGTTCGTTCTAAACTTTGTTTGAGAAATGATCTTGGGCTGGAGCTTTCTTCAACATCCATTATTTGTGGTGTCCCTGTTGGGGTTCACCAGCAAGAAGAAGAGACATCCGTCTAATGGACAATTGTAGAGAGTCATTGTTGTTTGCTTTGTTTTGTTGGGGATGGGGGGTACAGTTTATTTCTGAGTGGAGGCGCCAACAGCATGGCGTTCCACATTTCTGTAACATTGCATAGCCAAGTTCACGTTGGAGCCTGGCAACTGCGGGAAACACGTTTTGGTCGGAAATGGGGACCTGCTTTGTTGAGCAATCCTCAAATCGTGTTTCTGGGCAGCAACAACAGCATCCCAGTTCAGCGCGTTCCAGTTTGCAACTCCAACTTTTTTTGGAGGGTCCAGTAAAAGTCAATCGAGCCTCGAGGGTCACAGCTTCTCACATCATACATATGTGCCCCGGCTAGAAGCACCCCATTGGAAGGGATGAGAGGATGAGACCTTTGAACTAGGCAGCCGTGAGAAGGTTTTGGGCATAAGGAGTTCCGGCTATGGCAGAGATGTGCCTAGATTTAGTCAAGACACCCACTTGCTCACAACCAAAGGATCGGCAATAGGGTATGCAATGGGACCATGAGAAGGTGTTGGTCTTGTCCAGCACGAGACTGAACTGCACACACCCAACTAGCTTTTGGCGGTTCTTAGTGGATTGTCGGAGTACCTTTTGAGGATGGTACAATCCCGCAAGTAAGCGCTAAGGTGGGGTGAAGGTACCCTTTTTCTCTCGCTGGAAGTGGGCGATCGGGGGCTTCCCCAATCGAGTGGTAGTCTTCCGACCCCCTTTGGATGAGATTCATCGTGAGCTGCAATTGATGGGTTTGTGCTTTTTTGGAGTGTACCCTTGTTGGTGTTGTTTTTGAAACGAACCACGGGGAACCCCATAATGATTTGGGCATTTGTAACTTTGGGCAGCCCAAATCGCGGAGGAACAAGGAGGGCTCCCCCTGTAGGATTCCTCGTTGAGGTGGGCCATTCTTCCAACAAAGTGCAAAACGAACTGCCTGAGTCATGAACAGGCAGAATTATGTCACGCCCCAGATTCTCAGACATCTTTTGATTGTACAAAAACTGCCGTTCCATCGCTTTGCGTGCATAAATTCGTTTTGGTGGCGTAGGCGTTGCAGTCGCCCATTGTCATTAGAGACTATACCACCGCTGACATGCTGGAGGCGGGTTCCGGGTTCCATGGATGGAAAACAAAGCACCATGCAGGAGAGAAACGCCAATTTGATTTTGGCAACTGAAGTCACGACCTCATATCTTCATGGCCTTGCTCCTTTGTTTGTTTGGGGGGGCTTGAAGGCTGAGAATGATTTAGCCCATGTGTATATAGTACGTATATGTTTTGTTGTTGTGTGTAGTCGGGTCGAGCTAGGTTGAGTTGTGCTGGGTTGCTTTTCTTGTCTCTTTGTTATTTGCTTGATTGCCTGGTTTCCCTGTCTGCATGTTTGTTTGTTTGTTTGTTTGTTTGTTTGTTTGTTTGTTTGTTTGTTTGTTTGTTTGCCTGTTTGTCCGTTTGTCTGTGTGTCTGAATGTCTGTTTGCGTGTTTGTGTGTTCGTTTGTTCGTTCGCTCGCTCGCTCGCTCGCTCGCTTGCTTGCTTGCTTGCTTGCTCGTTTGTTCATTGGTTTGTTTTGGTTCGGTTGGGCTAGTTGGTTTTGCTTTGCTTTGCTTGCTTGTGTTTGGCTTTGTTGTTTGGCTTTGTTGTTTGGTGTGGTGTGGTGTGGTGTGGTGTGGTGTGGTGCGGTGCGGTGCGGTGTGGTGCGGTGCGGTGTGGTGTGGTGTGGTGTGGTGTGGTGTGGTGTGGTGTGTTTGTTTGCTTGTTCGTTCGTTCGCTCGCTTGGCTTGGATTGGTTTAGTTTGTTTGGTTTGCGACGTGGTTCGGTGGTTTGTGTGGTTTGTGTGGTTTGTTGTTTTTTTTTTTTTTTTTTTTGTGTGCTTGGTTTGGCTTAGCTTGTTTGGTTTGGCTTTTTTTTTTGTGTGTGTGTGTGTGTTTCTCCGAAACGTGGTAAAGGCCATGTGTGTAAATGGCTGTGCACATGCATCAGGCTGCTTGTACCCAGTCACAGTTATGAATGAGTTCTACTACCTCTGCCTGTCCCTATCCAAACACTTCATGTAGGGATGAGTAAGGGGTTTCCAACATTCCAAGCATGGAGTCGGCTCCCCGCGTGTCTCAATCAAACCACGTTCCGTGTAGCATTCAGTTGTTTGGTCTTTGCACCGGTGTGCTTGACAAAGCTTCCACCAATGCAATTCCATAATATCAGTGCCGCTCATGGAGCTACCCCTGGCTGAGCAGAAACATGGCCCAACCTGAAACACTGGCTTTCTTGTGCATTCCTTTTTTATGTTCAGTTCATTCCACTTTCGCCTGCGTGGCTTCCCTTTCCAGGTTTGATTTGGATGGGACCTTGAGGACTCCCTCAACATCGCCCTTGTGGTTCAAAGGAAGCCCTCAAAATGCAGCAAGGGGCCCTCCAGGTCATGGATCAAGAAGGTCTGGACGATCCCCGGCTGCCGGGGGCCTCGAGGAGCTGACTGGAGTTGGCTGGGTATGTCTTAAAGGGGAGCCAAATGGCGGCTTTTCCGGGCTTTTCTCTTTAAAGCAACCCCACAAGGGTAGCCTCAAAAAAGAAGCCCCCCGAAAACCCACATTTGCACGCAGTGAACGCTCAAAAAAGACCAAGCAAAAACACGATCGGGGTTGACCCCCATTGGGCCATATTCGGCCAAGTTCTCAGGTGAGTCCACGGGAGCTTGAAGGCCTCTTCCAGAGGTCCAGAGGTCGCTTTCAGCCCGTGCCAAAAGAGAGATCTTTCTTAACATGGGGGGAATCTCCCCGGTTTTAGTGGGGATGTCTCACTCTTGGAGGGGAACACAGGTGAGCCACGTGCTCAAACCCCGGCTAGATGGTTCGGTTAGTAAGGGACGATCCCCTTGCCAGAAATAGCTGCGGATATCCGCCTTCTAGGTTCTTGAAACATGGTTTTGGGTAGATAAGTTTAATACCGGGTTTTGATTGTGACTCACCTGGGTTCGCAACAAGTAGGGAGCCCGAAACCTCGTCGCTGGGTTTCCGTTTGCTTTCCCTCTCGAGGGTTCCTTGGGCCGGGGTTTTCAGGCACGGGGTTCCACTTTCTGGACTACCAGAATGGAAAAAAAAGCCTTTTGGGTTGGGTCCACTTTTTGGACCAGAATGACTTTTGGGTTGGGTGACTTTAGCTTAGACCCCGTGGATCCCTGGAACCGAAAGGGGTTAGAGCCCTGGAAGGCCGCTGGGTTGCGGCGGACGATCCCAGGCTGCTGGCGGAGGCGGGGCGAGGGGGCAAGCAGCTCTGGCACTGGCTCTCCGAGAAGGCGGAGGAGGAGGCCGCCGGGGGGCGGCCGGGGGGGGGGGGGGGCTGGGGGGGGCGGGCTCTTGGGCCATGCGTCTCAAAGGGCTGTGGTCAAAGACGTTTTGGGATCCCAATTTGTGGTTGGCTGAATTCACCATTTATTTTAGGACCTAAGTTTTAGTGGGGCTTGGGATGTGAAAACGGGGGGTACGATTTGGATTTTGACCCATGGCCAAATGGCTGCGATCGGCAAGAATAGTTGGTAATCCCAAAATGGGTTGCCCGATCGGTGAATGGAAAGGACGCACACCGGTCCAATTCCTGGTGGTTTAAACTTACCCCATGCCTCCAGGAGCTCAGCTCCTGCCTTTTTCGGCGTCCCTTTACTCCAAGCTTTCCTTTTGGGTGGTAGTTGTGGTTTCCCTGATTTGGGTGGCTCAAAATTCAACGATCGGAGGGGCAAACCGCAGGTTTTGGACCATGTTTCCACTTACCAGGGCAAGCCATTTCGGCACCGGTTTTTTGAGCCAAGGCCATTTCGTCCTCACGTCAGGAGTCCTTCGATTTCTTCCACCAGAGCCTTTTGGACCTCGGCCTCGCCGCCTTGCAGCGCCTTCGCCTCGAGCACCGCCGTGGAAAAATTGAACCAAGGGAAGCCAACGGGTAACGGAGTGGGAAGCGAGACAAGTAGCTTCTTTCGCTTAAGTTTTTTTTCATGTTCCTTGTTGGCTCTAAAGGGACTTTCATTTTTTTCCCAAGGTCAAGCAAATGGAAGGTTGGGAAATTTGGGAGGGACATGTGGGAAAAGCGGCCCAAGAAAAGTAGCAAAGTGGGGGGGTGGCTTTGTTGCTACTCCTTGTGCTGTGGTTGGGTACCCCTTTTTCTTGGGCAGAGGTTTGAGGGTTTTGCAGGTCATCAAGTGAGAACCCATGGTTTCTTCAGCTGGTTAAGTGGTATCTCAAAATCGGAGGCCCCAACATTGCTGTACTCTTGCTTTCACCTTTTTCCTCGCCCTTTTGTGAACGGAGGGTGTCATCCCAAAGTGAACCGAAGGACAGCGAGAAAGCAACCTGCACCACAGCAAGTTCCTGTAAATCACATGCAACCAGGGTTTGTTCCTTGCATGTGAAGTTCAGACTGCCCTCAGAGAGGAAGCGAGCTAAGCGTTAACCCATGAAGATTCCTGCAAGGAGGAACTGAATATTGTAAATGGAGCAGATGCCCAGAATCGCAGCTGTCCAAAGCAGACCCTTAAAAGGATGTTGCTCATTTCCAATAAATCCCTCGCGAACTTCTTCCACAAATGACGCGTGTCCCAACGTGACAAGGTACCCGGTTGAGCAAAGAAACATCAACCGCCTGAGAATATGTTGTATTCTTTCTCAGCGCCCTAAGCAAACACAAGTTTTTTTTTTTTTTTTTTTTCCGGACCAGGTCTAGTCATTTTAGTCAAATTCCTAAAAGATCCACCTCCAAGGACCTTGGAGAGGCCAAGGAGCGGGTGCCGAACAACTCCGGAGCTGAAGAGCACCCAATTAACATCATTGGTTCGTTTCAACAATGGAAGTGGGTGGACAGGGGCCAAACCCCCTCAAGAAACAAAAAAAGGACAACCCCCCAAAAAAGGTAGTCTCCCAAAATCCTATTGGCTTCCATGATTATTGGGTCTTCTATGAGTTCCCAAAGCACCGTTTTGGTTGATCCACCTTTCCGACAGGTCGAGTTCAGCGCTGCGAGGAGCACTTGCCGGGAGCCAAGTGACCGAGAGGTTTCTCGCTTAGCTGGGTGCCGGTGAGGGTCAGAGATTCCCAGACCAAACTTTTCCTGGCCACTCAACTTGGCAGTCAGCAAATGTGCAACAATGGCGGTGGTTTGCCCTTCGACCCAAAAAGATCAAAAGAGGGCGCCTGATCTCCGTGAAGACCCAGCTCAAATCACCTCCAGGAACCGATACATACATATGCATATACATATACATATACATATACATATACATATACATATACATATACATATACATACACATACACATACACATACACATACACATACACATACACATAGCACATACACATACACATACACATACACATACACATACACACATACATACATACATACATACATACATACATACATACATACATACATGCATGCATGCATGCATACATACATACATACATACATACATACATATATACATATATACATATGCATATGCATATGCATATGCATATACATATACATATACATACACACACATACATACATACATACATACATACATACATACATACATACATACATACATACATACATACATACATACATACATACATACATACGTGCATAGATGCATACATACATACATATATATATATATGTATACACAATAAATATATATATATACATATAATATATCTATACATATAATATATACATATATACATATACATGTATACACATATATATATATACATATATATATATATATATGTTTATAACTATAATAATACCTCCTATCTTGCCACATTGGAGGTAATAGATGTTTTTTGGGTTGATGCCTTCTCGCAGCTTGGACACCAGCTTCCTTGGGCCCCTTCTGAGGAAAAAACGCTAGGTGAGCACAGGAGTTCCGTGGGGCATTCCCTGCAGCCAGCGCAGCACTAGTAAGCTTCTACTGCGGATGGACAAAATCCACGCCAGGCATCAGATGGGATGGGCGAATACTGGGCTTAAACACCCACTAACTAGTGCAGGGATTTTGTCCATGCATTGCAATGCATGGTGTCACATCCATATTCCTTATTTTCGGCGGCCCAATATGGGTTCTAAAAAGGAGGATCGAGCTTTCATTACAGCATCACCTGATGAGGGCCATTGATCGGAATCTGTCCAAGTCTACCGAAATGTATTAGACCCCTATTCCCTTCAAAAGGCCGCCTTTACCCTGTTCAATGGGCACCCTTTTCCCCTTTTTGGTCCACCCCTCAAAAATCATATGTCTTTCCTCTACAAACGTCACTGGTTGTCACCCATACCCGTGCCGGCGAAGCCCCGAGTTTTCCGGGTCACCCAGCATGACTCGAAGCGACAGGCTGAGCTGGGGTCACAGCGGAGTGCAGGAAGGCGCCCTTGAAATTGGGGTGGCGGGGGGGGGGGGGGGTGGACGCGTTTTTGTTTTTGTTCCTTTTTCTGTTTTTCTTTCTTTTTTTATACATCAGAATGTCAGGAGTGTGGGAGGGTGTGTTTGTATGTTTGCGTGTCTCTGCGTGCGTGCATGCGAGCCGTGCCTGCCTGCGTGCCTGCGCACGTGCCTGTGTGCCTGCGCGTGTATGTGTGTGTGTGTGTGTTGCGTGTGTGTGTGTGTGTGGTTTCGTTTTGACATAGAATTTGTCTCCAGGAAAGGCAGTGTCCTTGGTTCCCTTTTAGCATGTTGGGAGCCCGGAAACAACAAAACAGACCCACAACCAGCTTGCAGGCAATCCAACTGCATGTAACCCTGCGATGTTTTTTTAACAGTAGACGTTGCTTGACTTTGTTAGGTTTTCCAATAACGAGGTAACTGGAAGCATCGAGTTGACTCAAAGAAATATGTTTGGCTTGGATGCCCGGCGTTGATGCACCTTCCCGATCGTCAGGTTGGCCGAGCGTTCAGCCTTCGGCTCAGTCAGTTTCCAGCTGTACGGGTTGCTCGGTATGTTAAGCCTTCTTGAGAATATTCGTACATCCCAAAGTAGCAGGACCCACACACCGGGGTTGGTTTCCTAGCAAATTTTCCTTTGCAAGCCATCCGAAAGGTCCTTTTCCAATCCGAAAGGACACCCATATGGGCTTTGCCTTTTTTCTGAGGGCTGCCCCTTTTTTTTGGGTTTTAAGGGAAACCAAAAGGACAAGCGATGCCATTTTCGGGGGTCCAGCTTTGAAACAGAAGAGCCACCCAGTCTTGCGACTCTCCGGCCGCGCGATGCCGGTGGCATCCGTGCGCATCCGAGAGCTATGGACTGGGAGAGCTATTACGCGCGCAGCCTCGCCCGGCGCGGTTCCCTGCGCCCAGAGGACGTGAACATATTTTTTTGCGAGCCCACTGCACTCGCAGTAATGTGGGTATGAGTCAAGAATCAATCCACCAGGGGACCGCGGAGTTTAGTCATGTTTTCCATTTAGCAGGGCAAGCCATGTTGGGTACATATTTTGGACCCACACCCATGTATGTGCGGCTAGTCCCAGCGGGTCCTCACATCTTGCCAAGCATGAGAGGGAGCGGGTGATTAGCACCTGAGCTACTGATGAAATAAACTGCTGAAACTGATTGCGGTTTTGCAAACGCCCGGGCCTAACCAACCAGACAGCGACCATGGAATGATCGTTTTCCCCAGGCATCGCAGTCGGCGCTTGGATGCCAAGTGAGACACGTCCGCATCCCTGCACAAGGGCCTTTGATGCAAACTGAAACTCGAGAACAACATCGGGTGTTGGGGGGTAGCACGTTCTGTGAGAAGAAGGGAATTGAGAAAATAACAATTCGGGTGTTGGGGGTATCGCTTGTTGTTTTTCTTTTTCTGAAGGCAGTTCTCTTCTTGCAACTTGACTGCTCAACTCTTCAGGACTGCTACTGCCCCCCGGCCCCGCTGCTGGGCCTCCTGCAGACTCTCCTCCCCGCCTCCGGCGCCTCCGGCGCCTCGGCCGGCCCGGTGCTCCTGGTGGGCGCGGGCGCCTCGGAGCTGCCAGCGCTCCTGGCGGAGGAACGCGAGCGCCTGGGCGAGAGGTCGGTCGGCTGTGGTCAAAACCGTTTTGGGATCCCAACTTTTTTTTGGGTAGGTGAATTCACCACCCATTTTGGGGGATTTAGTTTAGTGGGGATTGGGATGTGAAAGCTGGGGGCTAACCGATTTGGTTTTTGAAAAGCCCATGGCCAGTTGGACAGCTGCGGAAAAAGCAAGCAAAAAGAGACTTGACTTGCCGGCGCTCAGAAGGGAAATAAGCGAGACGAAAGGCGTCGCGGAAGCCAACCCTCTTACTTACCGAGAGTCTTGCAGCATATGGTACTATGAGTACGGGTGAAACAAAAAAAACCAGGAATTGGACCGCAGGTTTTAGTCCATGTTTCCATTTACCAGGGCAAGCCATTTGGGGTTACCCTATCTTTGACCCACAGCCATATGGGGCTCAAGCAGAAACAAGGCCAAATGCAGCTGGCAACTGTGAGTATACTTCTTGTGATCAGCCTGGCCACCAGGGAACGCTCCTGAGAATACTTTAAGTGATCACAAGGAACCTCCCGGAACCTGCTCCAACCTCCGGGAACCTGCGAGCCACCCCAAACCCATTGCCAGAAGGTGTCACTGGCGGGAAAAAACTGGCACTGAGGGAATTCGCATCCCGCAAGGGTAACCACCTCCGAACCTCCAAATCACTGCTTCAAACCACCTATCAATTGCTGGTTTGGATTGGTGCTTTGGGGATTTGAGCCCCTGGGTCTTAGAGGGATGGGAAACCTCCTCCACACCTCCAAACCACAACCTCCAACCAAACGGGTGTGTCAAACTAGCTCCTTTTGCTTTCCCTTTTAAACCGACCAATTAGAAAAAGCCCTTGTAAATCTAAGAATTGCTTTTACAACCCTGGTCTTTACAACTGGTTTCTGCAATCCCTTGTAAACCAATCCAACCCAGCAATTCCGAGCCCGTCCGACCAGTTCGGAAAGGTGCACGGCTGTGGACATCTCCCCCAGCTGTGTGCAGTGGATGCGCCAGGCGCGGGTTGTCTCAAAATAACCCAACAAGTGGGTTGAACACCAACCAAAAAGGGGAACCCCCGAAAACTAGACGGCCACGTTTTGAAATGCATGTATTCATATCTACACATGTGCGTATACATATATATATATATATATGTATACACATATGCACATATATACAATTATAACATGTATACACAGGTTTGGGAAGTGTCCATCCTTGTATATTTCCGCCATCAGTCTGAGCATGAATAGCTTTGCTTAGGCGGTTGTTAGGTGAGCTACGAGAAAGAGGAGGGGAATTGAGGGGTTGACGTTGAAGTCTAAGTGCCTTGACTGCGATTTGGCAACGGATCTTTAGACTTTAACTTTTTGGTTGAAATCAAGTTGGGCTTTCCACTACACCCCAGAAAAGTAAAAAACAAAAAGCAAAAATAAAACCCTTTTGCAGGGGAGTCATTAGCAACCAAGGTGCTAGCGGGTTCGGGCCTTTTGGAGCTGCCATTGAAATCAGCATCGTGCCATTCAGGATCCAGCGGCTTGCTTCTGTTTTTGTTGTTGGATGGGGGGTTCGATTTGAAACACTGGAACTCTGGGGTGCCATATGTCTTCTATTTTGGCAAAGCGTCGCCAAACAAAGTCTTTCTGATAATTGAAGTAAGCAAGTCAGCAAATCGTGCTCAGCCCGAACAGCTTGGGAAAGTCAGCCAAGCAGGTCAGCCCAGAAGTTTTTTCTGGCCAGTCAGCTGTTGCTCCGCAAAATAAGGTGGATACAAGCGCTCAGTCAACTCTGCAGGCAGAAGTATCCGGAACCACCACAAACCCGCTGTTGTGGGGCACATGCTGCAACTTGCTGGTTGTTGTTTGGAATCAAACATATATTTTCTCACTTCCTGAGATCATGGACTTTAAGCTTTTCGGAAATACATTTTTTTTGTGGCCCAGCAACATGGTTTTTGTTTTTGCCAGTCCGCTCGTTCGGCAGTGAGATTTGGGAATGAGCCAATGGATCCTCCAGGAAGCCACCTTGGGCTGGTTGATCCCCAGGCCGCGCCAAAGGTGGAGTGGGTGGAGGCAGATGCGCGGCAGCTGCCGGCGGAGTGGGCGAACCGCTTCGCGCTGGTCTTGGACAAAGGCGGGGAATGGTGTTGGGCATCGCCCGAGCTCGAAGAGACTGGGGGAGAGCCCAGAACCCTGCAACGTTGCACGGGTATCCCCGTTCTTTAGAGTCCTTTTTTCCAGGAAAGCCACTGAACAAGAACAAGCAACCGCCTGGAAATGAAGATGGCTTCCTTCGTAAAGCGCACTTGGTCACCAACTGATATATTGTCTTCTCTTTTCCTGGCTCTGCCATGTCTTTCCAAGAAAACGTGGACCGCGGACCGAGCCCCCAATGAACTCCGGAAAGCCCTCATTCCCCTCAGGTCTACTGGCGCACCTGGCCACGGAAGGCGTCCTCACGGACCGGGCCTCCCAGTGCGAGGCGGGCTTCTCCTTTGAGGGGACTGGGTGTGGCTCAACATTTAAGAGCCGGGGTTACGCAGGTTTTAGTCTTTGATTCCATTTCCCAAGGGCCCAAAAAAAGGTTGCCCTCGGGGGGAAAAAGACGACACGCAGGTTCTGCTCCGGGAGTACGAGCGTGTGCTGAAGCCAGGCTGGATGGATGCGATTCGGATCTCAGGCGCATGGTGAAACGGTGAAACGATCTGGTGAACCGTTCTCTCACTTCCTGAGTTCGCGTTGCGCACTTTCGTCACGTTTTGGGAAGGCCGTTTTTGTGGCACTCAAACAGTTTGGGCATCCCCACCCCCTTAAACATGGAATTGGGGGAGGGGGGTGACCCCTGGAGATCTCCATTTATGGTGCCATTTTCCCGTTTGTGGGGAAGAGTAAACAAATGGAATTGGGGGGATGTTTGGGCTTTTTTTGGCCCATCCACTCAAGGGGTTGTCAAGGCAATGACCATGGATTGCCACCGCATTCCTTCGTCTGAGTTTGGAGAGAGGATTGGTGCCAACAGGGTGGGTTCGTTCTGCCACTTTGCCCGACATGCATTCTTCGCACTGCGAGGATAGCTAAGGCACTACAAAGCATGATGGACAGACATGCATTTGCTTGCAGCATATGCGGAGCAGTGCTTGGCCTTGTTTCAAACTCATGTTTCACTTTCAACTAGGTCCCCCAGTAGTTCCCTTTTATCCTTTTTTGGGGGAGGGTTCCCTACTAAAATAGACCACAGAAAAAAAAGGGTACCCTTATTCTAACCTCTCTACTGGAGGACCTAGTCAACCTAAGCACCTCTTCAGCCAAGTTTCCGGGGCCCCGGTGTGTGAGGCGGTCAGACTGTGATCGTCTCCCTGTGGCCCTTGCAACTGGGAGTCTTCGCGTATCAGCGGCAAATCAGGCTGGGATCAACCCGAAATCCCAGTGGCGATCGTTTCAATTGAAGCCACCAGTACATCCATCAGCTTTTGATTTGGGGAAAATCCAGTGACCCCTGTACAAGGGTCACGAAAATTGCCCCTTTTCCAGGGGACACATTTAGTAGTCGAATTGATTTGCTACGCTTTTGGGTTCTGTTGTTGCTCCCGAAAAACAAACATTTCTTTATTGTCGAATTGGAGCAGCCCTGCGAGGGATGAGGCCTTCGGGGAAGCGCTGGTCTACCTGCTGTCCCCCGTTTGCCCCTGGGTTGCGGCAGTGGAAAGCGGCGACAACGAGGTCTTGGTGAAAACCACGCTGCTCGCCTTGCACAATGGAGAGGAGGGGCCAGACCAAGCAGACGGATTCAAAGTTCTTTAGGAGTTAAGTTGAAGTCTCTCACCACGATTTTGTGTCCAAACAAGGGAACCGGATATTAGTTGTTTTGAAAGACGGCCTGAGGACCGCTGAAAGTGAATATTTTGCGGTTCTCAAACTTACTTTCGCAGGTCCCGCAGGTTTCCCTTGAAACCACCAAAACCATGATTTCCAATTTATCCTTCCGGAAAGGTTTCAACCAATGCTTCACCTATGGCTGGCTAGACCCGCAAGATTGACCTGAGTTCTAGAGCATCTGAGAGCAGCGTTTGCAGATGTCTCTTCCAGTCAAAGCAGGTAGTTCTCCTTTGGGTCACTCCCTGAGTTGGACTTTAAACTTTCGGGAAGACCGTTTTAGCGGCAAACAAACAGTTTGGACCTTTTTGGGCCAGTCCACTCAGGCAGCGAAAATTTGGTATCCAGCCGATCAAAGTAGCAGTCCACGGGTCACGATACCGAGATCAATGGTAGTAGGCCCCTGGCCTTGTCATTTTTCAGGGACCCTGGGTAGGATTTGGGCCCCTGCGAGATATCGCCTATCGGGGGATTCCATGTTGTAGGGTGTTTCCCATGAAATTGGGACTTGCAACCCGCTGGTACTCGTTTGTCAGAAAACAAGGTTTGGGCAAATCAAAAGCCATAGCCCCGCACTCCCTGAGTTCCTGGATGTCATACTGTTGGGCATGACAGTCTTAGTCGTAAACAAAGAGGTGTGGAAGTGAATCATAGCCACCCGTAACGACGTCATTTCCAGGTATGGTTGTTGAATGTGCGGATCGTTGTAGACCACCAATATAAGCTTGCAAAAGCATACATCCCTTATATAAGTGGTACGTAGCCATATTTCCAAACCTCAGACGGGGTGTGTCTCTTTTCGGTACTTTTTTCTGCCTGGGTTTATAAACAAGATGGGGTAACTAATGGGTGTGCGGCTCAAAATGGATGCCCCTGATTCCTGGCGGTCCACAGCCGTCTTGTTAGGTTTGGGTTTGTTTAGTTGGCTTGGTGGTGCTTTCCATTTACCCCACGAAAATGAGTTTTTCGACTTTTAGCGGCGGATCTGAGGACAGCCCCAGGGGTTGGTTACAGGGGCACCGAAAGGAACCCCAGCACTCCCCATTTTGAGGACACCGCTTCGAATCGGGACGTGAGTCGAGGCTCAGCTGCGGCGAGCGCAAGGAGCTGGAGCGCTTTGGTTGCGATGGCGGCAGAAGAATGGCCTGAGGTGGCCTCGGGTTGAGATGGTTTGAGTTGGCTTGAATTTGTTTGAATTGGCTTGGCGGCTTGGATTGGTTTGGGGGTTGGTTTGGATTGGTTTGGGTTGGATTGAACCCCAGTTCACGTCAAAGCCACCACAAAGGGTTTGAAGGGGTCCATCCTTATTTTGGATGAGCCAGCTGGTGGGTTGCTGAAAAATGCTTCTGGAGGAACGAGGTTGCGGCTCCACGGATTTGGGGGAAGAATGAGAGAAGACCCAGAATGAAGGTCTTTACTGAAGGTTCTCGAATGTCTCCTTGTTCAGTTGTAGTAATTTGCAAAGATGCTTCTGGGGCTTTCTGTTGAAGGTTTGCCTTAAGTTTCACAGGGACACCACAAGGAAACCCATCTTTTTGGTGTCTCCAACTTTCAAAAGCCGGTTTCAATTGGCATTTATAATGGGCTAGAGGTGCCAGGGAGTCCAAACATTCCTCAGGCTCCACATGGGCGCTGCCTGCTGCCGCCTGGTGCGGTCGCAGACCTGCGAGAGCTTCGAGCTGAGCTTCGGCTGCTTCGCGGCCGCGCGGTGGACCAAAGACGGGCTGCGCCTCAGCCGCTGAGCGCGAAGCGCGCGGAAGGCTCGGAGCGGAGCCAACGGCGTCGTTGAGGCGGGGATTCTGGAAGGATGTTTGTATTTGTGTTCGTTTTAACATGCTCAAAAGGTATAGATAGGTGCGAATATCTGCCCTTTGAATGAATTAGTTTCATTGGTTTGGGGACGATGGTCTTCCACAGCCCTCTTCCCGACTTCCATAATGGAAAGAGAGACATCTCTTTTTTTCCGGTTCCGTCCAAAGGAGAGTATTCTAACATGTTTTGGGGGGGTCCCATCCCATGTTTTTCTGCGGCAAACGCGGCATGGAAGCTGCGAGGCCGAAGGACACCTGATCGCTGAGCGCCTGCAGCTTGGCAGCGTGGACCCTGCAACATGGTGACACCAACATCGTTGGCCCAAATGCGGCCCAGCCAGTGCTGTGCAAGGGACCCTGACAAAAGAACCAAAAAAAGTGAGTTTCAAGAGGGTCTGTGTTTCTTAGCTCGGCCACACACAAGTGAGTGAGTTTCAAGAGAATCTGTGTTTCTTAGCATCCTGGAGTGGTGACAGCATGCTTGCGCTTTGACTTTGAAGCCGTTTCAACAAGTCCCAAGTTTCCGCTCCTTGCATGGAACGCAGAAGCTCCATAGTCCCAGGTGCTTTTTGTTGGATCTTCGACCTGAAACACTTGTTGCGGGGGACATGTGCATTTTCCAACTAGCCCACAAAGAAACAAGCACACAACAACACGTGTTTTGTGGAGGCATTGTCGCCACCAGGTTTTCACCGCCGAGGCCTTCCATCGTTTCGGCTTGCCCGAGCCGCGCCTCGCCCAAGCGCTCGCCGATGGGCGGTTCCTCGCACGCGATGCGCCGGGTGAAACAGAGCGGCCCTGAAGCTGGGGTCTCTAAGGTTCGGTCTGGGAACCACCCTGTCATTGCCAGACTTAACTTACAACTGAGTTGTTTTTTGTCCCCTTGGTGGTTTTCCATGATGTTCTCTGGAAACCAAAAGTGAACAACCTCTTGCAGGGGGTCTAAGTCGTGTCACCTACCAATCAATCTCTTTACATGGTGACTTGAACAGCCTATCCCTCGGGCATCAACACCCCGGGCCAAATTCAAGAGCCCCTTCGTGCTTTTCCGGATATGTCTTAAGCTTTGGGCACCGATCGTGTTTCACGAACCGACCGCTTGAGGTGCAGCGGCAACAGTGAACTCCTGCACAGGTTCAAGGCGTAGAGGAAGGCCCCCCTGAGAAGGTCTCCATGTGCAAGTGGGTACCCGCAAAAAAAAGAAACATCCCACAAAATCCGGGGCGGAGAGGTGTGCTTTGCTAAACCCGACCTTTCCGGAAACGACACCTGCGTGATTTACAGAACACCCGAAAGGGTCGATTCCTGCTTTGCAGTCGCCAGGCCTGCGGAACCAGATGAACCACGCGGCGGAGGCATGGGGATTTGGATGAGGCGGAGTCTAAGATAGCAGTCCCTTTCATTTGCTTAAGACTATAGTTGATTCTTCCTTTTCGGCTTTAAAGGGAATGTGTCACTACTGGACATTTTTTTCACATTTGCAGGGGGCGAAACAGAAAAAATAAAAAATGGAAGGTCCAGTAAGGGCGTAATGCCCATTCTAGCTACTTAGAGGAAACTTGATGTACATTGTGATTATTTCGATTAATTGTGTTTGTTCTCTCTGAAGCTTATCTATTCAACCGTTGTCTTCAGAAGCACAACTTGTTCCATGCGTGTTGCCCATTTCTGAAGACAATTATCCCTCAACAGAAGAGTACGGCTAGGCCAACGGGTTTCTTCCTGATGTCCAAAGCTCTTCGACGGATTTCGCTTTAATTACACAACTCCCCTGCAGACTAACATCGAACCCGAAAGCATCTCAGGTAGAGTTTGGGGGTTCCATGTTAGTTTGCAGTCGAGTGAGAGCAACAGGAAGAGGCATGTTGTTGGCCATTTGTTGGTGCTCTGATAACAGACCTTCCGTTCAAAGAGAGAACTTTGGTATCGCAGAAGGGGGTTCTTTCCTACAACCATGACGAGATGCGTCCGTTTTCCACCTGTACGGGGCAAGTGCCAAATCACTACTTTTGGCCTTACCCATCAATGTGTCCAGGTAGGCCCAGTGGAAGCCTTGGGGGAAAAATAGAGCACTTTTCTGGTGGAAGTGAAAATGAAACCCCCTTTTCTGACAGAAAAGGGAAAAGGTGTTTAGGAGTCTGGTGCTTTGAAGTTGGACGTTTCCCAACAAATAAAGAAGAAGTGTATTCTGGGTGGTTGGTGCCCTTTTTTTGGACGTCTAGGGACAGGATGCCGACTTGAAAAGTGAAGATCCACCCGAATCGGCGGTCAGGCCTTGACCTGGTGCAGGGCCCGTCTGGACGCAGCGCACGCGAAGCGCGCGCGCCGTGGCAGAAATTGGCCGGGGGGGCGGGGGGGTGGTGTTGTCAGCCCCCTTTTGGACTTTAGATGCCGCCGTGCTTGTGCCTCTGAAAAACAGGGGGATACCAAATCAAGCGGGGTCACATTTGACCTTGCATACACACACTTGCGTTAGCAACTGACTGGGTTGTTTTCTAGCATGGGCTATCCAGGCCTATAAGCCAAGTTAATTCTTGCGATTCTTACGCAACCCTTTGGCGTGTGTTCTTGGCTCACCACGTGAAATTTGAGCATCTTGTACTTGCTGCTTGAGTCGGGGCTTGCCCACGGGTCAGTGAGACATTATGCATTTCTGTGTGAGACCACGCCTTGTTCGTGCCTTCCTCCAGCCTTCGGCCTTTTGAGACATGCCAACGGTGCCCTCAACGTGGATGCAAAAGACGGCTACAAAAGTTTCTTTGGGCACTGCACATCATGCTGTGGTTGCCGGCAATGCCCCTTGTTTCTCTTCACCCCTCTCTATTTAGAAGGCCAACTGGGGCAAAATGTTGGACCCCAAGGTCAGTCTCCAATTTACCTCAGACTAAGCCCCTGACTGGTTAGTCATCAGGGGCCAGCTTTAGATCGTGAGTCAAAGGTCCTTGTGCCTACGGCTTCTGGATCCTGGTGCAGGCTGGCATGTCAATGTTTGCCGCACATCCCTGATGTGTGTTGCTGTTTTGTCACCGGTTCTTGGTTGTGCTGGTTTGCTTCCTGTTTGCTGGCAGAGCGGGGGGTCTATTGTAGGCGCCCCGAACCTAAACAGGACTTGGGCACAAGACACCCCCCTTCGCGCGCTGAGGCCGCGTGTTGGCTTTGGCCAAGAGGGCTGGAAGGAGTCCATGAAGGAGCCATGTGAGGGCTTCAGCTCCGTTTGCTCAGGATGTGCCAAGGTTTGGAGGGAAACATACCTACAGGGGTGCGAATAGATTCGTCCCTTCGTGGCAGGACCAACTATTAGTATTGATGCGGTTTCCAATTTAAATGGCACCATGTACGCAAGGACTCTCAGAGTGCAAACAACCATTTTCCCCATGTCCAGAGCGAGCTCCTTGGTCACTCACACATTCAACTAGTGTGGTTGGAAGGGAGCCGTTCCGGAGCTGGAATCTCCAAGTTTGCCAATCAAGAGCTTCTTGTGAGGAAAACGGAGCACATTGTGCACCACAACGGCCGACAATTTGGGGCCATCCTGCTGAGTCTCCCGCGCAGGAGACCGCATTCAGCCGAAAACAAGCGAAACCTCTGGCTGCACGTGGCAGAAGCAAAGGCCGGGAGAGTGTGCCACTTGAGCCACGTCCCCAAAACTCATGTTGATGAAGCTAAGCGACAAGTCCCAACCAAGGTGCAGCTGTCCGGCCCTTTTGATTCTTTAGCATGGGTTTGTGTTCCGGCCCTTGTGATTCTTTAGCATGGGTTTTGGGGGTTTCGGGCGGTGCCAGATTCTTAGTGTTGACCCCGGATTAATAAACCGTTTGGGGGTGTCCCCGGTTTTAGTGGGGATTCAGACCACTTTTGGAGGGGAGGTAGACCATTTTAAAATTTTAGTACCGGGTTTTGATTATGACTCAGGTGTTTATGCTGCGGTGTTCGGTTGGGCTCTTCTCTACTCGAGGTCCCATGGCCAAACATCGCGCCCTGCTGCGGCGCCTGGAGCACTTGCAGCAGAGTCCCAAGGAGAACGACGGCAAACAAATCGAAGCTCTGGATACAGTTTTTTGTTTAGTGTCTATTATTATTATTATTATCATTATTATTATTATTATTGCTATTGTCACTATTATTTTTTGACAGAAGTTCTGCATAAACACCTGTTTTCATATTTTGGGTCCAACGGGCTTAAAACCCCGGACAACCCCCCGGACAAACCCCCCGGACAACCCTCCGGACAGCTTTGAGGGCACGAATCGGCGGGACAACTTCCCCGACAAACCCCGGACAACCCTCCGGACAGCTTTGAGGGCCCAAAAGCCCGGGACAAACTTTTGGACAAACCCCCGGACAACCCTCCGGACAGCTTTGAGGGCCCCAAAGCCCGGGACAAACCCCCGGACAAACTCCCGGACAACCCTCCGGACAGCTTTGAGGGCCCAAAAGCCCGGGACAAACCGGCGGACAAGTCTTCGGACAGGTTTGGAACATGCCAAAACCACTCGGAAACCACTCGGAAACCACTCGGAAACCGCTCGGAAACCACTCGGAAACCGCTCGGAAACCACTCGGAAACCACTAATTCGGAGGGAAGTATTCTCGCGGGAGGGGGGTTTGCAGCATAAATCTCGGCAAAGTGCGCGGACAACCCTCCGGACAACCCTCCGGACAACCCTCCGGACAACCCCCCGGACAACCCCCCGGACACCTTGCCGGACAGCTGTTTGTCCAGCAGTTTGTCCCGCACTTTGTCCGGCACTTTGTGCTCACTGTGTCCCGCATATCGAGGGGGGTGTTTATGCAGAAGGGCATTCATCAAATTATTTTCATTATTATCAGTATCCTTATTATTATCATTATTACCACTATTATTATCATTATCATTATTATTACTATCATTCTATTATCATTATAGTTACTATCTTTATGCTCATTATTATCTCACCACTACTATCATCATTATTATCATTATTAGTATGATTTGTTTTACCATTATTATTATTATTATCATTTTCATTATCCGTATTCGTATTATCATTATTACTATCATTATTAGTAGTCACATTATTTATTATTATCATGATTATTATTATCGTTTGTATTTGTTTTATGATTATCATTATTGTTATCATTGTTATTATGATTGTTATTCTCGTTATTCTTTTTTTATTGTTATTATGATCTTTATTAGTAGTATCAATGTTTTATCATTATTCTCATCCTTATTACATTTTTATTTTCCTTATTATTATCACTATTATGAGTGTTACCATTATTATTGCTATTATGATTATTTTTATTGCTATGATTATTCTTGTTATTATCATCAATATCATTATCATGATTCTTGTTCTTGTTATTTATCGTTTTTGAGACATGGCTAAACACATTGGACAATTATATTTTGATGTATACGTGTATATATATATATTATACACATGTGTTTGTTGATTCTGTTTGTGTTGGTGTTTGTTTTGTGTGTGTGTGTGTGTTTCATGTTATGTTTGTTTATTTTCAATATATGGAACATGAGCGTGAATTGTAAGGTCCAGGCAAACCACTGTGAACTGACAAGTCACTGTTTTGGACCTACAATAGGGGTTGACGCCCTCCATGATGGAGGTTTCTTTCATAGGGATCCAGGCAAGCCACTCATGTGAACTTCAGATCGGTGCGGACCATAGTAGTCAGAGAACTCCCTAAAATTATCATTGCTTCCTAGGGGAATCACCCCTGAGCGCGGTACTCCGGTACTCCACGAAGATCACATGTGAACTTCGGATTGATGAGGAGGCCATGCCCCTACGAAATAGTTTCCCCTACTGAAACAAACCCGAAGTTGGCATGATAGCAGTAACCGGTGAAGAAACCCAACGACAGTGACAAGTGGATCCTCTATATCCTGTGGGGTAGCAAAATGTAAAGCCAGCTTCCAACAATGGCACCAGTTTTGATTTGAGTGCTTGTGGGATGCGGCCGCGAAATGAAGGTTGTGTGTTTTTCTCGAGTTTTTCATGGGCGTCTCAATTATATGAAACACTCTTTTGGAAGTCGGACACATGTGGGTGTGTCCTTTTGGAAGGTGCCCCTTGCTTTTTTTGTAGCTTCAAAGGAAATGCAAAGGCAATTCACCACTTTGCGGGTCCCGTAAGAAAGGACAAACCCAGGTGTCAATGATGGAATCAGACTGGTTTTGTTCCATTTGTTTGGTTCCTTTAGAGGAAGCTACGCCCTATGCTTCCTCGACTATTCTTCAAATAGCCTCAACCATTTAAAAAGCGAAAGGCTATAAAAGTAATGTCCCTCGACCATTGAAAGTAGGTCTAGACAAACTTGGCCAACTTGAGACGGCTGGCTCCTGACATCCCCGCGCGCTTCTGTGCAGTGAGAGGTTGAAGAACTTGATTGCTGCCTTTTGTGAAATAAGCTAAGTATGTTTTAAAGTCGCTTCATCCCGTTGCAATCACACGCCGTCACCATGCTGTGTTAATTTGGTTTGTCACTCACATGCCCGTGCGTGCTTTTCCGCTTCTTGTCCACAGCTCCACGAGTCTGATCGCCTGTCGTTTGTTGATTGTTTAATCGATTTCGAAAGAAAATGAGGCGTGGACAAACCATGGACAAACCGTGGAAAGTACGTTTTTTAGCGTGGAAAGTACTTTTAACAGCGTGGAAAGCACATTTACTCCCAGGAGCCCACAACGCATGCCTGATCGGCAGCGATGCCCCGAAACCACGAAGTTTGCAGCAGTGTCTATGCGCGCATATACGGTAGGCGGGACACTTGGCGATTTTGAAAAGTGATGTGACCATACAATTGGCAAGCCGGGGAATGAGTGGCTTGGGCGCAGTCATTTGCAGCTGGGAGGATGAGGGCGGCGTGACTGTCAGTGACCTGACCCTAAGCAATTCTTGGGCAACAAATACCGTCATTTCTTGGATATTCAGGGCCAGGCGCAAAAAACGGCCTTTCGGCAAAAAACAGTCTAGCGACCTCGACCATTCTTTGAATGGCCTTTGGAAGCCGAGGGTACATTCCCAAGGGGCGCCAACCTATTTATTTAATATATATTAGGTAAACTCCATTGAGCAAGCAGGTTTTGCACCAGGACTCACATGAATCATTTCTCGAACTGAGGAGCCCGGCAAACGGTTGCTCGGCGGTTCGGAACCAGCTGTCCGGTTCCTTAGGTTTTTAGTTTTTTAGTTGATTGAGTGGTTGGGTTTCCATTTAACCCACTTGAAAAAAGTAAGCAGGGGATCTGAGAGCGGACAGGCCAGCCATATCATTCTATGGGAAGAGTCTCCATCGACTGGCTCGCATCTCGCTGAGTTAGCTCGCTCCGCTACGGCTAGTGGGTCCCCGCGCCCAAAAGAAGTGGTGGTAGTGTCTGTTCCTTTGGATGACTATGCCGATGCGTTCAACTTAACCAAGGTTCCCCAGGCCGGTTGCCCTAAATACTGCAAGTAAGTGATCAAGGGGGTACGTCGAACTTGCCATAATTTACCGCTGGTTTTGTTGATGGTTGGTTTACTTCCAATATTTAGTTGACATTCACCTCTCAAATCTAAGGACCTTCCTATCACACCCTGGGATTACACCCTAGGGAAATTACCCACCCTGGAAGTTTCATTTCGTGGCGCGGTCTCGGGACTTCGCATCCATCCCGACCACGGTTTCTTAGGTGGTGCAGGAGTTCCAGGTTCTCATTTCGCGGTGCGGTCTCGGATTTGGTCCATCCACACCAGGTCCCCCAGTAGTGCCCTTTTACCCTTTTTTGGTTGGGAGGGCTCCCCTACTAACATAGACTAGAGAAAAAAACAAGAAAGAAAAAATCGGGCACCCTTATTCTAACCTCTCAAATCTGGAGGACCCAGACAAGGCCAACGCATCCCATCGACGGCACTCGGCACGGGGCTCGGAGTCGAGGACCCGGAGCTGCGGATCCCCAAGGTGCTGCAGCAGGAGCGGAGCCCCATGCGCAGGCGGCAAGCGGTTTGTCACGGTGGTCGCCCAAGAGAACGGTAGCTACACGGTTGTCGCTGGGAAACATTTTCCCATTTTTTTTGCGTATTGCAGTTTAGTGGTTGAAATCCAACCACTTAAAGGCTAGAATATAAATTGTTGCTCCCCTTCCAACGTCAACCAAGGCTATATATGCCCCTGTTCACCGAAAAGCTGGTTCCAAAAAGGGTACCCTGAAACAAGCACACCCCGTTCTGAGTGTAGTTGCTTGACAAGGGATCATTGTTGTTGTGAAGATGGCAAAAGTTGCAGGGGGGACATGGGGGATCGAGGTGTAGATTTGGCCAGGAGATCTGCCAAAACTCACTAGTTTCCCACTGTGAGCCGGCCAGCATGTTGCTTTTTGGTGGGGGTTTGAATGCCACTCTGGGAGGTCAAAAATGGAAATTAAGGGGCGGCGGCTGAAACGGAGTGGTGCGTGTTTATTCCCATCCCTCCTTTTTCAGGTAATCCTCAATTGGTGCTTTGGATTGGCCGGGATTTGAACCCCCGGTTCTTGTTTAGGGTAAATGGGAAACAAACCGCCAATCCAAACCACAAAAAAACGAGGGAATCAGAGTTATCACACCCGGCCTTCCTGCAGCAAGCCTCTCGAGACATTTTGTTCACTCTTGCGACAGAGGGGTCGGCTTCCTCGGTGTTCCAGTAGCGCTTTAAAGACTTTCCAAAGCATGAATTGAATGTTAGTTCACAGGATGTAACATAACGGTCACCATTGTCTAAGATCATTGGTTGAAGTTTGAAGAGTTCATAAGTCTCGTTTTCCGTTTGTTGACAGTACACGCGTTGTGAAAATTTGATGAAGAACACCCACGCATGTCCTGGGACATTTGTCTATGGAGTGCTCCAAGGGGAAGGTGAAGCACACAATCGAAGAGTGCAGGCACCTTTGCGCTGTCTCCATGGCCGTCTCCATGTCTCTGAGCCTTGGCTCCTTGTTGCTTGGTAAGGATGCGAGGCTACGGAGAAATCGTTCGGCGATCTGTTCGACGGCGCAGAGTTTGCTCCTGAATCTGTGAATGCTTTGCATACGCTGTGGAAGAGCGAGATGGTGGAGCCAACCCGAAGCATTGAGGTACTTCGGTGCAAGTTGCACAGGATTCCGAACTCGAGCGGTGAGACGGCTCAGGAGCTCATTGGAGTAGAGCAACTGGTACCTGAAATGCCCCTTGGGCAACAAGGAGGAGGTCACTCAAATGTGCCATTGCAGGCACCTCGCCGCAAAACTCAGAGCCCTTGAATACCGGGAATCATCCAGACAGGGGTCTCTGTTTTTGCGAAGCATCCACTTATTTAAGTATTCCTGCAGCATCCTTGAGCAGGTACCTTTGACGAGTTCCTAGTAGCTTCAAGTATGTTCATACATGGGCCTACAGTTGAACATGGTACAACCCTTGGCCCCGTACGGGAATCCCAAAATAACTTGCTGACATGCATGTACCCTTCAAGGATTTTTCGGGATTCCAGGGGCAAGCCGCAGCAGGACATTTCTATTGGGAGGCTGGTGCTTCCAGAAAGGCAAGCCGTGGCAATTTCGGGAAAGCCGACAAGCAAAAGAGCGACATGGCCCCCAATGGGGTTGAACAATATGGTAGGCAACCAAAGGAAACCACCATATATCACCAAAAGGGGTGAACTATACTGATTCTAGTTTGCCCAGATTACACCTCCTAAGACGGGACCTGACCGATGGTTAGTTGTTTGAGACCTGGCAGATGGTTAGTTGTTTGAGAGGATTGTCTTCTTCCATTTGTTTAAGAATATTTGTTATTTTCCCCTGTTGGTTTTAAAAGGAATCGATCACTCATATTTTATTTTTTTGGAAGCCTTCTCCTTCTTTTTCTGCTTCTTCTCCTTTTCTGGCTCAATCTTGCACCTGGTGCTTATCATAAGGTTATGGCTTCCCCATGATCCTGAAACCGACATTCCGTGCTTAGGGCAAGAGCCCACAAGAGGCAAATGTGATATCCCACATGGTGGTTGTTGGGAAGTATTTTACATCATTGCTTCTTGTGGTTTCGTGGGAAATCCCCACTTAACTGCTAAAATTTAAATGGTTGCTTCCCTTTCAACGTCAAACACGCCCAGGTAAGGGTCTATTCTGGGACCCGATTTCTGTGAGGGTCTGGGGGCTGACAAACCCCGCCTGCGAACATACTGGCTAACTAACCCCAGGCAAAACCTCACACCTCACGCAGGTTCGACACCTGGGCGGACAAAAGCGGCGACGCCGCCGGCCTAGCTCCGCCGGCCGCGTTCGCGTCCCGGCGTTTTTTTCTTACGTGCCTTCCAAGGGGCGGGGTAGGGGCCACGCCCGTGTTCAAATCAGCCCAACGGGTGAGCCGCTCACACACGAGTTTCTCATGGGTATGCGGCAAGCAACTTTTCCGCCAGGATACGGACCGCAGATGTTACTCCTTGTTTCCATTTACGAGGGCGCTCCCCTATTTTGACATATCCCGAAAAAGGGTAATCTTGAACAGGCTCAGATTTGTGCCAAACAATGGTTCGCATTGTTGGTCAAGCAAATCCAACAAGGCAGCTATAAACTGGTGAGCTAAGTCTGGGAACTCCATTCGAGACACTGAAAGTCGAAACATAGCGTGTAGCTACATTGAGTGATGCAAGGGCACCTCGCTTGGGTTGGGCACTGGTAAACCACCCAGATCACTGTGAAGCTTTCAGGGTGTGGGTCAAAGATAGGGTAACCCCAAATGGGTTGCCCCCCAACTGACAATTTTCTTGGCGGGTCCCCTTTGAAACCACCCCACAAAGAGTACCGAGCCTCAAGTAAAAAGACCCAGTTTATCAGTTTAGTTTGGCGCGGTTGGTGTCCTCTTGGCACCTTGTCGCTTCAGGCATCAAGGTGCCACATTTTAGAACGCGCTCGCCCAGTGAAAGAAGCTCATCCATGAAGGTCCTTGACTAGGGTTCCCCTATTCGCAGATTGCGAGTGATTGCAATTTGCCCAGAGTTTGCTCGTTCGTTTTGTGGCTGGTGTCAAGTGAACATGGCGCCCATTTCTGCCCATCTTGGAGGCAAACCAGGATGTGCCAGGCTCCTGGACCCTGCCCAGGAGATGCACGGCTTCAACGCGCGATCCTTGGAGGTGAAGAAGCAGGTGCGCCTTGAGAGTCGGTCCAAAGAACCAGCGGATCGCGCCCAAAGCCACCATGGGCAAGTTTGGTAGGTTCTGCTCGATAATTGGACTTGAAGCTTAGGAAGGGTTGTAGTTCCTAAACAAACCTTCCTAACCATGCCACTAGAACCAACAGATGGGTTTTGGTCGCTGACCTGATTTGGCTGGTCAATGAATCATCGGGGCCCCAACATTGGCCATGAGTTTGGCGAGTCTAGGTCAGCGTTAAACACTTCCATTTGCTTAAGGTTTCCATGAAAATCTATCACTGCTCGAAATACTGTCATTTTTTTAGGGGGCTTAAGCAAATCGAAGAATCAGTTTTTTGGTTCATCATCTTAGTCAAGGGCAAAGATGTAGCACCCTCAAATGCGTGGTTTCCTTCAGATGTCCAGTCCCGAGCCCTTGAATGGTCCCAACAGGCGCCTCATGTTTGAGCACACCTCTGTCGGACCGGAGTGTGTGGAAGATTTCACTTCTTTCTTGCAACGAGATCTAAAGCATCAGCAATGCTCAGCATGATATCTACACACGTGTCAGGCCCTCAGATCGGGGAAAAACAACATGGAGGTTGTCAGGGTTTTTCGTGGGGACTCCCAAAAGTCGCTGCTTTCCTTTCGGGTTTCCCTTAAATCAAGCCCAAACAGGGTACCCTCAAAACAAGGCATCAGACCGCAGGGTTCCTAAGCCGTGGCTTTTGTTGGTTTCAGAGCTTTGACTTGACAGAAATCAGCTGGTGTCTCTGTTGGTGGTTTGGATTCGTGGTTTGGGGGGTTGAACCCCTGGGTTTTTGTGGAGGGTAAATGGGAAGCCTCCCCCTAAACGCCAAACCACCAATCCAAACCACCCCCTGGAAGGATGTTGAGCACAAGTCGCGGTTGGGCCGACTCTTCTCAGGGTTTTCTCAAGTTTTAAGGGACATGATTGATCATGGCCCAGAATTGGTGTAGCTTTTTACCGTACATGTGTATCAGTGTATCCGTATCCAGGTGTTGCCAGTTTCCACAGTCCAACAGAATTTGCTCAGAGTCCTCCAGGGTAGATATCCCGAAAACGAAACCAAAGGCAACCCAAAGGCAACAAAAACGGAAGCCAACATCAAACAGTTTTTTGGACAACGGGGGAAAAGAGGCATTTCTGGAACAAGGTCAACTCCAGTTCTGAAGTTCTGGACACCCCTCTGGGTGTGTCTTTTGTTAGGAGACCAGAACCCTCCATCTCTCCGTCGGCCGAACGATGAGCTCAGCCAGATGCGGGCCACCGCTTCCCGTCGCCGCACAGCGGAGCAACAGGAGAGCCACAGCCCGGGTTCGATCGGGGGGATGTCCGCACCCCGAGACTCTGAAAATGACTCAGCTGGCTCCCGACTCCCGGCCATCCGGTTCTTTAGCTTTTTAGATCCTAGTGTTTTGTGGTAGTTTCCATTTCACCCACCAAAAGTTAGTCACTTTGAGCGGGGGATCTGAGGGCAGCCCAGACAGGTGGAGACACCAAGAAAGTCCCAAGCCGTGGGACGCGACAAACACGGGGGGTTCCTGGCAAGGTGATGTTAGGGGGGGGTAGAAGGATTCCGGGGTAGAAAGATTCCTGAGGTTGGTTTCTTTTTAGCACGGGCCCGTGCTAAAGGATTTGAACGGGGGTTTGGGTAGAACATTCGATGGAAAGTAGTCTCCACCACGGGACAATTATGTTGCTGTTCCTTTTTCAGTCCCTTGTATTAGGTCACCACGGTCTGGTGTTCACCTACTTATTTAGTGGATTGACTCAACACCCAATCTCCAACGCCTGGCCCAACGTTGGGCCCCTCAGATGTAGGAGGTTCCTGGGTGTTTGAGGCAAGTTCATTGGAACAACATGACCAAACCCATATATTATATAATGGTACAGCACCTAAGCTCAATTTTGAGCAACCAACCCCGAGACTGCCGCAGGACAATTCACTATTATTTGGACGTATTCGGAACTCATATCAACCGGAAAGCAATATTTTCTTGTTTTCACATTCGGCATCTTGCCTGATGATTTAACATTTACACACCCCAGGAAACAGCCCTTGAGCCGTGCCAAGTGCCAAGCAGGGTAAAGGGCACCATATGTCGCGCAAGAAAGCAATCAAGCTGCAACCCGCGAGTCAACGCAACCGCGTGTGTGGATGTTCAATGAGGGAAGTGAAATCCGTTGGTTCCCCAGAAACCGCCGTCAGTGAGTTGCAGGTCTTTTGAATGTATCATCAACGGAGGGGCTCGGTGGAGTCGCGAAATGTTGCATCCCGATTCGAAATGCTGAGGGCAACCAACGCCACACCTCTCATTTCTCCCCCAATGCTGTGAGGAAGAACTTTGAATCCCCATAGCTTCCGCTGATAGGCGGTCACTATGAAAGTCCACGGGAGGACGCTTGAAAACACGGGCGGTGGATGGACAGACGATTTGTGCCAGCATGATGTCCACCAAGGTATCCCAGGACTTGAAGCGCCTTTTCCACGGTACGGAGGTCGAAGATGGATGCAAACATGGTTGGGGTTCCAAAGAATGTAGGCTGCGCGGTTCACCCATTGAAGGCCCCTTTGAAGGGAAAGTACCTGCATATTCCGACCCCCCCTGGGTCCTAGAAACCCAAAATAGCCCAAGCATGGTCGGAGGCGGTTTCTTAGGTGGTGCAGGAGTTCCAGGGTCTCATTTCGCGGTGCGGTCTCGGATTTGGTCCATCCACACCAGGTCCCCCAGTAGTGCCCTTTTACCCTTTGTTGGTTGGGAGGGCTCCCCTACTAAAATAGACTAGAGAAGACCCCACCTTCCACCTCCGTAGCCTTTCCAGGCTGAGATGGCGCGGGTCACGCCCTGCTCTGCGCCAAACTTCACCAGGACACGGGCCGTATTTTTTCTTTGGTGCATTTTGCCAAGGGATGTTAGGACTTTAACTTTTTGCCAACGAATGGGTTTTCCGTATTAAACCACTAGAAGTTAAACTTTTAGCACGGGACGGCTGCCGACTTGCTTTGCCGAACATCAGCGGGGTTTGCTTGAGGTCCCTGCAAAATCAGGCAAGAAAAGGATGTAACGAGCTGGTTGGTTGGACTTACCTTCAAATGCAACTAACGAAGAAGGATTTCCGTTTTTGCCCCTGGCCACTGGTGGTCTGGGTGAAAAGGAAATCACCCCCCTCGTCGATCTGCAGTTGGATGTGCCTTTGTTTGAGTCGAACCGCCTTTTGGGCTTGTTTTGCACAGAAACCAGAGGGGCCCATGCCCAATTTTGGAAAGCTAAGCACAGTGTCAGAAGACAATGCTTTGAGGGTTGCTTGAGATGTCAAGCTTTGATGTTTTTGGCACACAAGTTATAACGAGCTCATCTACAATTAAAACGAGCTCACCACGAAGGTCCTTCACCTGGGCATTCCTTATGTCGCCCGCCGGGCCAGGCCGGTGGTTTCACGCTTGCGTGAATGCGACGCTTGTGGCTTCCCTGTTTGCGCTTGGTTTGGCGCCATGACTCTTTGTTGCTAGAAGACATATATCTTGGCGGCTCCCAGCCATCCCCTTGAATTTTTAGCTTCTCAGGGTTTAGTGGGGGCTTCCATTTGACCAACCAAGGGTTAAACTTTTAGCAAGGGATCTGAGGGCAGCCCAGATTTTATTGTGCCCACGAAGTCGCTGGAGTTGTTTTCGTTTGCTTGTTTACCTCTTCAATTCAGGCTGTTGTCGCCTGCGCAGGACACGACTCGTCTACGCGCTGCGCTGAGCTGTTCCGAGATTCGGGATGCGCGAGGACTTGAATATGGGTCTAGTTATTACTGGCACGACAGCTACAATCTGTAGTACGTTCCTGGAAAGTGTGGATCCATTAGGCGTGTTTAGTGAGGCATATCTTTTTTTTTTTGGTTGACTTGCGCTTACTGTAGTTGCATGTGTATCAAGACAAGCTGGAATTTTGTTGGGACGTATCGGTATCTCGAAGCAATGACTGTTGCTGATCGTCGACTTTGTAGGAACCACCGTGGACAAGCGGCACGGATACACGAAAGAGTCCGCAAAAGTACATATTATTGTAGACTTTGAATTGATACGCCCCGCGGGTTGATGGCTCAGGTGTCCAACACGCGAACGGTCCGTACATATTGCAAACCGCGGAAACCGGTTGCCAAGCCTGGAAGCTCGCACGGTGTGTTGTGACGTTGGTTCCTTAAGGGACACCGCAAGACCCTTTTTGGGTCCAAGCACCCTCAAAGAGGATGGCTTTTGAGGGGTCAACCCAAAAATAAGCCTGGTCTTCCACAGGCCCTCATTCAGGTTCCATGAAAAAAAGGCCATTTCCCTTTTGGTTCCTCTAAAAGTGCGATGTAAAAGGACACCACCAGTAAAATCGATCAACCTTTGATTTGGGACATCCCGTGACCCCCGGTAGAGGGCACTTTCGATGTGTAAGCAAGCGGGGCCCCCGGTGAAGCCGCGCCGAGTCCGGGGTGTGCCCCATCGTGGTGGTCACTCGCCGGGGGCTCCGCCCGGACACCCGGACACCCGGGCACTGGGAAACGGAGGTTTGGGCCCAGAGGCACGCTGGCCCAAGATGGCGGAACTTTGCCCCTGCGTTTCAGGGTTCACCCATGTTCACCCCTTTCTCCGGTCTTCAAGCATCAGCCTTGAAAATTCTGGTCTCCAACGTAAGCTGAGTTTCTTTGTGGGACTTAAAATTGTGGGGTGCTGGGCAGCGCAAGCTATTTGTCGTTGAGCCATTTGGCCACAGATTACGTTGAGCCGTGCCAAGCAATGTAACTGGGTGAATTATAACGACCTCACACGACCTCACCCGAAATGGTGGTTTCTGTGGGGAATAGCCCCTCAACCACCTTATTTCAGGGTGGTGAAATATTGTAATTCACCCAGATCTAGGATTGCTTGTTGCCATAGAAAGATTTGCGACCATGACAAATTATATACTTTGGGTACCATATGGTCGTAACTACTTGGCAACCGCCATTCAAAAGGGTGCCATCAAATGAAATGCCTGTTTTTTTTTTGGGGGGGGGTCACTGATCGAATCTAGCTTGCAATGGGACCAACAGCGAAAATAATGGTTCTAACAAGTTAGCCTCCACGCACCGGGGCACGCTTCACGAAAGTTCTTGCGAGAAGTGATTCACATCCAAAATCGCAGACCTTTGCTCGGCTATGGGTACGCCAACAAACATGCTATGGCTACGGTTCTTTACGGGCTGACAATATCACTGTATGCTGAGAACCATTCTCAAACTCCGTTGCATGTCCTGTACGACCTATCCAGCTCAAGTCTCACAACCGTCTGTTATGAACGCCAGCCGTAATCGTTCAAGCCGGGTAGCTGTCAATTGATTCGTAGGATGTGTGTGTGTGTGTGTGTTTGTTTTGTTGAGGGTGCCTTTATCGTTTTTGTTTGAAAGCGAGTCTCCCACCAAGAGCAGTTGCCTGTCCTTGCCCGAAAAACAAAGGCGTGGGAGCAAAGGTGGACACTTTTTTGGGGGATCTCCTTTCTTAGGTTCTTTTTTGTGGATCTCTTTTCTTAGGGTTGTTTGGGATCTCCTTTCTTAGGTTCTTTTTTGTGGATCTCCTTTCTGAGGTTCTTTTTTGTGGATCTCTTTTCTTAGGGTTTTTTTGGGGTATCCTTTCTTAGGTTCTTTGTTGTGGATCTCCTTTCGTAGGTTCTTTTTTGTGGATCTCTTTTCTTAGGGTTTTTTTTGGGATCTCCTTTCTTCCGTTTGCGGGAGAAGCTTTCGGGGAGAAGCCGTGTTCATCAAAAGTGGTTTGTTAGAATCCCGGATGGCCCCAAGACCAGAGACTGTGAGGCAGGTGCCATCCCCGTTGAGCCGGCGCAAAACCGGCCACATGGAACCCAATTTGGGTCCAACAGATTCTCCAAACTCTGGAGGTGTAAAATACCAGTTGCCCTATTCAAAATCCCGGGGTTTATTTGGCCAAGATGGGCATTTCGGGCTCCGTTTTTGGAGCACAGCCATTCTT